TGTTTCATTCTTTAAGCATACCATTCCTGCTCTTTTTATTTAGCATCATTTTTAATGATTCTAGGATCTTCAAATTAGTGTATTGGATTAATAATTCCCATTTATATTTTTTATCTTTGAGATCCTTAAGTGGCTGTAATCTATTTTGGAGGTACTTTGGCTTCATCTGAAAATACAGGTGGTCGGTTATTAAAAACTTGAAGTAATTTTTCTTTCTATTCTTCAGGTGTAAGTTTTGAATGCTCTATTCTTGCTTCTTTCTATTGTCTTGCGTATAGAGATAAATTCTAATTGGAATGAAGTTGGGAATTTATATTAGAATAAATATCAGACATTATTAAAATTAATCAATGAATCAGACATAGATTGATGATATGAGACTCTATCCTTGCAGTAATTGTGGGGATCACTATCCTTATTGTTTCATTTCTGATCATTTAGAAAGTTGTCTATAAGAGAACTTATAGGTTGATTGTAGATATTGTGGGGAGACTATATTGGAGAAATTTATGCAGGATCATCAATAGAATTGCAAAGCTTATGCTTTGTAGGAAACAGAGGATGATGTTTGTGAATTTTGTTAAGAGAAAATATTTAAGAAATTTAAATAGGACCATTACTAGGATTGCCCATTGAAACAAGTAGCTGACGCTTATTAATCCTATAAGGCTTAAGAATGTCCAATTTGTTTAATAGAAATTGGTCCTGCTGATTAAAAAGGACTTCTATAATGTTGCCATGTATTTCATTAAGAATGTCTTTAATAATGGCAAAAAAAAAGCCTAGAATGCCCAGTGTGCAGATATAGTTGAAAATTAAAATTTTCTATTGCGAAAATTTTACACTTTGTTAATTTTTAATATTATATGTGAATGCATGAAAAGAAGAAATTTATTGATATAGAACAAATATGACTAATTCTGGTTATTTTCTTGCCAATTAATAATAAGTATATATTATAATATTCTAAAAATCTATGTTGATCTCCATATAAAAATAGATTAATAGAAAATAGAATACTATGAATATAATATTTTAAGATCAATTATGTTAAAAGAGAGTCAAATAATTTGATAGAATTTATTTTCTGAATAAATTATAATAGCTTTATAATTTATATATAGTATAATCTCATGATGTCTACCAACTATTTAGAAATAAAAAGATCTTTTTATAGAACTTTGAAATAAATAAAAATAAATATGATATTCTTAAAATAAATATTTATAAACTTATATAAGTATAGAATATTTTATTATTTTTCTTTTACTTTATAATTAAAAGAAAAGTGCAATTTTTGATAACAATTAAAAAATTAATTTATGAATAAAGATCCTTTAATTTATGGTCTTTGTTTTAGTTTGATTCCATGTCTTATTGTATTCACTAAGTGGAAATTGGACTAAAAGAAATTTGCTATGAAGGAGAATTTATACAAAAAAATGTTGTTTAACTCTAATGAATTACAATAAAAAAAAGCAGAATAGGAGCAAAAAAATTTAAAAAGTGATGCAGAATTAGGAGAAACTATAGAATATAACCTTATGAATTAATTACTTAAAAACAATCATTCTAGAGTCAGAAAAATTTGTATAACTGGAGGTCCATGTGCAGGTAAAACTACAGGGCTCAATTTTCTTGCAGAAAAACTAAAAGAAAGAGGATTTGCTGTATATATTGTTCCAGAAGCAGCCACAACATTATTTATGGGTGGAGGAATGTTAGATTTAGACAATTATTCTGCTGAAGATAAAATGACATTTTAAATGAATTTATTAAATTTGTAAATGAAATTAGAACATACTTTTAATGTACTTGCTATGTTATGTCCAGAAAATAAGACTCCTGTATTATTATGTGATAGAGGATTAATGGATGGTAAAGCTTATATGGATTCATCTGAATGGTATGAAATGATAGGTAAATATAATTTGGATGAATTCTAAATGAGAGATTTGAGATATGATGCTATTGTGCATATGGTAACTGCTGCAGATAGTACTGATTGTTATAGTACTTTGAATAACAAAGCTCGTCATGAAACCTAATAATAAGCTTTAGAAATGGATCATAGAACTCAAAAAGCTTGGACTGGACATCCAAATTTAATTAAGATTGACAATCATAGTGTTAAATCTTTTAATGAAAAATTAGATTGGTTACTTGAAGAAGTATTAAGAATTTTAGGTCATTCTATTAGATAAAGGGAAATTGGAATAACAAGATTATTTTTTTTAGATGAATTAATAGATTTAAATAAAATTAAAGATGTAAATAGAATATTTAAATATAGGAACATTAAATATTTGAAATTTAAAAGACTTATTTGATTCCATAATCAGAAAATTCAACTCTTTTATTAGTACAAAGAATACATGAAGGAAGATCACAATTATATATTAAAGAAAAGTTTTTTGAAAATAATACTATGGTGAAAGCTAATATAGTTAAACTTCAAAAGAAGGACTATTAAATATTTAAAAGATTAGCAAATCCAGACTATCTTTAATTAAATCTAAAAAAAGCATGTTTTACTTATGAAGGACAATATTTTATTGTAAATGAATATGAAGGCTTTTGTTAATTTCTAAAAATTAAGAATTGTAAAAAAGATACAGATATTAAATTTCCTTCATATATCAATCAGTAATATATGGATGAAGTGTTTGAGGTATACTTATGTATTATAAATTAGAAATATACATCTCGAGTTTTTGCAAAAGAATTTTCAAAAGAACCTGAATTAATAGACAGAAAAAAATAGGGAATTAAATTTAGAAAATTGTCTGTTGCTGATGATTCTATTGAAAAACCTCCAAGATCAGATTAAGAACCTATTGATGATTTTTAGTTAGATTAAAAATAAGTTATAAGTGAAAAGAGAATTCCTTAACCAAAATAAAAATGATTAAAAGTATATGTCCATAAAAAACTAAAGTTTTTCACTTATATTTACCTTTATTACAATAAATTCAATTAGATATTATAACTAATTTATATTAAATAATGAACATGAATTAAACAATAGATTGTTTTGGGTAGAATATATTTTTTCGATAAATAGAGCAGACAATTTAATAATACATGAAAGACCACTAACAATAAGTTACATTGATGAAAATAGTCCCTAAAAATTTTGTAATCTCTCATAATTACTTGCATCTCAAAATACCAAAAGAATTTAAAAGAAATCCAGAAGATCATTATATTAAGTTAACTTAAAAGATTATCATTATTAAACCTATATTCCAACTCGATCTCCACCCAGCTTATAACTATAATTATAAAATTACTAATACAATACATCGAAATCAACGAACTCTAGAAAAAATAAATTTACTAAATAAAAGGAAGCTAAATGTAAGACTCTTCCTTTAAACGATTTCAATTATGATGAAATTTAGAAAAGAATTGAATTGAAAAAAATGATGCTTGAAAAAATGTATCTCATCAAAGATAATTAAAAAACATAAACATTTAAAACAGAGAAAACAGAAGAAATTGTCCAAACTTAAAAAATGAAAACAGAATAATCTGTTTAATCTAACAATAAATAAAAGAAAAACTAAGAAATTTAGACATATAGACCTATTTAAACAAGAATAGGATCATCTTATTAAAATACTAGAAAAATGAATACATTTTAGGCTATACCTTTATCATTAGGTTTAAGTATTGAGAGATGTAAAATTGTAGAGAGATTGACTTAATCACCATTTTATATTAGAACAAGTAAAAAGAAAAGCTAAAAAAATTGTAGTGTTGTAGATAAAGTTTAAAAGTTTAGTATGCCAAAACCAATAATAGAATAATTTTGTTTATAAAAGAAATCATCAATACCTGTTTCAAAATGGGATCATTCTGATTTAGAAAATGATTGAATATTTGAAATGAAAAATAATTTTTTTGTATTTATATGAATAATAAATTGTATAATACTTTTTAAGATTATAAGTATATGAATTACAAAACTAAATATTGCATTATTAATTACTAAGACTAATAATTCTCTTATAATTTATTCATTTATTTTAATATATAAATATTAGAAAATAATTATCATATATTACATATATATTTATCAAAGAGTCCTTTAAATAAACAATAAAATAGTTAATTAATAGAGATATTCAATTAGATGATAAATAGAAATATGAAAATCATACAATAAGTACTCTAATAAAATAATGATTAAATTTATATATTGTGGTTACTTTATATTGATTTGAAAATTTTTCATAAATAAAAATCTTTTATCTCTTAGAGAATGGGCGCATATAAATATTTACAAGAGCTCTGGAAAAAGAAGCAATCAGATGTGTTGAGCTTCATTATGAGAATCAGAACATGGGAATACAGACAATTACCAGTCATTCATAGAGCAACTAGACCAAGCAGACCTGATAAAGCTAGAAGATTAGGATACAAAGCTAAATAAGGTAAATTAAATAATGTTATAGTTAGGCTATGTTATTTATAGAGTCAGAGTTAGAAGAGGAGGCAGAAAATTGTTAATCAGAAAAGGACTTGTTAAGGGAAAGCCCAAGAGTCAAGGAGTCAATTAATTAAAGCCAACAAGAAACCTTAGATCAGTTGCTGAGGAAAGAGTAGGAAGAAAGATTGGAGCACTTAGAGTTTTAAATTCTTATTGGGTTGCCTAAGATGGAACATACAAATATTATGAAGTTATCACAGTTGATCCATTCCATTCAGCAATTAGAGGAGATCCAAGAATCAATTGGATCACTTAACCAGTTCATAAACATAGAGAATTGAGAGGTTTGAATGAAAATTAATATTAAAAGGTTTAACATCGGCTGGTAGAAAGAGCAGAGGACTTAGAGTTAAGGGTCATCGTAACAATCAAACTAGACCTTCAAGAAGGGCCAATTATGCCAGAAGAAATAGAATTTCCCTTAGAAGATTTAGATGATGTTTTTTATTTTGCATATACTCAAGTACAAATTAACAAAAACAACACCACATAAAATTATTTATTTATGAACGAGATTGCCTATCCCTAGACCTAATTCCAAAGATACTCATCTCGCCAAATTAACAAGGTTACTTACTATTGTCAATCTCTTAATGCACCAGACAAGGATGGTTTGGAAAAGAAAAACCAAATATATAAATGGTAAGAGATACAAATTAATCAAGGTTGAGAAATTTGCCAATGTAATAATTAGAGCAAGTATTATCCTTCACGTCTTATTACAGAGTTCATTCCTTTCTAAAAATGTTTAAATAAGATTAAAATTTGCTTCATGAATATTTGGAATTGGAATAAAGTCCTTTTGAAGTTAATGTAAAAATCAAATTAAATCAATATTATTATGTGAGAGAGTGTAATCGAATAGATATGACTAATTAATGGAGATATGCATAATAAGTATTAATTGCACTTAAACAATAGTATATTCTTGATCATACTTACATTTCAGATTATGAATGGTTATTTGATACTATTACAATTAAAGGTGATATTGAGGAGATTATTTAATCATTTGAAATTCTATCTAAATAATCATTATTCACAAAAAATTGGAGAATCGAGACCAATGAAGACGAGGAATATTCAGAAATTAATTTTGATTCATAATAAAAGAAAAAAGCATTCAGGACCTTATCAGAACATATTGTAAATGAAATGGAAAAGGCAATCTTAATAAAGTAACATTTTGTAAATACAACTTAAGATTCTAATAATTTGAACAAAAATGCACTTATACTAAATAGGATTAATTATTTAACTTTCATTAAATTGAATTAAATTTCAATAATATTAATTATGAGATTGAAACTCAAGAATTTTAGAAAGTTTTGGAATAATCTTAAGTAGAGATGTAGTTTATAGATGAAAAAGTATTATTATAAAGTTGGAATTAACATATAAAATGGGAAAATTTAAATTTGAATAATATTGAACAATAAATCCAACATTTGTTAAATGATAAAGATTTAATCTTTTAATCACCTCTTAAATATACAAGTAAATTATGAAAATTAAATATAATAGTTACGGAATCCTTATTGTTTTGTAAATATTTAATTTGTAAATAATTAAAAATTTTATATCCATTAAAAAAACCATTAGAAGAGAATCTTAAAGAAAAAAAGAAACCAAAATAAAAGGTTTCTAATTTGAAAATGTTTTAAGGTAAAGTTGATTAATTGAAATAAATCAATACTTATTTTACAAGTTCTGAAAAATCAAAAATATTACCAGAAAATGAATAAAGATTATTTAGTACAAATTTAGAAGAAAAAGAATAATAAATATATGAACATTCTACTTCTTTTATGAAAAAATTGATTGAAACAGTATTAACAGAACTTGAGAATTATAAATAATATAAAAAGAAACTTAAAAAAGTTAAAAATGCTAAAAAATCATAAATTATTGAAACTGTATAACCAGAACCTACAGTATAAGTATCTCAAGATATTATAAAAGAAGATGAATGGAATGATAAACCAAAATCTAAAAAATAAAGAAAAAAGCAGCTTGAAAAATAAAGAAAAAAAGAGTAATTTTATCAAATGATATTTCTAGTAATTTAGAAAGGAAGAAACTTAAATAAATGAATCAATCTCAATAGCAAAGTGTATCACAAGATGAAAAAATAGAAAAATCATCTAAATCTTCTATAAAAGATGATAATGAAGATATTGAAAATTAAATAGATAATTATTATGATAATAATAATAATGATGAACTTATATTTGAATAATAATAACAAAATGAGATTATAGAAACAGTTATTCAAGATATACCTATTATTACTAATTCTGTGCTTGATGATGAAAGTGATTATATTGAAGTATAGAATAAAAAGCAATAGAAAAAATAAAGTAAGTCAAAAACATCCAGACATAAGAAATAAACAAATAAGAAAGATAAGGAATTTTAAGACAATTAATCTTTACCTGATGAATAATAATATATTCCATCATTAAAGAAATCTACTTCTTAATCAGTTTAAAAGAATAATAATCATCAATATGATGAACTTAAATTAGAAAGAATGTAATCTCAATAACAAAATAGAACTATATTATAAAAAAAAGAGAATGCAATTAATAAAATATAAAGATCAGGTTTAGTTAAATCTAAAGCTTAATAAAAAGAATAAAAATTGTATACATATGATTTAGATCAATCCTAATTATAAAAGATTTATAAAACAATATTGGAATAAAAGATTACAAATGATGTTAAATAAATATATCAAAAAGAAATTGATTAATTTAATAAGTATAAAGCTGCAAGAGACATCTCTATTTAAAGAGTTTAACATGTTATTAAATCATATTTTAAGAATTGTGACACTGAAATATTTGGATCATCTACAACTGGATTAGCATTAAAAGATAGTGATGTTGATATGGTTGTTTATGGTCTATAAGTATATACAAAATAATAATTATTTGAACCTATGAAAAGATTGATTGAAATATTTACTGAATTAAAATGGGCTGTTTAATGCAAGTATAATAGATTTTTATAAATATAGACATATATTTTAAGCTTCAGTGCCACTTATTAAAGTCTTAGTAGATCCTTCTATAGACTTTCTTTCGTTTAAAGGAGAGCCAAAATATATAATAATGCAATGTAGAAATCTTGATCTCAATTTAAAATATGGAGATCCAAGTAATTTTGAATTTGACTTTAGGTTAAAATATCTTTATTGATATTACATTTGAATTGGCTCCTCCTTATGCAATATATAATCCATATGTCTAAGCATTTAATATAGGTTTTTAATCAACATAATATACAATTGATATATGTGAAAAAATTCAAGGTTTTTCAGAGGTAGCAATATATTTAAAGAAATTACTCAAGATAAAAGATTTGAATGATTCATATACTGGTGGTATTAGTTCATTTTGTTTAACAATAATGTTGGCAGCTATAGGATAAGATCACAGTATTGGTTAAAAACTAATTAATTTTTTACATAAATATGGTTGTAATTTTGATCCTAATAAATGGGCTATTTATTTGGATGAAAAAGGATAAAATAATTTTTATAATATCGAAGATGAATAATCAAATTAACCTCTTACTATTATTTCACCAATCAATTTACAAAAGATTCAAATAAATGTTACTAAGATATAGACTATATTATAATTGTTTCAATAATTATATGTTGAAATAATGTAAAATATAGATTAGATAGAATCTTGTTTGCAGAAAAGAATTAACCAAAAAGAATTATTAGAGAATTACAATAGTCACTAAATATCAAAATTAGTTGACCTTGTCTCTTGGCAATGTCCTAATTTACTAGAAAGCCAAATTTAATGATTTTATTATTAATATCTATCTGTTTATAAATGACAAATAAACAATCATCATTAAGCTTTAACTAATTAAATAAAAAACCTTTTTTATTAGAAATCTTCCTTTCTTCTTTCAAGTTCTTTGATGAATGGTAACATAGGTGCTTTACTTTTGATAGAATTAAAAGCTATAACTAAATTTTCAATATTTATGTTAATAAATAAATTGATCAGACCTTCAAATTTTTACTTTTTAATACATTCCTTTTATAAATAACTAAATGAATTATTATCTTTTTTTTTTGGAGTTAAACAAGTAAATTATGAAACACTTCTATTTAAAATAGGTGCTCCATTAATATAACTGGATGATTTAAAATTATTAGTATAAATTCTTTTTTTTTGAGTACATTCTTATTAGGACTTTAAAACAAAATTCTTTGATTTTTCTTAGGTTTATAGATTTTCAATGCTTTATCTTCTAATCTTGCTATATAAGTCATGGTCTTTCATAAAATCTGGTTAATGTTTAATAATTGTTTGTTGTCTATTAATTTATTATTTTAATAATGGAGTTAGGCTACCTCATATTATTAATAATTCTATACTTTTTCTTAGACTTAATAATTCTTATAATTTTGCTTAATAAATTTTGTTTTTTTCATTTTATTTCTAATTGATTATGTTTTCATCTTAGACACTATCTTGATGAATAGTTTTTTATTTTTTAGGTTTGAGTTCTGGAGATAAATTCATTTTAACAGTTGCTAAAGATTTAGATTCAGGTTGACTAGGTTAAATAAGTCTAGCTCTTCTTAATCTAGTAATGTCATTATTGCCAACCAAATAGTTAGAGTTTTTCAGTCTTAAATTCATAATTTAAAAATAACGATTACATTCAAATAAAATAAAATAAATAAACATAAAAAATTATATAAAGAGTTATATCAAAATATCATTATATTCTAATGAGCTATTATTGATAAAGTGCTGCTTCTTTTTTTTTATTATTTATTGAAACATTTTTAGGTTATTTGTTTTAAATAAAAGTAACTTTTTTAATTAAATTTTGTGATTCTTAATAACTATTTTTTCTTCTCTTTCCATCTTCACTATTGCATAATTTACTCTTGAGAATACCTTTTAATTAGATATTTTATTTAGTATATTTAATTGTACTTGTTTTACTTCTAAATAAACTTAAAGACAATTTACAAAATTTCTCCTTGTTCTCTAATTATACAAGACTCAATTTTTCTTATAAAGGTTATTAATTAGTATTAACTAATTAAGTTACATAAATTTATCTTTATGAAAACCTAGTTATTTTAATAGGTGATGCTTCTAAAGGACAACTTTTAAATGTTTAAGTTAATTATCGTTTATTTTATCTAATTATAGGTTGTTTCTAAAAAGGTTAAATTTATTGAGTTAGCATTCTAATTAAATTCTATTCTTATATGTTTGGTATCTAAGGATTGTTTACACGTTCTACTGAACCTGCAGGACTTTAAGGAATGTTGTCCTTTCTAATCATTTCAAGAGTATTTCTATATTCATATTAAGGTAAAAGATGTTAATTGACTTTTAATTTGTTTGATTCCTAATCTAAATTGAGTAAAGTGCATTAAATTAGTTTTTAAGTGGAATTTAAGGAACCTTAAGGAGTAACTTAATTGGACTACATAAATCTAAATTCTTATGAATTCGATCTAATTTATTTCACTCTTGCCATGACAGAAGTAGAAGTCTCTGTTTAAAATGTATCATATTCTTCTTTCTTAAACTTTGGTACTATAATTCTGCAATCTAATTCTAAAGAATCATCATCACTAACTATTGCATCTGAATTTTCTAAGATTTGCATAACTAATGCTTATGAAATCGGTTTTATTTAAAAAATGATAAATAATAATAAGTAATTGCAAATAATGAAAAATATTAATGTATCATCATAAATTTTATATATCTAAGATTAAAATGGATGTGACTATTAGAAATAAGTAATTTCTGTTATAATGATTAACTTAATGAAAATATTATTATATCACATCTAAAATATAAATATAAATATAAGATTGTAATTGATTATTATTTATTAGAGAATATTGAGTAATTATTTAAAGAATAAAGTTTGAAATAGTATATTAGATCTTGTTAAATATATTTAAACATTTAAAATTCTAATTTAATATCAAGTGATTTTAATTGATAGATAGATTTTCTAAGATTGCTTATAAGAACTGATATTATAAATTTGTTTTTTATCTTTAAAAAATAAAAACTGTATATATTTCTCAATTACTTGAATTTTAACCTTAGAAAATAAACTAAAAACATTACATAAATTAATACAATTTTAATTATCTTTAATTATATTTATCATCTGTTAAGATTATAATATTTTCTATATTTCTTTTGTTTTAATTATTAAAATAAAAAAATTATCTATATTCACAAAACTCTTAAATTCTTTATGATTTTTAGATGTTTTAATATATGAAATATCATTTCTTATAATAATAATTGAATATTGTATATAAAAAAGAAATTATTAAATAAATTAAAAAAAAAGATTTAAAATGGTAATGAGTTTCACTTATGTTTATCTTAGGGAGCACACAAATCATTGAGAATGAAGAAGAGATTGATCAAAGCAAATAAGCAAAATAGACCTCTTCCAAATTGGTTTAGATATAGAACAGATAACACAATTAGGTAATGAATGAATCTTAGTCTCATTCTAGATATAATTCAAAACGTAGACACTGGAGAAGAACTAAGCTTAACATCAATTGATTTGTTTACGATTATAATACCGTACATTTAATAATAAATCTAAAGTAATATGCCACATTCACAATTTATTTAATTATTAAAATAAATTCCGTTCATTATTTTTTTAACTATTCTTTCAAATGTTTAACTCTCTAATACATGATTTCAATTTAATTTTTCATTTCTGGAATATCAGATTTTCTAACATCTCTACTTATACATCTTTAGATATTTAAACATCCTTTTTAATCATCAATTGAACCAATTATTAATTCTCTTTAAATTAGATCAATTAATAATTATTCAATCTCAATACGTGAATTTATATAACATGCTTATTAAATTTTATCAAAAGTAACACTTTTATTTCTATATTATGATTATTATTATTATTTACCTTTAACACAATTGTATTATAGTAAGTATAATCATTTTCTTTTATTATTTCTCATTTTTATATTTAATTTATGGATCACAAACTCCATATGCAAATCTTTCAAAAAGGTTTTTGTCTTCTTCAGTCTAATAGATTGAATTATTAGAATACCTTTATTAAATTCATATACTATGTAAATTAGTATGTTTAATCATCCTCTATATAATCTATCAATGACATTTAAGGTTTATTAATAATTAATAAAAATTTATAAAAATGAAAAGAAAATAAACAATAAATGTTGATTACTAAGACATGATACAATAAGCTAAGAGCATGTTTAATTTAAGTTAAGATGAAATAAATGAGATTATAGTAGAGGTCAAAAAATTTGATACTAAAGGGACTGGATATGTAGGTAAACATGAAGTAGATGATGTTTTAAGAGGTAGTTACATTTTTAATTATTAAGATCTAAAACTTTTAGATAATGAAAAGTTGATAGCTAAGTTTAATGAAGAATTAAAAATAATGAATGCCAAGTTTCTTGACTTTAAACAGATTTGTGATTTGTATTGTAAATTAAAACAATACTAGTAATAATTAAATGAAGAAGAAACTATCACTCAAGAATATAGTAATATTTATATATAATCTTTAGTTGATGCATTTTGTGCCTTAGGAGGTTAACTAGATAAATCTGGATTTGTATTAAAATCTACTATAATTGAAACAATAAAAAGAGAATTTGAACTAAATTTAGAATTGGATTCAATCTTAGGAGATTTTCATGGAACCTAACTAGATTTTGATGAGTTTTGTTAATTATTTGAGAATGCTGGAGATGATGGTAAATCATTTATTACTGTATCAATTTGATCTAGCTATAGAGTGTGTCATTATCAAAAAGAAATCAAAATGATTTTGTAGTAAGATACAAGGACTTTGAAAAATGGGAAAAATTAGTTAATTGAATTGACAATTCATTTTTATATTTCTTATAGAATAGAAATATATATATATATAAAACCTTATAATATTAATAAATATAATTAAATATGATACCAATTATATTATTCTGTTAAAAATAATTAAAAATAAATAGAATATTTGATAAATTGGATATCAAAAAGAAACATAATTATTTATTCAATTTATTTAATTTATTCAAAGCATAAAATATTTTATAGATATTCAATTAATTATTTTACTTAATAAAGAAAATCATCCTGTAATTGAAAAAAATTAAATATATAATTGAGATCAAATTAATAAAGGATAAGAATTATTCTTATATCAATAATAATAATAAAAGATGAATTAACTTTAATTATTTGTCTCATATTATAAATCTAAATAGTTTTGTGTCCATAAAGAATATAAAACCATTTTTAATGTCATATGTAAATTATAATTCATAATTTTCCTGAGATCACATGTGTTAATACTCCGTTTTCCCAATTCCCACTAAAATCTTCATGATTTGTTCTTCTTATCACACCTTCTCCATTAGGAAGATCCTTATCAAATATGCCTATAAATTCACTGTTGTTAGTTAAATACCAATTTCCTTGACCACATTTTCTAAATTTTATTGAATATATAATACAATCCATTTTAAAATGTTCCCTGATAATGTTTCCAATAACCTTTAATATGCACTTCTCTTAATAATGAATAATTAATCTAATCCTCAATAATAGGATTTTCATTATATAATGTACCATAACCATCATATTAATCATTTTTAAAATCTCCATCATATTGAGTCTTTTTATTCATAAAATATAATATGCCTTTTCCATGTTTCTAACCTTGATGTATTTCTCCTTTATATTTAATTTTAGTTTTTTAATCGTCATAGTATAATTACTAAACATTTTCTTCTTTTATGTCAGATAGGATATTTTGAGTTTATGTATCTCCAAATCCTTCACATTCAAATTATTAACTTCTTTTTGTATCTAATTTACTTAAACCTTCAAATGGTTCATTATTTTTAGAATTTTAAAATGATTAGAGATTTTCAATATTAGATTACAATATTCCTTTCTCCCAGAATCCAGAAAACTTTAATTAATTATTCAATTCAAATCTTCCTTTTCCATTTATAAGGTTATTTAGAAATGTTCCAATAAATACTTCTCCATTAGTTAAAAATAATTTGCCTTCTCCATGTTTTCTATAATAATTATTTAAATAATAAATACTTTCCATTTTGAAATTATCCTTCATAAATTGAAGCATATTGATCTATATTTGTGCAATCTTAATAATTGAAATTCCCTTTGAAAATTTGAGAGTTTAAGAAATTTAATTTACCAAAATTATTATATTCTCCTTCATAAAAACCTCCCTCATAAAGTAGTTAATGATTTTATGTATATAATTTACCTAAATTATAATAAAATATATGATTACCTTCTCCATGATATTTACCATTAAAATAAGGTCCAAAATACTAGGAATTCTCTATTACTTAATTTTATTAATTCTAATATGTTTTACTAATTTTAATTTAATGATCAACTACTTTACTGTTTCCTGGTTATTCGATTTTTGAAATTGCACTTGTAATCTTTACATCTGTTTATTAAAGTAGAGGAGGTTAGAAAAGATTATATAGGAGAGATTTATTTTGATTAATTGGTTCAATTTAAGAATCTTTAACTTCAGAATCAATTTTTGATTCAGGTGAATTTAATTTCTTATACAATTAATCATAATTAGGTCTTCTAACTATGTCTAAATCTAACATATCAATTGTTAATTCAATAAATTTCCCACTATAATTTTTTTTATGAGTTCTTAGTAAATTTATCCTTTATTAAAAGAGATCTTCATCAATTTTAAATTTAGAATATATATCTTTGCTTTTTTTTTCTATACTATATAAATAAATAATACATGTAATCAATTCTAATATTATCATTCCTAAACCAAAAATTTAAACTCTATCTGTGTCACAGTTACTTTAATTTAATTCTTCTGGTGAAGGGAAACCAGACATATCAAAATTCTTTAGATTTTTTGATTTATATTCTTATATTTCTAAATAGAATGATTTTGTCTCAACAAAAGGTTTTATTTTCCAAAATTTACCATCACTTGTATGAATATTGTCAAACCCCAGATATTACTTCTTTTATCCAAGTAAGTATTATGCATTTACTACAGATAGTAAAAGGTCAATAATTTATGTGGAATCTAAACATTAATTTTTAGCCTTTTTTAATAAATATTCTCTTAGAGTATATAATGGATGCTCTGTTAAAATGCTCAAGACATAGTAATTTTTAAACAGTTTCTCATAAAGAGTTAATTGAACATTTTCTATTTTAGCAATTCCAATTAAATCTCTTTTTTTTATTTCTTCTGCTATTTTTAATTCCTCTTTAAAAGAGTAATCACTTGATTTTAATGACCAGAAATCATATTTATTATTTTCAGGACTTTCAAAAACTTTGTAATGTCCTTTATCTAAGATAAGTTTCATTTTTTTTAATTCTGGGAGGTTCTCCCCTTCAGCACTTTCTATGTTACCCATAATTATTATTAATTATTAATTAATTATAAAAATATATATATAGGTAACAATCAACTTTTGTCAATAATTCTTTTACATATATTGAGAGTGAAAATTGAAACTTATTTATAAATTGATGAAAAAGATCATTCATATTAATATGAAAATTTTTGTAAAAGCTAAATTTTAAGATTAAAATGATGTATATCTCATTTTTAAAAGAATTAGAGATACTTAAAATAATTAGATAATCTCATCTATAATTGAAATATATGATATGTTTATGCAGATATTTTTTTTGGTTTCTTTTCATTTGAAGATCAAACACAGAATACTAATTAATTATATAAGAATATATCATTGTTATAGGAGAATTATAATTCTCTAAATATTGTTGTCAAATGATGATAATTCATAGTATTTTAAATACTGATACAAATTATCTTCAATTTTAAAACAAATTGGTATACTCTAATTTTTACTAATAAAAAATAAACTGAAAATACATTCTTGTATTATAAGAGTAAACCAAAAGTAATATCACAAAGTATATTAGATTAAAAAATTCTATTTCTTAATCAACTATTTCACTAAAACCAAAATTATAAAAATTAATAATGATGTATTCAATTTAAAATTAACAACATACAGAGATCCTAATATTAATTGATTGAAAATAATCTCAACAATTTAATTTGAAATTTTTATTAAATAGATCTACAATTGTGATAATTTATACTTAATTTAAGATTATCATATAAGTGGAAACTAAATAAGTATTTGAATACTTTAAAAAAATATATTTATTTTTATATTTTTGAATATTTATATTCCTTTTTTTATTAGTTTAATAAAATATTATTAAAAATAACATAAAAGTTGCTATTTAGTCATATTTATCTAATTTAATATCTCAATCACTATTAAATAGACTTTGTTTAATATAAAAAATGATATAATATAACAATTATTATTCACAATCTCAATCATAATAAATCAAAAAACATATCAATTAATCTATTACGCATAATAAAAAGTGTAATTTGTAAGTTTTTGATTCAAATGAATTATATAAAATAACCTTCAAATATAAAATCCTTCTTATTATATTTCAATACTATTAAGTATAACAATCAGATCATGCTATATCAATCTAATAGAGTTTAAAATTGATTTAAATTCATTGTTATTTGAAATAAGTTTAAACATTTATTATTTATTGTTGATATGAATATATTTTTGTTCTTTTTTATAAGTAATAATAATATGATCTAATTTAATTCAAGCACTCTCATAGGACCAGGACCTAAATCTATCTTTATGTAACCTTTAGAATCTTACTAAAATCATGATATTGATGATACTTAATGTGCAGATGACTTTACAAATTAATACTTATCATAAACCAATAATTCTCTATAAGAAACCCCTTAAAATAAGATTGAAGGAGGGAAGAAAAAAATAGAAGGCAAGAAAAAGGTTAAGTTTAATCTTAATATCGTCCATTGTTAATTTAATCAAAAAGAACCTGCAATCGCTATTGGAAAACTAGTTTAAAAGTTGATAAATTAGAAACCTTATCTTGATTGGGTAAATCCATAGATGTAGAAAATCTAATGATTCTAAAATTCATATTTATACTTTTCTTTTTCAATGTTTAATCAATAAACTAGTATCTCATATTAAGAAATAAGAATAAATTGATTACTTTCCAAATTATTATTATGCCGTTTTTAATAATTTTATACAAAAAAGAGACTTAAACTAGATTACCAACTCTTATGTTTAGAAACAATATAAATTAAATCATTCTAAAAATAAATATTACTTAGAAAATCTTAATCAATGAGATTATTCAAATTTGAATTTTAACAATTTTTAATCTTTCTTTATGATAATTATATGATATTATATAAATACTTATATCATATTAAGAGAAAAAAGATATTATATATTAGTTAATGTATTAGGAATCTTAATTCATATAAAACTAATTTACTGGACAATAAATCTTAATCTGGGAAATATTATATATATATATATTTTAACAGATTGATTTATATATTCAACATTAGCATTACTAACTTTCTTTTGCTTTTTCTGTGCTTTTATTTGACCATAAATTAACATTTTTTTTTTCATCTTCCTGATTTTTATCAAAAGAATTTGATTTATCTTCTGTTATTTAAGATGATGATGATGATTACTAAATATATTAATATAAAAAATAATACTTTTTATTATTTTCTTTTATTCTTTTTCTCTTAAACCTATTAATCTCTTTTAGCCATTAATTTTATAGCAATTTTCTTGAATGCTTCTTCTACTCCATCAGCAGTCTTAGCACTTGTTTCAAAGAACATCATATTTCTTTTCTAAGCATATTCTTAAACTCTTTCACTCTAAACTTATTTTGTACTTAAATCTGATTTATTTCCCAATAATAAAAGTTCTGCATTTTTCTCTGCATAACTCTCAATTTCATTCAACCAAAACTTTTCAATATCATCAAAGGATTGTTAACATGTTGTATCGTAGACTATAACAATTCTAAAATTGATTTATGAATTAATTACGCATCAGCTCCTTTATAATAAGCATTAGTTATTGTCCTAAATCTTTCTTATCCAGCTGTATCCCAAATTTATAATTTTAAACCTTTATTATCTACTTTTAATGTTTTGAATCTAAAATCAACACCTATTGTTGTTATGTAGTTTTCACTAAAAGTATCATCGGCAAATCTTAATAATAGAGCAGACTTTCCAACTCCACTATTCCCTATTATAACTAATTTAAACAAATAATCATATTCTCTGTTAGCCATTTGAACTTATTTTTAATATAATAATATATCAGAATATTTTTAATTTGAATTTCATAAATTACAATCAGTATTATAATTATGCTTTTAATGAATATATCGATATTATAATAACAATATTTCTTAATTTTATTGATTCCCATTATTAATATTACACAAATTGAGATATAAATTATAGTTATATTAATCAATCTTATTAATGTAAATCTTCTCTCTTTATTTTTTATTCCTCTATTAACTAATCAATTTCATTTTTTTCAAACCATTTCATTCTTTTTCCTTCATTCCATTCACCAACTTTCACTTCTTTATTTTATAAATAATATATTCCAATTCCATGTTATCTTCCTACACAATTCATTACTAATTTTACCTTAAATCCAAGTTCCTATATATTTTCTACCATCAGCCCATTCAAAGACACCTTTACCATGTTTTTTATCTTCTTCATATTCCTATTATATACTAAAATCATTACACCAGTGTATTTACGACCATCCTGCCAAATAATCTATCCTTTTCCATGCATTTTATTCTTCTTCCATTATCCTTTATAAACTCTTTTATCTGGCCAAATATAAGTTCCTTCTCCATGGATATCATTTTAAAGAAACTCACCTTAAAAATATATTAATCCTTTACCATCATATCGTGAACCATCAGCAAAATTCAAAATACCCTTTCCATGTTTCTTTCCTTCATAATATTATCCTTCATATTTAGCTCCATCTGGCCAATTTTCTACTCCTCTACCATGCTATTTATCATTTTCCCACTAAAAATAGAATTTTTTTTTTACTTCTCCTTCATATTTGGCTCCATTTACATGTACATACGTTCCTTTACCATTTGCTTTATCATTTTTCCATTCTCCATCGTAAACATCTCCATCTGCATGAGTCAATTTACCCTAAATATTATTCTTTATTAATACTCTTCCAGAAGATTTATCTTCAACCCATTCTCCCTCATAAATTGAACCATCTGGCCATTTTTATTTTCCATATCCATCTCTCATACCATTTTTCCACTCTCCTTCATATACAGCACCTGACTCTAGTTATATTGGAGGTAACTTCTTTCTTTCAGTACTATTCATAGTGCTTTTAATCAGATCATTTCCTTCTTGATTGCTTGCTACGTTCATGCTAACTGAATGGTTGGCAGAAATATTTAACTATTTATCTAATTCTTATGATTTTTTAGAATTCTCATCAGCATTTTTAGGAGGCGCTTCTTTTGCAGATTCTCTTTTTTGTTCCTTTTTTTATTCTTTCTTTTATTTTTATTATTCTTAATCAATCGTAAATCTTTCATGTTCTTTTACTTAAACTTTTTGTTCCTCTTTTTTTTAATCATTTTCTTAATTATCAGGTTTCGGTTTAGTTTTTTCCTTTGGTAATCTAATTTCTGAATTGTCATTGTCTTTGTTTGCACAGCATGATTAACAATTCGCCCCCATAATATATTTTTATTATATTAAATAATATTTAATTTAACAAGTTTTTAATTAACAGTCAAAAAGCCAAACTATGATAATTTTGAAGAACTACCATTTGACTTAGTAAATAAAATGCTTGAAAAATTATAATAAACTTAATTATTTAAAAACAATTGTATTTAAAAATAATACTCTTAAGTATCAATTTTCAGATAAAATAAATTATATTAATCATAAAAATTAGACTGAATGTCCTCCTAGCAATCCTCTTTATTAATTTTGACCGCAAACCTAAATTAACTATTTAAGACAGATTTCTAATGCTGATTCATCCTCATATCCCAACTCAACTTAAATAATTTGATTCCATAATTACTTAACAAACTTCTATTGATATAATCACAAACCCTTTCTCTTTACTACTAACTGATAAGTCCTCTTAAAGCACTAACTCCAATATCATCGTAACATATCAAACCCAAAATACTTTCTATTTTAATTTTGATAGGGTTCAACTTTTCATCAACGCATTCTACTTGATATTATAAATTCTGGCTCAAATGAATTTATCCCAATACTATAGCCTCTTAAACTTTGTCCTTTTTCACTAATAATAAGATTGATAGACTACATAATTCAATAAAATATTAGGCATATAAAGTTTATTGGATTCCCTCTTTTTATAAAAATCCTGGCATCATATCAAGTAAAATATCAATAACTTCACCAATTTTACCTTCTCGAATAAGTTTTTGAATTTCTGATATAAATAACAAATATACTTATTCTTTCTTAATTAACTAATTGATCTTTTAAGAATGCTTATTCAGCTATTTAATTAAGTTCATTATTATTTTCTTATTCATCTAAATAAAATCCACTAACTTTTCTCTCAATTGATGATATTTATTAAAAGTTAGGACTTTATAATCCACTTAATTTTCTTTGTAATGCAGACATAGGTGTCATTTATAGACTTTGTTTACGTTTTAAATCACCATCACATTATTATTCTTCTTCATAATTCATTTCTTCTGGTTTTTTTTCTAGTCTCATATTTTCATTTTCTTGAAGAGAACTTTCTCTTTCAAATTATTTTAAAGAATTTAAGTATCCTTAACTCCATAAATACTCTTAAATAATAAGATGTAGACTATAAGGAGAAACATCTTATTTATCAATCTCTTAAATGATTTCATTCTTCTCCTTCTATAACATTTTCTAATAATCAAATATCATTGGACTAGCTCCTAAGTTGAAACGTAAAGCTACAACATCTCCACACACTACTGTTGGATATAATGGTTCTTTAAAATCAATTTTGATTGTTTGTAAACTACGAATTCCATTATGTGTAAAGAAGACTTCTGATTTATGAATTCCACATCCAATAATATCATCTTATTTGTATTGATTCAATTTCAAATCAATTTCTTGTTTTTTAAGAATTACTTTTCCATCAGAATAGTATCCTATACTTCCACCAATAATACCTAAAGGTTTGTTTGTTTGATAATTATCAAAAGCTAAGCCAATAGATATAATACTAAATTTATTAATTATGATTACTTTTTAACATTTTCTTTTTTTAGGATTTTAACTTCAAAGTAATAAAATGAGGAAGTGATAGCTTGTTCTGTTTAAAAGCATACATATTCATGTGTTTCTGGATTTGGTGAGTATTTTGCAGTGAGTCCATCATTTTCATATACTATATTCTAATGCTTTCTTCGATTAAGTTTTGCATTGATTAGAGTACTATTATCTTGTATTTTCAACACTGTATTAATGTATGGTTCTATTTGCATTATTTTTTAATTTAAATTAATGGAAATATTACATATTATCTAGAATTATAATAATACAATTTATATATATATATATTTGATAATATTTTCAAAGAGTTAAATATTTAGTCCCTAAATATCCTTATAGAATTTAGATCAGAAATAGAATTAACTTTATAGATGCAAAGAAATAATATTCTGAATCTAAATTTTAGATTGTTATTATAGCAAATTCGATTATGGCAAACAATGATAATATCATATCATTAATAGTGGAACAGAAATTAAAAATTAAAAAGTTCTTACCAAAATATTTTTTTTAAGGATTCAATAACTACATATAAATATAATACTCTTACCCATATCACCAATACTAATTCAGTTATTAGCTATGAGAATGGAAACAAAGATATTTAAACTATAGTCTCAATAACTTATAAATGATATATGTATTTTTATTCTAAAATAGCTTTATCTAAAACATCAACTATTAATTCTAATAAATATATCACATAAAGTGGAATTTAAATTATGCATAAAATGACCAAAACTGAAGTTAACATTCTCTCATTTTTAAAATCTCGATAACGTAAAAAGTAAGCAAATGTTATTGTGATAGCTCTTTTAATTCTAAGCCACCACATATTACATTTATTGATTTTTTATAAATTATTATCCTCTTCTTCTTCTAAATCCAATTTTTAAGTAATTAATGGTGTGAGTATTCCATCAGCTTCTATTTTTCTTTACATTTACATTTTTAAATTATTTAATTCTTCTTTATCTTCTTCATATCTTTAATATGTTGTTATTTATTTATTTATATCATTTATTGTATTTATTATTATTTAATTATCATAATATCTCTTTACATTAAAATCTTATTTTTCAAAGTTGACTGATACTTTAATCTAGTATTCTGATTTATAATTTACAATATAATGAAGTTCTCTTAAAGTTTATTAAAAATCAAGAAGTTTTTATGTAGTCAATATAATTAAAGATGATTATTAAATTCCTAATATATGAAAACATATATCTAATAATATTTATTTTTTGTTAAAAATCTCACTATTACTTTCATCTATAAATTCAAATAAAGAAAAACAATTTTTAATAAATTCAGCATTTCCCTTTCTTGTATCTATCTATAACATTAATAAGTTAAATTTTGAAATAAATTCATCAAATGTACGTATTTCCTCTTCATCATTTTCAGATACTAATTCATTTGAATCTTCATCATCTATTGGCATAAAAATCTTCTATTTCTCAAATGACATCTTCATTGATTTTACTAAAGGATCTTTTAAATTAATTTACCAAGGAAATAAGAAATCACCATCACCTTATAAAACTAAAGATATTGGAAATTAAGTTGATTTATTCCAATCTAATATATTATTATTATAATTTAAAACATCAATATATGCTAAAGTGTAATCTGAACTATAAGATATTTTGAGACAATAAATATTAAATTTATTATTTTTTTACATAAAACTTAATATCTGCTAAGATTTCTTCTTTTAATAGTACTTTAATAATATAAAGTAAAAAGGAAAATACCATATTTTTAATAACAATAAAGAAACTTTTTAAATATTTGAATATTTCCCAATAGAATTAATATTTTCAACTATATTATTAATATAATATTAATCTAATTAGGTATGAGGAGGTAAATGCCAAGGAGTACTTGGAGTATTATTACCTTAAACATAAAGTCTTTTAACATAGTACGGAAGATCTTCAGGTAAAAATTGGGGATCTTCAGATGCTGCTTCATATAGATTTGGATTCTCTTGAATTTCTGTTAATGATAATATTGTAGAATTATTCACTTTGTTATTAGAAGTTCTCTATTGTAAACAAAGGAATACAATGAAATTAATGACCAATAACCCAATAAAGAAAATAATACTAAAAAGTACAACTTCACCTCCAGATTATCTTACAAAATTATAAACAACACATTATTATTTATCTAGGATTTTTCCTGGTTTGCAAGATTAAATTTTACATATAGGACTAATAGATAATTCATACTTATTAACATCTTCATCATAATTAATGCATCTTTTACATTCTCCAACACTAGATAAATAAGTATAAAATCCTGAAGGACATTAAATACATTTTGAATTTTTTTTATCTATTCCATAACCTTAAGGACATTCATTATAATATATTGTTCCTTATAAAGATTTTATCCCTGCTCTAATTTATAAATTATGATTCATTGGATCTTCTAGAAATATTCTACCTCCACTTCCTGCTCCACTAATTTTTGAACCTTAACCCCCTTCAGCTGAGACAATTCCTCTTCCATACAATTTTCCTCTTAATTAAATTGATCCACCTGAACCTCCACCATAAATAATAGAATCATCTCTCTAAGATGATCCACCATCAGCTTATATAACTCCATCTATTATTATGTTAACACTTTAAAAGTAGATAACACCTCCCCCATATCCTCCAAAGTAATTGCCTCCTCCACCCGAACCTTCAAATAAGGGATTGAAAGGATTTCCATAAACTTATCTTGGTATTAGTTTTTGACATTATTCATTAAAATCATTCACTTCTGATGTTGGTCTTCCACCAAAACCACCATAACTTCCTCCAGAAGATCCACATTTAAGAGTATATGAAAGCATCCAATCATAGAATCCACAACCATATCCTTATTATTCTTTACATCCTAAACCAGTTGTATAAACTAAAGACTTTGAATCTATTGTTATATTAGATTAATTGGCATAAATACCAATACTACTTCCATATAATGATGTATTCTATAGATATACTTCATTTGAAGCAATTCCAAGAGTGAAATTATCATCTAAATCAATAGGAATTCTCTAAAAAGATTTAATATCTTTAATTGAACTTGAATTACAATAGCCTTAATTACATAAGCAATCTGCACCAAGACATTTTTATATATGACATTATATTATAGAATGCTCCAATTCTATATAATTAGAATAAATCATTAAAAGATTTGTATTCATTCTGACATCCTACAATAATAAGTTTTCTGCTTTAAATTAAACTTTTTCAAAATATACAAATACTACATCTTAGAATACTATTTATTATCCTTGAAATGCTAAATCTACTAAATTCTCACCGATATTTTATTAAAATGTTGAAGATTAAATAGTCATAATTTAGCTTATTAATGAATATTTTTCAACTGAAGATTAATGATTGACAATGCTAAAGACAACATTTATCATAGTAATATTTTCAAAGTTCCAGGCAGTTTATACAAATAACAATGCTTCACAGTCTTTTATAATACAATTTACCTGATTAAAGCAATCTAAATATTATTATTAGCAATCTTAAAGGGCAAATGCATTATAAATATAAATGAACAAGAACATATTTATAATTTATTAAATTATTATATGAGTCTTGTATTACAATAGTGTTAATTATTGAGTATTTATCTAAAGCACTTTCAAAAAGTCACACTTTTTTTCTGATTACTTAGTTTCATATAAAAGCTAAATTAATCTGATCCATAGTTAAAATTTTTTTAAAGAATTAAACTTCTTTCATTTATGGGAGATTACATTAAAGCCTTAATTGAAACCTAAGTAATTGGAGCATTTAGAGTTGCATTAACAATGCCTTTAGAACATGTACTTGATAGAATAAAGACATATAAACAATCTAAACAAGGAATAACTTATATATAAGTATAATAATAGATTGAGACTTTAGAGTTACTTAGATATCAAAGGAGCAAGAGGATTAATTGGATTATATGATGGCTTTTATCCTAGCTTTTTGAGAAACATGGTTAAACAATACTATAGATGGCCTATGATGATATTCATTCCTTCCATGCTGAATGATCATATCCATAATTAATCAATAAATAAAATAATCACAGGAGCATCAATTGGATTATTTGAAAGTTGCATAATTACACCTTTTGAAAGATTGAAAACTTTGAAGATGACTTCTATGGCTACAGGATTTGGTTATCTTAAATACATTACATTTGAATCTATTTATGTAGGTTTTAGAATTTAAACAACAAGATAAGTTGTTTCATGGACAAACTATTTATATTGGGATCATAAAGTCCGTTATGCATTAAAAGCAGACCCTGGACAACCATTATCTATAGTTAATTCATTGATTGCTTCATCATTGAGTAGTATTCTGAACATTTTAGCAGGTATGATTAATAATTTAAATCAGTGCATCCCTTTGATACAATCAAAACTTTAGTTTAAATGGAAGAAAACTAAAATTATAGAAAAATCTCTTTGTATTAGTCTTTTAAGATTGTCTATTAAAATTATGGTCTTGCAGGTTTATATGCAGGATGGTAAGCTAGAATTATAGCTTACTTTTGTCAAGCTCTTCTTACCACTCCCACTATAGATTATTTAGAAAGAAATTATGGTATTTCTAAAAGTAAAAAATAATAATGATGAGATTATTCTCATATCAAATTCTATATGTAGGTTGTATAATTTATATTTATTTTTCAAATTATCAACCTCTATAAATCATAAATACTAATTTAAGTAAATAATCTAATTAATTAATCATTTTCCCCAAAAATTTGATTCATTAGACTTAGGCATTTTTGAATATTCAAATTTATTCAATTTCTCATCTTCTTTTTAAGCAACCCATAATGTCTTTTTTTAAACAACATCATTTAATTTTTTAGGTTCTCCTGGATACTCTCTAATAGCATTATTTTACCAAAAATCAAAAGGATCATCTTTAGCATTAACATCCACAAATTTAGATTCATCAAATAATTTATTTTCTCTTGGTTTCCTTAATTATTCTTAAACCACTTTTATTCTATATTCATCTTCTACTTTATTTTATAATCTAAATTTAATTATGATAATATACTATCTTAATGTTTGACCTTATTATTAAACTTATTATTCTAATCTTTTAATTTATTCATCTTTCTATTTTAATTATTGATCTTAATCTTTAACTTTTATTACTAACATCCTAAGTTAAGCATTTCTTTATCTTACTAAATCTCTTAATTTATCATTTTCATCTTCAGTCTTTCTTTTTGTTGTAGCCAAATTTAATAAAGCATTATCTATTGCAAATCTAATATCATCTTCTTTATCACTCTCTTCTTTCAACATCTCTATAACATTTTATACAGTATTAATATCCTTTTAAGCTAATTCAATTTATTCATTCTCAAATTTATTTTCATCTTATAATCCTTCAGCTAGTAATTATGCCTCTTAGATTTCTCCATAAAGTTCATTTAAAAATTTAACTTCATGTTAATTTAAATCCCATGACTTTGCTGAAATACTATAATTCTTATTCTATTAAGATTAATTCAATTTATCTTCATGATTCTCTTATTAAACTTATTCATTAGTTTTTGATTTGTTAAGTTCATCTTTAAGAGACTAATTCAAAACAGATTAATTATTAATTGAAGATTAAGATTTCGATTAATTAAGTTATGCTTAAGAACCATTTTTTGAGATGTTAACTTAGGAGTTATTAACTTATTCTTTACTTTTATTTTTACTCATTTAATTATTTTTATTATTTTTATATAATTATATAAACAATTATCATTAACCTTATTTTCTAATTTTTTATTTCAAATTTATGTTTAGTTACTCAATATAATACATATTATTTATATTACCAAAATTTAAATAATAGTTATCAAATTTATATCCAATTATTAAAAAAAATAAATCTTATATATAACACTACATTAAATAAATATAACAATATCCTCCTCTATGAGATTCATAATAGTGTTTATTCTTACTGTAATTTTCAAAGATGTTATATAGACAGAAATTTAAGAAATTGTCATATTTAATAGTTTTATTTACTTTTAATAGTAATTAAAAAGTAAATTCTCAATTCAATTCCCTTGAATTTTTACTTACTTTAGCTAAACAATTATTAAGAGTAAAATGAAGAATATTCCAAATGATACAGAAATTCAGAAGTTTACAAATAATCTTATATGAATAGAAAGAACAGATGATTATATTATTATTATTTTTTATATAATACCCCATTCAAATATAATTTGTAATCCTAATCCCTTTCTCTAATATTATATTAATTTAATTCTTTATTTAAATTGTTTAATCCATTACATACTATATTATTTTTTATTTAATAAATTAAATATTTCAATTATTCATCATATTCAATAGTATGAGTTATTTGATTATAATTTCTATTCAATTTTAATTAGATCTAATAATTTAATCTATAAATTAATTAATTAAAAAATTAATTAATTATAAAAATATAAAAATTTACGCCCGAACAGGGTCTCGATCCCTGGACCTAGAGATTAAGAGTCTCTCGCTCTACCAAGCTGAGCTATCCGGGCGTATTGAACAAATTATCATGTATTTTCTTATGAACGGAAAGTTCATTTTAATTTTTAATATTATTTTATAAAATTTAATATTCATAATAATAGCTACAAAAACAATTGAAATAGATCTTAAAATTTTGGATCTTTGTTTTCATTATATATTAATTCTAATTTTGGTTTAATCTTCTTAATATCCTCAATAATTTTATTCTATTAAACTTCTTTTGCATAATTCAAAAATCTACAAAGAGTATCTACAAAGATCTTTAATATTACTGTATCAACCTCATCTATAAAGTTCCCTATTATTTCAATTGTTCCTAATTCTATTAATGTCTAAAAGACTGCATTATCTCCAGTCTTCTGAAGATTTTAAATAACTTGGATGCAATTCTATTTTTCCTACAAAACTGAAGCAATTAGTCCATTAATAATTCTATTTATTATTTTATGTTTAACAATTTTATTTGAAATTTAACGATCATTATAAGCTAGGTTGATAACAATTAAGAAGGACAATTTTCTTATTTATTTTTTTCTATTGTTACTATATTCTAAAGCAACATCTAAAATATCCTATTCAATCAGAAACTATATAAAATATAATCATATAATTACATTCGAAAAACTTTTAGATTCTGTTAATGAAAACTATTTCAAAACTTACAAAGTTGTTTCTTCAAATTCTCCTTTTAAAGTTGAAAATACATATTATACTATTTTTGAACTTATCAAGTACTTATCAATTTCTTCATCTTATGCATATAATACTGTTAATGGATGCAATATTTCATTTTATAACATATCACAATCATTTCTGTTAACTCCTTAATCTAGAATTTTTAAACAGGTAATTCTCTAATTTATATATAATAATATTAATTACATCTTTGCTGCCTAAACTTTGATTATCCATAACATAACATATATTATGCATACAAAAACAAATATTTCTATATAGATTACTATCAGCTGATACACTTAATTCTAGTAAACGATCTAAACATTTAACTAAATATTAACATATTTCAGGCCATTTATTTGCAATGTTTCCTAAATATATAAGAATCTATAAAATAATTATAATCAATACATCACTTATATCTTAGAATTCTGTTAATGTTAACAATAATTGATATGAAATTTCTAAAGATTGGATTAAATATTAAGGTTATTATTATAAAAACATTTTATGATTGCAAGAATTAGCTAAAGTTCTAATGACATCACATTGAACTTCTTTTATCATTAAACTTGGAATGCTGTGTTATAAATAATTATTTGTAATTAAGAATTCCTGATTCTATATAATTTAATTAGTATTATTGCCAGATACACAATTAAATGCAAAAAGATGAAGTTATTTTAATTCTTAAATATTCTAATTCATTTATGATTATTAAATTAATGGTATTAAGCTTGTTAATTCTAAATCATCTTTTTCTGTCATTTCATTTTGTTAGCTAATTAAAATCCTTTTTTAATTAAATATTCTTTCTCTATCCATTCTACGAATTTCAGATCGAAAGGCTTCTTTTTTTTGAGCGGCATATTCTTAAGGATTATTAAACATAATAATATAATCAATTAAATTATTTAAAATATTTTTTCTATTTTTTCTTATTTTTTCTTTATTTATTATTTTTCATCCTTTTAACATTTGGAGATTCTTCAGACCATATTGAATATTGTGATGGTGAATCTTATTAATGATATTTTTATATTGTTTTTTTGGTTGTTTGTGGTAGATTTTTGATTTATTCTTTCTAATGTTTTTATTTATATTAATGTTCATATTAATATTACTTTTCATTATGATGTTAATGTTAATGTTAATGATTATTTTAATGATGATGTTAATGATTATTTTAATGATGTTGATGTTAATGTTCATGATTATGTTTATTTTTTTAAGAATAATCCATTCTATTCATTTTTTCTCTTTCTCTTTACTCCTTCCCTTCGCAATATAATAGATCATATTTTTTATATCCTTTTGAAAAACAATTCAAATGTCCTCTCTCTTTGCAATTTAGACATAAAAGATCCTTTAGTCTTTGCTTATCCTTTTCAAATACATTCTCATCATCCATAATGATAACATTACAATCTTTAGATTTATGTCCCTTTTTATTGCATCTATGACATTTTTAGCCCTCAACATCACAATCCTTTGCCATGTGTCCAGCTTGGTTGCACTTGAAACACAAACTATTAGGGCATTTTAAATAATAATGATCTCCCAAACAAAATCGACAAGTCACTTTAGATTCACCGATGTCTTCAACACACCATTTTTCAAAATGGCCAGGCTTTGGTTATCACTACCAATTACTTTTTTGCATCTTCTACATACTCCTTTAGAGAGTACATCAATACTATCAAGATTAAAGTATCTAGTCTAGACTTCAGCTGATTAATCTGGATCTTCTTCTTTCTCTTCATCTTCTTTAACGAATCTGGCTATCTTATCTACTAAATTGGTTTATTAAGTGATTCTATCTTTGCTTTGATTGTACACAGTATAAATCCTTGGATCTTGGTCTCCAACTTTCTCAGATCTAACTTAATTTTCTATAATGGAACACAATGGTGCAGCTTCCACTACATAAACTGCTGGCAAGAAGTTATTGAGATCAAACTAATTGTAAAGACCACTCATTAATTTATTTATATTGAGAATTAATATAATTTATTCATCTAAAATAATCACTATCTCTAATTTATTGATATATCTGCATATATGTGGATTTTCAAACATATTTTACTGTTTAACTCTTCTATTTAATTTTAATTTTCCTTAAATAATATATATTTATATTTATAAATCCAAAATAAAGCTTTCGATTATTTTCATCAACATCATAACCTATTTCAAGATCAATTTAATTTTATAATCTCTTATGATAGTATAAATTATTATTCAAAAGATAATCTTTCTATTCACTCTATTAATAATTAATTATTTTCAAAATTATATATGATATTTAAATGTCAGATATCATTTGTCTACTTTGATTATCTTATCTTTTTTAATTCAAAATTAGATTTGATTGAAAGATGTATTAAAATCTTTTATAATTCCAAATTAGACATTTCATGTTTTTTGAATAGTTTAAAGAATAGAAACTAGAAGAAATACTCTTAATTCTTAAATTTCTAAATATTAATTACTTGATTTTTCTATCGATCTAATCAAGGTTGATATTTTATTAATTAATTATTTATAATATTATATTTGTGTTAAATGATTATCTAAAACTTGTAATTCGAAGAAATAATAATTAAACCAAAGAGTATCAAAAATAAAAATGCTATTAAAGAGAAGCTTTAATCAGATAAAGTTGAAGAGATTGATATAAATGAAATAACACCTTATTAAATACTTGAATTATTTCCAAATCATGTTACTTTATCAAGTACAAACATTCTGAGTGAATTATTGACTTAAAATTTGTCAGATGATTGCTTATATAAAATCTTAGGTATTTTAATTTAATGGGACAACTAAAACAATGTGGATTTTACAAAATTATATAAACAATTATTTTATTCACCCATGTAATTAAATTTATTTAATTTATAGTTGTAAGAGTATTGTATCAACCCATTTAAATTATAGTAGTGAGACACTCATAATTATTGTTAATTAATTGATTTCTGTATTTTAAACAGCCATTAATGATGAACCTTCCAAAATTGAAAATGTATTATTTTTAATTTAATTTATATAGATAACATCATGGATATCTATTCTTATAGAAAATAATAAATTGACAATGCCAAAAAAAGAGACATTAAAATTATTAAAGTTATTGAAACAATATTAAAAATATTAAGAATCAATACGAAATATCAAGCGACTTATTAATTTTAGTCCAGTCTAATAAAAGAAAGAGAATAAAGTAACCCAAGTGTATTTTTGAATTGTTTATAATTGTATCATTGGAAATTAGATATACTATCATAAAAGAGTTTAATAAATATTAATAAATTGTTTATACATTTGATTTTATCAACGATGAACTTATTAGAAATTTGCAAATGTTTTGGCTTTAAGTTTTGTAAGCTCATCTCTTAATATCTCAATTTCTTCAGCCTATTCTTTGGCCTTCTTAAAAAGTCTATAATTACGAGCAATTTAACTGAAATATATAGAATTTATAATTACGTAAATTTATCTTCTTATGGTTCTTATTATTCTTCTCCTTATCTAACATTCTTTTTATTCTACATATCTGATATATCTTACAATTATTTAACATTTCCCTAAAATAATATATATAAATACAGATAAAACTCCTCCTTAAGCAATCAATTATTAATTCTCTTTTTTAATGAAATCAATATCTTTTTCAATCTTTTCTCTCTTTTTGTTAATAATTTACAATCTCTTATCAGTTGCACTCTTTAAAAGATCTATTTAATCCTTAAGATTAGCCAATTCTCTCTCATTCAATCTGGTATCATCTTTTGTTAAAGCAATTTGCATTTCTTTTTTAACTTTCAATAATTAAACTTCTCTAGTTTTACATTCTAAATCTTAAATAATAAGATCTCTCTTTTTTAAATCATATTCATTTTTTTCAACCTGATATTTACTTTTAATAATATCTTTCATTAATTCAATTTTAGTGTCTCCTTCCTTTTTGATTTCATCATTCTTTTTTTCAATTGTTTCTCTTGGGATAAGTGCAGCATCTTGTAAATTAGGTACTGGTTTATCTTAACTAATTTCAACATATCCTTATTTGAATCTAAACATTACTTCAATATTAGATCTACTTTTTTCTAACATGTTATGTAAACTTTAAATGTCTTCTTCACTATTAGTAAGTTAAGAAGATAATTAATTAAAATCTTATTCAAACTTTTTATTGAAGTTTTCAAGATCATTAAAATCCTTTTCAACTTTTTCAGATTCTAATTTCATTTTAAATCTTTAACCTAATACTTACAATAATTAATCTCGAACATGTTCAAAATCTATTCCTTATAGATTACTAGCTTTTTCTTAGATATCAAATAAATAAGTTTCAAATTATTCATCTAATTATGCAGAAATTATTTTCTTTTAATTTTCAAATAATGGATCAATTTAAATAAGTATATCTTTATATTTTTGAATTTTGAGTAATTTTTCATCAGATTCCTATTTAGCTCTTTCATTAGTCTTTTAATCTTCAAAAGCATATTGCCATAGGATTTTCACTTTATTTGCATCCATACCTGCAGTCTAACCTCTATTAAAGTAATTGACAATTTAATCATTCAAAGTTTTTCTTTGTTATTAAGTTAAATCTCTAGTTTAATCTAGATTAGTTTTCATTTATTATAATTAATTTAATTATGTAGTCATCTCATCATGTAATTTCTCTAATTCCGAAACTCTTAATTATGCTTATTATGAGATAATAATTGATAATGCCAATCTAACTATTGATAATTCTTATTCAAGTATTCTATAATCATATTCTAATTTTCTTCTAAATAAAATTAACAATTTATCATCAAATCTTTAACAAATATCAGTAATTTCATTATTTAATTTTTTAAGTTCTGCTTCTAAATTTTTACGTATCTTTTCTTTTTCTTCTTCTAATTTTTATTTTCTAACTTCAAATTCTTTTAATTTCATTCTTTCTTCCTCTGTCATATCATCTGGACTCTTTTTCATCCATTCTTCTACTTCTAATTTTTCATCTAATGGAGTTTCTTTTTTTTCTTCCAAAGTACCTCCCATCATATCTTTAACTGCTCTAATGCCTGAATCATCTGCCATTAATGCTTTCATACGTGCTTCTTCTTTCAATCTTTCTTATTCCTTCTTTTCTCTCATTTCTCTTGTTTCATATTATGAGAATCCTATTTCTTCTGGTTTAACAGTCAATATTTTTTCTGGATCTTCTAATATATTCTTTTTCATTTATTATAATTAAGGATCTCTCTTTAATTCTCCATTAATTTCAATAATTCTTTTATTTCTTTCATTAATGTTATCTAATTATTATTATCTCTATTTCTAAATCAATTCAAATTCTGCATTAAATTATCTTTTCATTGAAAATATCACATCATTAATTAATATCATTTAATTTCTTTTTCTATTTAGTGTAAATAATTCACTAATCCCATACAAATAATCCCATTCTGTCAAATCTTCACTTCCCTCCTTTTTCTCTTCTGTAGCCTTTTGTTGTTATTATTATTTCTCCAGCTCTTTCTATTTTTCCTCTTCCTATCTCTTCTCTTCCTCTTATTATTATTGTTATTATTATTATTATTATCTAGCTTTGATACTAGCAGCACCTGCTTATGCTCTTCCAGGTGGTTATTTTTATTAAACACCACCTACCCCAGGTTTAGCTGCAGCCTTAGTAGGAGCAACTTCTTCCTTTTTTTCATAATCATTTAAAACCATAGTTTAAATACCAGGTTTAGAATTTATAATATATTTAGGATCTTATATATGTTCTTCAATACTCCAAACTTCTTTAATTGCTTATGATTTTCTAATTTTTAATTCTCTGATTTCTTATTTTCTTAATTCTCTAATTAATTTTAATTTTCTCATTTCTTCTGGTTGTCTAACTCTAATATGATAATTAGTCACAATAATATGTTAAATCAATCCATTAATTCCCTTTAATGGAATTTCCATTTAATCCCATGTTCTCTCTTTAATCAATTAATATAGAATCTCTTATCTAACATTTTCTTTTTTTACCAAATCTCTTAATGCTTATTATTATTTCTTTCCATCCTCCAGTATAGCATCTCTAGCATATAGATCAATAACAAATTCATCTCTTGATAATCTTTCTAACTCATCAGCTTCTGCATTTTCTTATAAAAGTGCATTTAATTTAGATTAAATTTATTTGAGTAAATCTTTTGTTTATCTTTTTTATTGTTCTCTAATAGGAGCCTATTATTCAAGAAATTCAATTTCCAAAACCTATTAATAATATCTAACTTCTTAATCTGGTATATCCTAAATTTCTATAGGAGCATTGTAATTATTTTTCATCAATTATGCTGCATCAGAATCTCCTCTTATTTTCTCTCCTGTCCACCAAAATAAATCTCCTTCAAAACCACCAGAATATATCATTTTATATTTTTATGATACAAATATTGTTGAAACGCCACCAGATTTCAAATTGTGTCCTCTTAATAATCTAACATCTTAATTTAATTGTTGATAACTTCTAAACATTATTGTTCCATCTTTAGCAGAAGAATATAAAAAGTCTTTTATTGCTAAACATGTTGCTGGTAATTGATGACCATCTTATTCATCAACTGGAGGTTAATTTGCAACTCTCATTTTTAAATCCATTTTTGATAATAATTCTTCAGGAAACTTATATTTTTTAAATATTTTATCCTTTCCTGTTGTTATTACTTCTTATTAAGGTGTAACTATTAATAAAGTTTAATCTGGATCAATCTTTCTTCCCATAATTTAGACTTCCAATTTCAAAGATTATGATTATTTTGGTTGAGGTATACTCAATAATAAAAATGAACATATACAAAATAATTAACCTTTTCCATAAGCAATTGCTTAACAATTAAATGGAAGATCTACAAAACCAATCAAATTTTCATTTTAAAAGAAAAATATTGTTGGAGAATCAATACTACAAACAGCCAAATTGTTATCATTAATACTTATACTTGTAATAGGTTTATCAATATAGAGTTTTATCATCTTGAAGAGTACTGGCTAACGTATGTCAGCAACATTATAAAATCTTAATACTCCTGCTGATGTACCTATTATTAAGTTTGGTTCAATCAATTCCCCTGTAAAGATTTTGCCTTCCATATTAAAGCTACTCAGTGGTTATTCTAGAAATACAAATATATTTTACTTGTTATCACATCCATAAATAAGACTATTCCTTAATCTGATCCACATACAATTACATTATGTTATTTGTATTCTCGAATAAATGTTATGACTCCTTTTTAAAAAGGTCCTAATTTAACAGGTTCAATTTCATGAGTCAAATCTATGATTTTATCCTCTTCTTATTAGTCAACTTATGCTTCGTCTTCCCCCAATTAACCTTCTGCAGGTACAGGAATTATAAAGAGAGTAGCATTGTCTTATGAACAAATAAGTTTAGTGCATTATTGATTGTACATGATTTTTTTGACTTCTATTCGATCATGAAAATTATATTTCTTATTCACTTTAAATGGTACGGCAACTTTATCATGCAAATTGTTAGTTATATATTTGTACAACCATTCAATTTTGGAATGGGCATATACAACAATTAAATGAACTTAAGTTGGAATTAAATGTTTAATTTCTGAATGACATTCATATCTTACAATTTCAGTTAGATTTGTTCCATCTAAATAAATCAATACATTTCCTTAAATTAAATATATATTATTTTATTCGAATTGGTTTTTTGAATCATCTATTAGATTATAATCTTAAACCATTATTGTTGGAGCTGATAACTCTATTGATGCTACTAATTCTAATTAGACCTATTTTTAAATTTGATTATCATAATGAGGTGTTATTTAATATAATTACAATTCATTTGCATATCTTATAAGAATTCTTTCATTTAAGATTGTAAATTTTGCCTCTATAAAATTCAACTTTAATGGTAATTGACTAAACTTTCCTTTGACTCTGCATTTTTCTCTTAAATCCCATAAACATATTTCAAATTTTGGCACTCCCAAAATGACCAATAAATAACGTCCACATTAAGAGACTTCCATTTAAAGTATTTCTAATGGACTCACTCCTACTAAATCATATTCATTTTCATTATCATAAACATGAACTATTGGATTAAGCCCATATTCTGCTACAACCAATATGTTTTTCCTATAATGAACTGTAAAACATTAGAATCCTTATCTCTAAGAATGCACAAAGGTTTTGCTATTGTTTTCTAGATTCCACTTACATAAAGTATCTAAAAAATCAATTAATATGATTACTTCCTGCCAAAAAGCCAATTGTGTCTTATTCTAGCAATTCCCATTTTTCTCCAGTAAAAGCTATACAATCGCTAAATAAATTAAATCACTTCTTACTAAACATTCATCGGTTATCTTTTTTAGAAATATTAATTAATATATTTTATTTGCACAAAAGTAAGTAATAAATGATGAGCATATAATAAGACTAATGGTCATGTTATAAATGTTAAAATTTGATGTTAGATAATTACTAATAAGCAAGAGAATAGATAGATTAAGAAATTAAATAATTATTGAAAGTCATCTAAAATTTTATAGCATCAATTCTACAAATATCAACATCTGATTTCAAAGTTGATGATTAAGCTTATAATTTTATAGTTAATAAACAAGCAGGTAAGAAGGATTTTTATTATAAATATTGTTTGTATTTTGAAATATGTTAAAATTATATAAATAGAGAAACTAAATAATTAATAGAAAGTTTAAATAAGTTTTTAATAGAAGTATAAAAAATTCATCCACATAATTTTATTCAAGAAAATGTAAATTAAGAAGAAAAAAAAGCTTAAAAAAATAATTGGTAAATGGTTGATAAAAAAGATTAATAGGAACTTTGTTGCTGTTTAGCTTTTAATAATAATAGTACTTTTTTAATTGCTGGAGCCTAATCATCAATTAAATTATGGAAGTTTGCTTAAGGATAATTAATTGAAGAATCTTTAATTTTATATGGTCATGAAAAACCTGTAACTTGTTTAGTTTTTCATAAAAATTAGGATTTTTTTATATCTGGAAGTGAAGATTGTACTCTTAGAGTTTGGAGAAAGTAATGGGTGTAAAATTGGATTTCAAAAAGTTACAAAATCTCTTAATAAGAAGTTCTTGGGGTCTTATTAGATGAATAATCAAATTAAGTAATAAGTTGGAGCAAAGAAAATATTATAAAGATTTATTTATTATTTAATAAAGATGAATTAAAGTAAATTCAAATCTTGATAAAACACAAGAGTAATATAGATTGTGTTTGTATGGATTAAACATCAAAAATACTTTGTTCATCTGGAAGTGACAAATAATTAATTATTTGGAAAAAAAATTAATAAACGGAATGGTAATTTTAATATGTAATAAGTAAGACTAAAAATGATAATATTTGCAGAATGACCTTTCTTAATGAAACACTAGTATGTGTATATTGGACTGAAGGTATTGTTCAACCTTTTTAATTAAAAGATGATAAGTATGTTGAAAAATTAGAATTATACATTAATTTAAATTCTTAATGTGATGGAGAAATTCTATTTCCTTGTATTTATAATAAATAATAAAATATACTTATTATGAAACATTACAAATATATTTATATTTTTAATAGCAATTTAGTTTAATGTTCTATACCAATAGAATGCCAAGATTATTATTGTTATGGTGCTTTATCAAATGATGCAAAATATTTAGCTATTTGGGATGATTCATCAAAAATGATAAGAATTTATTAAAATCCTTAATTATGAATAAGAAAATCAAATTTAATATTGTTTATAAACAAATTTCAATTAGATTTCTCAGTTGATCCAAATAATTCCTTTTCTAATTATTATCTCTTTATTTAATAACTCTTTTCATTCTCTTTTTCCTACTATTTATTCATTTATATTTCATTTCTGATCTTCTCAATTTAATATTTACATTTCAACAATAATTAACCAACATTTTAACCATGTTTAGCACTTATCATAATGTAATCAAAATCTTCTTTTATTAGATCAGCTTTATTAACACAAACTATATAAGGCTTTTATAAAATCTTCTCATTATACTCCTTTATTTCATTCTTTAGTATTTATAATTATCCTTCAATATTTCCTGCTTATCCATCTAATACATACAATAATAGCTAAATAATTTCATAAAATTAAATACTCGACATCGTTCAATATGTCTTAAAAATTCATGTCCCAATCCCTTATCATTATGAGCTTCTTCTATTAATCCTGGAATATCTGCTATTGTCATCTCCATATTATCAACAAACCTAACTTTGCCAACCATAGGATTCAATGTAGTAAATGGATAATCTGCTATCTTAGGTAAAGCTCTTGATGCTGCAGCTAAAAATGTTGATTTTCCTGCATTAGGAAATCCTACCAATCCTATATCTGCTAAAGTTTTCACTTCTAAAAATATATCCTTTTCTTATCCTTATTATCCCAATTGAACTTCTCTAATTCCAATATTTCTTGCATTTCCTTTTCCTCCAGAACCACCTTTAGCAACCAAACATTCTTTATTATGTTAATCAAGATCAGCTATTAATTCTTTTGTATCATCAGATTTTATCTCAAAAACCAAAGTTCCCAAAGGAACACTTACTTTTATATCTGAACCAGTTTTTCCATTACATTTCAATTTCATTCCTTATTTACCATTATTCCCAATTACATGTGGCTTTCTTATAATACTTAAATCATATATTTATTCCGAAGCCTTCAAATAAATATCTCCTCCTTTTCCTCCATCACCTCCATCAGGGGCTCCTGTAACTACAATACGATCTCTATTTCATAAATTTAGAACTCACCTATAATAGCACACACATCCTTTACCACCATCACCTGCTTTTACTTTTATTTTCATCTTATCAACAAAGTGTCTCTCATTAAAACTAGCTGTCGATTTTAGTATTGTGCAAAATTTGCTGTAAATTTTCATGAATTAATTATATTATTGTAATTTATTTATATTTTTACTTTTTAATTTTTCTCATTTTTATGAATTTCTTACATGATAATTTCGTAAATAGATTTAAATAACTAAAATCAATTATATATTATAATAACAATTATTATAAAAATAAATACATTATGAAAAGGGGATTATATTTGAAATCATATATAAAGTATAAGGAATAGACTTATAAATTTATATATGAAAATAAATTTTGTAATATTAAGCAATATATAACTCAAATTTATGACGGATTTTTTAGTTTAATTGTAGATAAAGAAATTTCAGAATTGATTACTTTGCTAAACTATTTATTTTTTATTTAATGTTTTCTATAATAAAAAGTAATTGTTGCCAAAACTATTATTAAAATCATGATAAAGATAAATAAACTTTATTAAGAAAATTCTTTTTATACAATATTTTATTAATATACTTACATTTATAGGCTCACTTTATCTAAGGAATAATTTAAATATAAATTACCTATCTATATTTAATCATTACTAATAGCTGAAAATTCAAGAGTTATTGGATATGTAATATCTTATTTTTATTTTTATAATACATAACCTCCTCTTTTCCCTGCATATAATACAATAGATTGATTGTGTTCAAAATGTTTATAAAACAAATAATGTGTACTATTTAATAAGTCCATGTTTAAAAGGTTTTTTGTTGAATGAATTGGATCAAAAAGATAATCAGAATCTTTCATATCATAATAATATCTAGTAATTCCACACTATAAGATAATTTCTTCTTCTGCTATCACAATATATTTACAAGGTTAATAATTTTCAGGATATCTTAGAATTTTATTATTCTCTAATTCATATCTTTTTTCTTTTAGATATAGTCTAATTTAAAACTGCACAGAAAATTTCTTATTGCTGATTATGAATAAAATCAAATCTATTTATTAATTAACTTAACTAAAATTCTAGTTTATTAATTTTACAAAATTTGTCTATAATTTTTCCAATAATCCATTAAATAATTCTTTAAGTTAATAATTCATAATAGATATTTCAAATATTGATTAGAATTCAACCTTATAATTTATGATTTTAAATAGTTTAATTATAATCATTTTTTTAACGTTATTTACAAATACTTCTATAAATTATTCAGTACTTAGATTATAAATTAAACTCTATTAGTTTAAAGTAGGAAAAATAACTTAGCTAATGTCATTTTCATCTATTATGAATCTATTTTGAACTTGATAAAATTATATTATTAAAATATTCTACACTAACACTATTTCTTCTAGATCATTGTTGAAATGAGTATCAATCTATTTTTAAAGTTTTAAGATTTAATCTTTTAATATCATTAATGATATTTGGAGAGTCTCATTATTTATTTAATGTATAAATAAGAATTAATTATCTTTTATCATTTCTATGAATAAAATATTTTAAATGTAATGTTATAAACCATAAATCATATAAATTTTATTGGATTATCCAACTTTAAAAAATATTCCCGATCCAGAATTAGTGAATTAAAAACAAAACTTATTACAGTAATATGAACACTACATAATAAATTAATTTTCAAAGGGATATTTTAATTTAAAGTTATTATTAACTTTCAAATATATATTATCGATTTTTCCAAGAATATAATGTCTAAAATTTAGCTCCTGATTCTCATATTTAATATATAAATTTTAATTGCTTTAGATTAACTTTAATATGCTTGGATTTATCAGTTTTATCATTATACTTTGATTCATTGGAGGAATTTCACTATCTTCCAATTCAACTTGAAATTACAATATCACTTCTTAGCTACTTTTATTATTAAATTCTAATTGCTCTATTTAAATAGTTATATGTAATAAATCTTAAACAGATAATTAATTTTAATCATTAAAATAATATAAAAAGTACTTTTGAACAAAAAAAAAATGATTTTTTGTTTCTATAACTTATTAAAGCGAATGAAAAGAGATTTGAGACTCACTCTTGAAAATTAAAAGAAATAATTTGTTATTAATTTTATGTTTACAAGAAATTATTATTATTTATTCTTAGACTATAAATTAAAGAGGTTAAATAGGGACATTATTCTCTAAATTATAACTTCTTATTAATCGAAACTCAGTTATTGATAATATATATAATTGCAGTTCATTTTTTATTAGATCTAATAAAATTAAATTGATAAGTAAGGTACTTTGAGATTTAGCTTTACATCCAAGTACTTTAGCATTAATTTTGATGACTATGTTATAAATAAAATATATACTTTAAACAGTTACTTCTTTGTATATTAATTATAATTCATTAGTGTACACAACAACAATAAAATCATTCAATAATTAATAGATTTCTAAACAATTTAGATTAATTTATTTCGGTAAATAAGCTTATTCTAATTAAGGTTATGTATATTGTAAATTGTAGAATACAAATTAATCCTTCAATTTTAATATAATTTTATAATTTATATTAAAAATCTTTTCAATTTATGACTCTAAACAAGTAATCTTGATTGGCATTTATTATAAATTTTCATCATGTAAAATTAACTTATATAGACATCGTTTTTATTAATCCAAAAGTAAAAGAGAATTTAAATAATCAAGATTAAGTACTATTTATTTATTTAAAGGTAATAAACTTTCAAACATATGATTATTTTGATTATCACAACTATATTCAACAATATTATTTCGATAACCTTCTACAATTATAGAATAAATTTAATCATTTTTAGTTTTAATAAAAAATTTTCCTTTATAATTTTTTAAATAACGATTAAATTAACATTTTACTTAATTGCTTTTTAATTACAAATTAATTTATTTTGATGAAGAAGAGAATGTTATTCTATGAGGTTGAATTGAAGAAAATGATGATCTAATAATAGTTATTAAAAACTTATCATCATAATTGGTTCTCTCAATATAATAATTTTTATTTTTTAAATTAATGTTTAAAGCATATTACTTTTTCTATTCATCATTATCTATTATAATCAGTTTATAACAATCCCAATTATTATTCTAAATATATGCTAAATCTTTTGCTAATTCCAATCTAATGTAGTATTTTGAGTATTCGTTATTGATATTATAAGATGGTAAGCATTATTTTGAATACTTTATTAGAATTAATATTATTTAATTATCTTCTCCTATTCCCATATATATTCTTTAATTAGAGAGTTATAATAAATTTTTAATTTTTAATTTTATAGATTAATGAAGGAAGTCATTTATGTAAAAAGTTAAATAATCTTCATATTTGAAAAATATACTAGATGGAAATTTAATTACAAACATTTATTTTGGAAAATCCTTTGTATTAAAAATTATATCTGAATACTTTTAGGAAAGGGAAGACAGAAAATAGTTATTGGTTTAAGCTTTTACTGCAAAGTTTATTTGACACTTATTATTAAATTCAATCAGAGTTTCATTTAATTTTAGTCCCTATGTAATAAATAATTACATTAAATTTTCATTATTCATCCAATATCCACCGGATGAAAGCAAAATTAAAAAATTAGATTAACATGGTAAAACTTCAAGTAAGTTTCCTTCAATATTATATTTCTCTTTTAAATAATTTTGATCAATTTCTAATTTAACAGTATTGTTTTCATAAATTTAAATCTTCCATTCTAAACATTAAAAGTATATTATAAGAAAAGAATTGGAATATGAGTGAAATTTTAAAAGACATTATAAATTGTGATTTTCTGATTGAAATATAACAGTTTAATTTAACTTATGTTATTCTATAGATAATTAATAAAGTTTAATTTAATGAATGGAATAACAAAATAAAATGTAGCCCTCTGTATTATAATCGAATTATGAGCAGTTAAAAGTTTATACTGTTTATATTTCTAAATTAAATTAAGTATTAATGAGTAACTAAAACTTGTTATCAATAATAAAGGTTGGTGATGTTGAAATACAATTTAAAGAATATGTATTTATTTAAGTATTATAAATTAATGAACAAATCTCATTTTCATTTATAAGTTCCCTAAATTTTATACTGATGACTATATCATCCTTTGAAAACAATAATGGTCCACTTGATACTTAAATTAAATCTTCAGATAACTAAAATGTGTCAGTATTAGTAAAATTATCACTATTTTAACCTATAAAAAAGTAATTTAAATCTCTAAATTCACAATATAATTCATTTTATTATAAAATCAAATTTTCACATGAATTTGTATCTTGATTTGCTTCAACATTCTGAATTAAACTTTAAATGAGGAAAATAGTTTATAAAAGTAAGGATTTTGTAAGAATCATCTCAAATAAAATAAATAAATATTTTAATCCAATATGGAATACTCAAATAGAAATATTAATCAAAACAATAAAGTGATTTCAAATAAATCAATATGTATTTATCAATATCAATAAATAAAAATTAATGATAAGAATAAATATTATTTATCTTGAGAATTTTTAATGTATAAAATAGAAAAGATGTTCTTAGACTTTTATATTTTATTAAAATCATTTTATTTGACTAGATTGTAAAGTGAAATATATTTTAGAATTGAAATAAGAAGATGGCTAAATTTAGAGGGAGATAAGATGTGATTACTTACTTAAAACATCTTTTGTATATTATAGTAATATAATTAATTAGAGCAGTAAAATTGTATTATATATTCGCTTATTAAATATTTGAATTATTTATTATAAATCTAATAAAAATAATTTGCTAAAAAGCTTCTCTTTAGAGAAGTAAAAACTTATTAATTCATAAAATGACAATTTTTAATTGTTTGCAATATGAAATTGATTTATAAATATGATATAGTAATAAATATTAGACAATTTTTTATATAAACAATTATAAAAGTTTCAAGTAGATTTTTAATGTTATGTATATACTATTATATATAAAGCTTGATCTCTTTCTACTCAATTTATAAATTTTGAGAGCAGAAAATTAATCATAAAATATAATTTATATGAAAATTTGATTATGGAAATCTTTATATTAAGTTTATACTGAGTATGAATAATAAAATCAGCCTTCATTTACCTACTTGTAGTTCATTTTCTTTTGCAATTCTTTGAATGATATTAGGAAATTGAGAAACTAGTAGTTATAGTTCTACAATTACTTGTTAAACTATTACAGATTGTTATAGAGTTAATGATGTTTAAACTAGCATATTAAATTAAATATCTGGTTGGACAGCTTTGAACATAGGCTATAAATATGATAATTTATGTGTATAATCAATACAAACCAGTGTTCCAAATGGACTTTTAAGATTTAGAAGGTAAGCCAACATTACCAGATCTCCAGATATCACATTATCAGAAGTTCCTTTTCTTTTTTAACAACAACTACTACTCCATAAAATACACCTACTAATTATTTACGTTAGATATACTTTTACAGTCGATTTAAAACAATTTAATTCGATATTATTGTATTTTAGCATTGTAGTATATTTAAATTTTGATATTCATTAATTTATATCTATCCTTTATGAGCTATAGTTTCACCTATTCAACTAGCTGCCATTTTTAATGCATTTAATCATGGGATTAACTAATTGTTAACAGATAAAGTCTAACCAAAGTTTTTGGAAAAGTTTGTGATAGAAACATTTTATACATTACTAAATTTAGGATGATAAAACATATAACATTCTATCTAAATGTATTAAAATTATAAAGCATGCTATGTTCAAAATTATGATTTTATAAAAGTTGGATTTTCAAATAGATAGAAGATTGTAATAACAACAAAAATTTATGAAATTGAATTAACTTGGTCAACTTATGCTAACAATAGCTATTTATATATATGATGACGTTAGCTCTAGACTAATGTGGAATAATAAGAATCAAACAATTATCTGATGTAATTTGGATTAATATAGTAAAATATGATGGTTGGTATAAATAAATAATTATTGATATATTAAATACAAATGGATCAATATTGCAACTTATGCAGCTGTCTATACTTCAACATTTAATTAACTATTTTGAGCTACATATTCATCATCTGTAAATACAGCAGTTTCTGTAACCTGTACATATGATGTAACTTTAACAACTCCATGTCCTGCCTTTGCTGTTCCAGTTATATCAATAGAGTAATTAATGATATTTCATCATGATGATATTGAAGGTTTCACAGCTATTACATCGTCTAATACCCATATTATAAATTAGCAAAATGTTGATTTGGAACAAATATATAATTAATATTAGACATAATATGATAATATATTTATGATATTATCTATTTTATTAATAGTAAANGATTATGGAAATCTTTATATTAAGTTTATACTGAGTATGAATAATAAAATCAGCCTTCATTTACCTACTTGTAGTTCATTTTCTTTTGCAATTCTTTGAATGATATTAGGAAATTGAGAAACTAGTAGTTATAGTTCTACAATTACTTGTTAAACTATTACAGATTGTTATAGAGTTAATGATGTTTAAACTAGCATATTAAATTAAATATCTGGTTGGACAGCTTTGAACATAGGCTATAAATATGATAATTTATGTGTATAATCAATACAAACCAGTGTTCCAAATGGACTTTTAAGATTTAGAAGGTAAGCCAACATTACCAGATCTCCAGATATCACATTATCAGAAGTTCCTTTTCTTTTTTAACAACAACTACTACTCCATAAAATACACCTACTAATTATTTACGTTAGATATACTTTTACAGTCGATTTAAAACAATTTAATTCGATATTATTGTATTTTAGCATTGTAGTATATTTAAATTTTGATATTCATTAATTTATATCTATCCTTTATGAGCTATAGTTTCACCTATTCAACTAGCTGCCATTTTTAATGCATTTAATCATGGGATTAACTAATTGTTAACAGATAAAGTCTAACCAAAGTTTTTGGAAAAGTTTGTGATAGAAACATTTTATACATTACTAAATTTAGGATGATAAAACATATAACATTCTATCTAAATGTATTAAAATTATAAAGCATGCTATGTTCAAAATTATGATTTTATAAAAGTTGGATTTTCAAATAGATAGAAGATTGTAATAACAACAAAAATTTATGAAATTGAATTAACTTGGTCAACTTATGCTAACAATAGCTATTTATATATATGATGACGTTAGCTCTAGACTAATGTGGAATAATAAGAATCAAACAATTATCTGATGTAATTTGGATTAATATAGTAAAATATGATGGTTGGTATAAATAAATAATTATTGATATATTAAATACAAATGGATCAATATTGCAACTTATGCAGCTGTCTATACTTCAACATTTAATTAACTATTTTGAGCTACATATTCATCATCTGTAAATACAGCAGTTTCTGTAACCTGTACATATGATGTAACTTTAACAACTCCATGTCCTGCCTTTGCTGTTCCAGTTATATCAATAGAGTAATTAATGATATTTCATCATGATGATATTGAAGGTTTCACAGCTATTACATCGTCTAATACCCATATTATAAATTAGCAAAATGTTGATTTGGAACAAATATATAATTAATATTAGACATAATATGATAATATATTTATGATATTATCTATTTTATTAATAGTAAATTTGATTACATCATCTGCTGCTTAAACTTATGTTGGTGAAACACCTTGTACAGGATTGTCAAGTGGAAGTTGTACTGCAAGTGCAATATCTGGAATTGGATATTGTTATTGGGAATCGTAATTTATAACATAATTCCTCATAATAGAACTTGTCAAACACTTCCATGTTATATGATTGATGAAGTAGCTGCATGTAGAGCAGGTTCTGGATTAATAACTGGAGGTGCATCAACTCTTTGTGATTCATTAGAAACTTTCAGTTTATAATATGATAATGTTTGTTGTGAAAAAACAGAAGGGAAACTAAATTATGCTTTTGTGAGATTTGTTAAAACTACCGATGGCTATTTTGATAAGGCTAGTGATGGAACAACGACATTAACATCTTTAACTTCATAAACTTCAGCAAATATATTTTTATTATATACTGTAAATATATGGAAGATTATGCCATCATTTACAACTTTGCCTACAGTTGCCAATTTTTAATCATAATTAGGAGCCATTTTAAATTAATATAAGACTTTGGCAACTGCATTACATGATTTACCAGATTCACATCCATTTTATTTAGAAAGAACTGTTTACTAATCATTATAATTATTAAGAGTATATGAATAAATCAATCTTAGGATTTCATTGTTTTATAAACCACTTCATAAAATACTATGAGAGATAACATATTATAATAAATATGGTCAATTGCCCTTATTGCATTATTTAGGATGACCAAATTCTAACCTAATTATTATTAAACAAATTACTATTTTATTAACTTTGCCATAATACCTTATTCAAGAAACTCAATCATAATAAATGGACAATAACATAGTACTAAAATTGATTGGTCAAGCTATGCTTATGGTTCAAATGGTTATTTAATGGTCTATTCATTTCCTCCTGAAATGTTCGGAATTAAAAATGCTTTATCTGATGTCATCTGTTTAAGACCAATAGTTGGAAGTTCACCAGTTTATAATGCTGCTGAAAATACTTTCGATACTGGATTTAAACCATTAACAATAACATGGTCTTGGACTGACACTTCATTAACTGTTGTTGCTGCCAATCTAAAATTATATAAATTTCCTATTAATAATGCTTTAGAAAGTGGTATTACTTAAGAAGCTGGAGTGACTTTTACTTGTAATTTAGGTGGTAAATACTGTGTTTCAACCTCTATAACAGCAACACCTGCTAATACAGGAGTTAATTATTTTATATCAGCAGGATTAGGAGTTGCTGCAGACAAAAATAAAGTTTAATGTAGATTGTAAGGAAGAACATGGTCAGGTTCAAGTTGTTCTTGAATATCCTATTATTAATAAAATTAAAATTAATTAAATTGTAAATTAAATTAAAAAGTCTCAGCCATTTAATAAATAAGATGGTTTTTCATTAATTTTAATAAATTATTAATGATTTGTCTTTCTGAAAGGAAAATCTCTATTCATTAGAACAAAGGTTTAGTTTAATTACCTGAAATATCCAAATCTTCAGAACTTTTAGTATCATTATTATTCATCAATATAGAAATTGAACAATAGAGCATTGTAATCTACTCAAACTAAGAAGAAAACAATACCCTAATCTCCAGATAAGGATACTTATTATATAAAATTACCTTAAATAAATTAGAAGGCTTAGGATAAAACAGACAACTTTTTTAAATTATCTAAATCACAAGTATAAACATAAAAAATGTAATATTATTACTTATAATAGACTTTATGGAGATACTTCACTTGACAACATAAGCAAATATAATAAAAAAATACAAGATATCTCAAAAAAACACAATCATTGTATTAATAAAATTGAAGAACTGTATATGATTACCAAATAACATTCATGAAATCATGCTTTAAGCTATTATCCTTGATTAATTATTTTAAGTTCTTATAATTAATAATTATCTTCTAAGAGTCTAATCTTTGAGATCTTTTAATTATTACTAATATTTTCTTTTTATCCTATCTGGTATCTCTATTTCATCAAATAATTAACCCTTTAACTTTATAAGTTACTCTTAACGATCACTTTATCCTTACTGTTTATGTTAGCACCTAACAACTGTACCTTCATTGTACAAAGTAGCACAACGTACTCTTATTTTTTTTCTATTTGAATTACTATAAATAGGAGTGAATCGTTAAGTTATTTTGGCAGGTGATGAATTATGATAAAACTTTTTCTCTTATTACTTATTTTATTTCTATATCTCTTCCACTCCAAATATTAAGTTCCTATTTCCTGATAACACTGCTGATGCTGTTTATAATCTCTCTTATCGACTTAATGTTTATGTTCTCATAACACTATTTATGTAATTTTCTATCCCACAATGAGGATTCTTTTAAATAATTGCATAAAAATTCTAAATTATTCATATTCTTACTAAATTTGAAATCTTATAACAATATGCTTGTTCTTTACATTTTGCAGTATATTATCTACTTGTATTCATCAAACAATCCAAATCTCCAAATAATTCTGGTTTTCCTATTGTTGTAATTGGCAATGATTTATGTTTATTCTAAATATCAAACTATTTACTCAATTCAAATTCTCCCTCCTAAAAATAATATTACTATCAATTACTCTTATCATATAAACATAATCTGCCTATTCACCTTCTCTATAAATTATCTAATTCTTTCGGAAATACACCAAAGTAAAAAAATTTATAAATGATGCTATTGTTCTTTTAGACATCCGATAAAAAATTTAGGATTCCTTCATAAATTCTATAAGATTATTTCTCTCCTTGAATTTAGCCTTCTATAAAGCTTCCTAAAAGTTAGATCTACTGATTATTAAAAATTTAGATTTCTAAACTGTTTTTACATCTTAAACGTAAGGAATTTAATTTAAAGCTTCAATTCCGAAACATTATTCATTTATATTGATTTTTCCTTATATTAAACCATAAAATAGATCACCATATTCTCCATTCTAAATTACACTAGTATTTTAATCTATTTCAACATATTTAATATATGGTATGTATTCTGTTAATAAATTTGTTTCAGCACATTAGTTGAGACTTGTAATAAATGGATGTTTTTAATAGAAATGAGAGAATAACTAATTATCATCCATTGATATTTATCCTGATCGTTATTTTTCCAATATTTATTGAGTTAACTTGATTATATTATATAAATTACGAACAATATATTGAGATCCTTATTAGATTGAGACTTATTCCTATTAGTACTATGTTGGTATTCGGATTGCTAATTTTACATATTTTATAATATAAACTATATAATTCACAATCTAAATTGATAAAAAATAAACTATATTTTCAAATAAATAGTGATTAAATTGAGAGTTCTAAAAGAATAAAATGAATAGTAAGAATCAACAGATTTTACAATTAACAACTATAATGTATTATAAATATATCAAATATAAGAGTATTGAGATGATTTAAAGTTTAATGTTTTCATAACTAAATTTCATTTGATAAATAATATATATTGTATAATTAATTTTCACTATATTATCTTTTTATGAATTACATTAATAATAGGTTAAATATGTTAAATAAAATATATGGATTATAATATAAATATAATATTACTTATGTATTCATAGATAAATTAACTATTGATGATATCATTAATTGATTTGTTAAACATTCTTTAATTTAATTTATTTATACCAAATATCTTAATATTATGGGAAGTAATAATTTATTTATAAGGAATCTAGATTCATGTTTTGAAAAAAGACCTGTAATACCAAAAGAAAAGAGAACTTATAAAGAATTAGTAATTGAGGCATTATAAAGTGGACCTTTAATTTTAGCCTAAACAGAATGCATAAGTAATTCATATATATATATGATGATAGTAAATATTGATATCGATCCTTAACATTCAAAATTAAATGAGATGATTAAATTAGTGTAATATAAATTGTAATTGTTAGATTATAAGAAGAAAAAGAAAAAGAATCAAATTGTGATGATTTAAGTGAAATGAGTGAAAGAGGTGATGAAAACCTTGATTTAGAACTTGGTATATGGAAGGTATAAAAGCTTAGAAAGAGACTTTTCAGACACACAAATTATATAGCTCATCTAAAAATAGACACAGATGTAACAATTATTAATCTAAAATAGATTACACAAGAGAATATGATTAAAATATATTAAGAATTGTAATATATTTATTTTCAATCTTTTTAGATTTTCTATCCTTGCATAAAAAAATATTTAATATGTTGTTATGCCATAAATGTGGATGGATAATCATTAATATAAAGTAACTATGAGAGAGAATTCAGATGCCTTATTCGATTAATTGTTTACATGGAGAAATTAAGACTAAAAATATAGAGCAACCTTTATTGTATTTCACACAGAAACTGCTTAAGTAATATGAAATTTACAAAAGGCAATTTAAATAGTGGATTCGTTTTTAATGACATATAATTAATATAATCCAGTCATTCTAGAAGATCAATCAGCCTAATCAAATCATCTAAATGATGAAGATGTTGAAGAAGATTAAAAAATGCTTCTATGAAATTGAATTTATCAGTAAATAATAATCAATTAATAAAAATATTTCTTTTGATTTAAAATCAAACACTTTTTGAGATTTTAAATAGATTATTATTGTATTATTCAAATTAACTAAAATTTCAGNAATATATATTGTATAATTAATTTTCACTATATTATCTTTTTATGAATTACATTAATAATAGGTTAAATATGTTAAATAAAATATATGGATTATAATATAAATATAATATTACTTATGTATTCATAGATAAATTAACTATTGATGATATCATTAATTGATTTGTTAAACATTCTTTAATTTAATTTATTTATACCAAATATCTTAATATTATGGGAAGTAATAATTTATTTATAAGGAATCTAGATTCATGTTTTGAAAAAAGACCTGTAATACCAAAAGAAAAGAGAACTTATAAAGAATTAGTAATTGAGGCATTATAAAGTGGACCTTTAATTTTAGCCTAAACAGAATGCATAAGTAATTCATATATATATATGATGATAGTAAATATTGATATCGATCCTTAACATTCAAAATTAAATGAGATGATTAAATTAGTGTAATATAAATTGTAATTGTTAGATTATAAGAAGAAAAAGAAAAAGAATCAAATTGTGATGATTTAAGTGAAATGAGTGAAAGAGGTGATGAAAACCTTGATTTAGAACTTGGTATATGGAAGGTATAAAAGCTTAGAAAGAGACTTTTCAGACACACAAATTATATAGCTCATCTAAAAATAGACACAGATGTAACAATTATTAATCTAAAATAGATTACACAAGAGAATATGATTAAAATATATTAAGAATTGTAATATATTTATTTTCAATCTTTTTAGATTTTCTATCCTTGCATAAAAAAATATTTAATATGTTGTTATGCCATAAATGTGGATGGATAATCATTAATATAAAGTAACTATGAGAGAGAATTCAGATGCCTTATTCGATTAATTGTTTACATGGAGAAATTAAGACTAAAAATATAGAGCAACCTTTATTGTATTTCACACAGAAACTGCTTAAGTAATATGAAATTTACAAAAGGCAATTTAAATAGTGGATTCGTTTTTAATGACATATAATTAATATAATCCAGTCATTCTAGAAGATCAATCAGCCTAATCAAATCATCTAAATGATGAAGATGTTGAAGAAGATTAAAAAATGCTTCTATGAAATTGAATTTATCAGTAAATAATAATCAATTAATAAAAATATTTCTTTTGATTTAAAATCAAACACTTTTTGAGATTTTAAATAGATTATTATTGTATTATTCAAATTAACTAAAATTTCAGAATAATCAAATAAATTTAAATAATAAATACTTCTGAGTGTCTGAAATAGTATGATAAAACATAGAGAAAGAAGTATATTAGATACAATTATTTCAATATTTTTGATTAATCAAAAGCAATTAGATTATTTTGTTGATATTAAATACTATAAAATAGTTTAGTAGTTTAGAAGTTGTGCTTAAATATTAATAATTTTTAATTTAATTATTTATAAATAAATAGATTTCTTGGACCAAAATGACTTTTTGTAGTTAATTGAAATATAAACATTTTTAATATTATATAATCAAACAATCTGAAAATCTATAAAAATTACCATCCAATTAGATAAATTTTCAAAGGATAAATAATTAAAGCTTATAGAAATCCACCATAAAATGTATTATATTAATAAGTATGAGACCTTAAGTAGGTTTAAAAATATAAGGAAAATTAAAGCCATCAGATAAACAACTAATAGAAATTGTGAATTTACATGGAGGTATCAATTGCACATGTTGGAGTTAAGTGGCTAGAATCTATGAAAGTTAAGTGGGAGTAAGAGTGAGAAAAGCATATGAATTAAAAAGACTTTATATATCATTTACTTAATATGATGAATAATTTACAAAAGATTAATTAGTGGAGTTATTTGAATCTGCAATATAGAGTAGAGGAAATTCTAGGGCAGGTAGTAAATAATTCGAATAAAGAACAGGGATTCATATATATATTTCAAGATATACATCTTATATTAAAGGATGGTTAAGATAAGGTTTGAAATATATGAGAGATGTATTTTTGCCATCAAGAAACAAATCTTGGGCTTAAACTGAATTTTATTCAAAATGTTAATATATTCCACCAAGATCTGCTTTTTATATGTTAAAGATTTTGGATTGTGATTTAAAAGACTACTAAGATGATTTTTTAATAATGGATTTTTATAAATGTGCTAGTGTATTCTAGTAATTATTATACTTATATGCCTTGAATTTTAATGTAAAAAGTAGAGCAGAAGTTTATGGTTTATTTAGTTAAATGATTACAAGAAGAATGTATAAAAAGATTCATTGTTATGCACATTATTTTGAAGAACTTAGGAAAATAAATGTGACTAAGATTTGTAAAGATGAATAACTTACTTAACATCCTATGTTGGCAAGAACAATTAAATTGAATTAAGAATCCTCCTTATATAAATTATTATTTTAAGAGCATGATTATACTGTTAAATTTAAATTGTTTAATGAATCAAATGATTTAGAGTAGAATCTATTTAGTGTATTATTAAAACCTCAAAAAGTTAAAGAATAATAATCTAATGAATAAGAAACTTATGTAATTAATCTAGTTGAATTGAAGGAGGAACATAAATTAAAGAGTTAGAAAGTACCTAAGGAATTTATAGAAACAAAAAAGAAAGTAAAGTAAAAAAAATATTTTCGTGGACATTTTATACGTGATGGAACATATTCTTGTTGTAATTAAACAACTAAATAATTTGATTATGATTACGATATTTGAAAAAGTTATTTCTTATATAAATTGTATAAATCATTATTAGAGTATCTATGAAATAGTTAATAATTATTGTTATATCAGCAGAATCATAGTAAACATAGATGACGATGTATTTTTTATTAATTAACTCCAATTTTTTGTTAGAATGTAAATAACTTTATATGAAAAATATTACGTATGATTTGATAAATTAAAGCAATTGCTCAAATCAAGATTCAAACATAAATTTAATAGCTATGAATTCTTTACAATAGCTTTACCTCTAAGCTATAATTAAACATTAGGAATAAGAGTAGGTGAAGTAAGAAGAACAAGTCTCAAAATAAAGTCAATAGGTATCATCTTATATATTATAATTAGATTCTTAAATAATAACAACTCCTTTCATTAATATCATGCTCTCCTAACAATCTTGTGGAAAAGTAATAATTAATATTTATATTTTAGTAAAGCTTAGTCTTTAATTGATATTCAAAATAGAGTTACCTAATACTTTTAATAATAAGTTCTGAGAAAATAAGTCGTAACCATTCAAAACTGCATTGAATACCATTTACCATATTTTCTAAATGTATTGGGTAATTTGATCATACATGGATTGGATTAAATATAAGGAGAAGCAGAACAAATCTCAATACTTAAGGCTCAATACATTACACAACCAATCAGAATTACAATGAGTAGTTCTTTATTTTAAACACTTTCTCTATTGTTGAGATCTTAACTTGTATAATATGATAAAGGTAAATCTAATTATTTTATCAATTTAGGTACTTAATACCTTTCCAAATTCTTAATATTTAGAGATGATTTTTGTGATATTTTCTTTAATACTCTATATTAATATTAGATAACATCAAACTAATAAGTGAGTTAATAATTGAGTTTTAGTTAACTTAATTCTATGATTAAGAAAATCCCTGAAGATATTTGGGGAACTTTCATATTTAAGATGCTCAGCCAATAATAATAAAAATTGAACAAGGATTAATTCTTGGTTTAATTTAATCAATACACAGTAAATATGAACAATTTCTTTAAAAAATCCAATTTGATTTTTGATGTTGTAGAAAATTCTGTTAAATAAACTGCTTAAATGCACAATGATTCAATCTTTTAAGAAGTATTCAATAGATTATATAATAGTATCTCTTAATTATGGGAAGTTTCAAAGCTACTACATAAGACTTTCTAAAAAAAGCTACTAGTGTATATTTTGAAGAACAGAATGATGAGATTGATTTAAATGAATTCAACATAAGAACATCAAGAATACACAAATAAATGAATTGTTCTATCCTATACATACTACCAATGTTATTGCAAATAGAGAGTCATATGATTGATATGATACAATAGGATAAATATAATGAGAATGCTTAGCTCAAGAATAGTTGCAATTATTATTTGAAAATGATAGAGAAATTGAAAAATAAATGTGTATATAATGGAGAAGAAGAATGTAATTGTAAAAAATGTCAATGTGTAAGAAGAAATAGGAATTCAGCTAAAGAATCTTAAAAGAAGAAAAGAGAAGCTCTAGAAAAGTTAGGACCATTATAGGATGCCTATGAATAATTACAAAAGAAAGTATTAATTAATTTTTACAATTAGGTTAAAGGTATTGAAAATGAAAATGAGACTCTAAGATAATTATTGACAGAGGTGTTTAAACATCCAACTGTTTCAATTTTATCACCAGAATTCATTGAACCATTGACAAAGGTTATTTAAGATACAGATCCTGTATAATATTCAAGTTCATTTGAATGTTGATTAAATAACATTGTCACCATTATGTAACAAATTTGAATATCTATATATGTATTATATATATAGATACAATATATTTAAAAATCATAAAAAAAAAATAAAATTTATATATCAAATATATATGTTTAATAAAATAAATCAACTACCAGAAGTTTTCCTACAAATTATACAGATATTTACTTCTCTAAACGTATTGTTAAACTCTTGAAAGTAGTATAAATTTACTCAAATTTATCTGAAACTAAATCTAATTACCTAACCAATTCTTCAGGTTTTGGACACTCTCTAAATTTGATAGTTTTTATTAATGCAACAGTGAATTCCCTAAGATATTATAGATTAAAACTTGGCTAATACGTGGGCAGCATCAATTTCAATATTTGAATCCCCCAAACAAATTAGATTGGTGAATACATCATTTTCATACTTAGATCTTATATCTTTAAAGGCTTCTATCTTCCATTTTCCACAATCACCTGGGAACATTTCTTCGTAACCATGTCTAGCAGAGATAACAACAATTTTTTTATCAAAGATGACTTAAAACACCTTATTCATATATCTACTTAAATTTAAATATCTACAATTTGCTGCTGTATTCAACCCAACCCTAAGCAGCATTTGTAATTATAAATACATCCCCTACTAAAGAAGCTTTTTCTAACAATCTACTCTTAATATATTTATTCAAATTACAGCACTTTCATTCAATGCAGTCAACTATTCTAAAACATCTATTGGTAAATCAACAAATCCATATCCTCCCAAAAATGTTGTACATAATAATGTATCATCCCAATCAAATATTGTCACTAAATCATAAAAAAGTATTACAAGTTTGATGTTTCTTTTATTATTACATCAATTTATTACTCATAAGTTTTTAAATGTAATTATTACGAACATCATCATTGGTTCTAATTACATAATTTAATTGAAATTCTTTAGATGAATTCTCCTTCTCTTAAACTTATTTTATTCCCAATTTTTGCAAGTAATTTTATCTCCATTGTTTTCCAGAAAGTGAATTTATTATGTTATTTTGAATCCAAGCTTAAGGATTTTCCATCTTATCTTGCTCAACCTTTTCCATTACTGTCAAACTCTAATTCATTTTTCAGATTATTATTAATTAATTAAAAAAGTAATAGACATGAATAGTTAAAATATCATTATAAATGAAAATGTTACTAGACAATTGATGGAAGCTGGTTATACTTAAGAATAGAGTATTTTAGCAATTTAAGCAACTAATTTATTTGGTGATAATGAAAATCTAAATCAATACTTAGCCTTAGCCAAAAATAATTACAATGATTTATATTAAATAGTTCATTCTTAGAGTTAGAACAATTAAAACTTAAATAATTTATAATAACAATAAACTACAAATTAATTTTATGATGTAATACTTTTTATTATGGTTAGATATAAAATTCTACTAAAAGAAGAAGCAAATATACATTTATTCCAGTCGGTTTAGTCAATATTGGTAATATTTGCTATTTTAATTCACTATTATAATTGATGTTAAATAATCCTATATTTATTTAGACAATATTTAATTATAAAGTACAATATTGCAATGATGTAAACTTTATTTCTCATTTAGAAATATGATAATTTTTTGAATTCACTTTAGAAGTTGTTTGCAAATTTACTTATTTCAAATTAAAATTATTATGATGCAAGCGAAGTACTTTAATTTATGTGTTGGGATTCACAAGATATTAAATTAGTAGGAAATTAGTAAGATTTCACAGAACTATGTGAATTATTCCTATAAAAAGTAGATCAATCTTTATAATAGAAATAACATTAATAATTTTAAAATTAATCTAATTTAAATGTTAAAGATTTCTTTACAAATCAAATGTTAAACTAATAATTTGTATTAAGATATTAAACAAAATAACATTAAATTTTTATACCTGCAAATCTAAATTATAGTAATATATACAATACATTATATAATGAATTTTAATAATAAAAATTAGCAACTATTCCTGAAAATCTTTTTTTTTAAATTTCAAGATATTAATATAATAGAAATATTTAAAATATGGTCAAATTAACTTAAGATTTTACTTTGCATTAAGAGATCTATATTGATTTTATACTAAAAGATATCTACAAGGTAAATAATTTATTTCAACGTTTTAATGGTAATATCAATGATAATCAATAGATAGATTTCAATCCTTAAAAAGGTAAATTATTTATATAATAATTTTTTAGTTTTAAAATAGATTTCATCATTTCAAGAAATTATTGATTATTATAGAGTCCTTTAAAATGATATCATGGTTTAATAATTATCATTAGATTTAGATTTATTAAAAGTATAATAATCAGTTTAAAATGAAAATAAGAAAGGAGAATATAAATGGTTAAATCAATAATTATCATAATTCTGCTTTAAAAAATACTATATACATAGTATTGTTATTCATTTAGGAAATGCAAATTAAGGTCATTATTTTATTTATATTTATAACTTTTCAAAATAACAATGGTTTTAATATAATGATTCTATTGTAGAGTAGATATCTGAAAGTGAGGTTATGAGATTATCCAAAAATAATGCTTACATAGTAACATATGTAAGTGAATAATAAAGATAATAAATAAGATAATAAGAGGAAATTGCAGAAATCATTTTGTAAAATGATTTATCATAGGAATTATATGAAAATTTAGGACTCTTATAAATGATACCAATTAATTTATTTTAGGAGATATACTAACAGAATTTGAATCAGATAACTTGAATAAATATTTTATTTTATTAATATTTAACAGAAATACTAAAGAACTCATTATCCTTCTATATGTTCAAGAGTTTCATCTTGGTCATTTTGTTAATATTATGACTTTTTAGGATTTTATTTTTTTTAATTTTCTTTCTTTTCAATTTATTTAACCTCACTAAAATCAACTTAAGTAGGATCAACAGTAATTTATATTCCTAAAATTTAATAAATTAAATACCTTAATTTTATAAATATTTAACTTTATCTTCATAATTAGTTATATCAAACAATTCTTTAAAATTGATTGAGCATACTTATTTAGAAACAAGGGATAATAATTTCTTTTATAGGATTCCTTGTCCATTTAATGAAATTTTGTCATAATTTAAGTTATATCCAGTTAAAATTAGAATAGATTATTCACTAAATTTAAAAAGATATAATACGTTTAAGGTAGATAAATTTCAATTTGAACTTTATCTATTGAATGATTAATCTCTGTTTATATTCCTACAGCTTGTAAAAGTTTTTAAATATATTCAACTGAATATTGATTTTTCCTTTAAATAATTGTGTTTTTCTCTTCTTTGATTAAGGCTTCATGAATTTAAGTTGCTTTTGATTCTGGGTATAATCGTTTTAATATCTCATAGATAAAGCCAAGTCTGTATGTCTCTTTAGTTTTGAAGGTTTCCAATGATTTTGCAGCTTTTTCTATTTCTTCAAGTGGTTGATTAGTTAAAACATAATAATGAATTAATTTCAAAGTTGAATAATTGCTTAGATTTTATTTTTCAACCATAGATTTAATTAATTAGACTATTTCAGGTTCAGTGATACCTAATTATATCAAAGCTTCTAAAATATCACCAAAGAAAGTCTTATAAAATTAAGGAGATCTATTAATTTTTTCAAGTGTTTTTAAAAATACATCAACTTATTTAAGTTTACCATTTGCCAAAAGAGTGAGAACTTGGCATCTCAATTCATTAAAAGTAGAATTGAATTAAAATCCATATTATTCTAATAATATATTATAGATCATCTAATTTGCAGCTTGATTTTTTTAAAACTTTTCAACAACTTTAATTAATTTAACAATTCCTAATTTAATACCAATTTATGGAAAGATATAGGCTAATTCCTTAATGATCATAATTTCTTTGGAATTCATAACCAAATCAAAATATTATCTTGGTGATAATTTTGATGCTTATAATCTGATTTAATTTTTAATTTTATCAATTTCATTAGGTGCCAATTTTACTAAAGTAGAGGCTTCTTAAATTTATCTAATTTTCATTTCATCTGCATCAAATTAACAATCAGCTTTAATTTTATCTCTTAATTATATAACATTTTCTGGAGGATTATCTAATTATAATGCAATACCACATAATTAAACTTTTAGATATTAATATGATCTTTCATTATTCAATTAAATGACAGCATCTTCAGGTGTCAAAAGATTAAAACTAATCATTATTTAAACAAAAGATGAATCTGGATAAGGAGTTGTAGGATTAGCTTCTCTAAATATTTCAGCTACTTTTTTAACTAATTAAGAAACTGATCTACTAGTGTAACCTGCACTTTCAAATCTTTCAACAAAATTGACTAATGCATTTAATCTTGCTTATGGTTAATTTTGATAAGCAGTTAATAATACTTAACAAACCCATTAAATTTGATCACTTCTTACTAATCCATATAAATTTTACACATTCTATGTTAAATAATCAACAAGTTTGAAAATTGGAATATTCTTTGGATCCTTTTATATCAATTATAAAATTATTGATAATTTATCAGAATCAAATTATTCCTAATCACCAATCACTTTACTTAATATTAATTTAGCTTATATTTTATTTTCTGATTATTCACTTAATTACAATAAAGCTTATTTACATTTATGATTAATGCATGAATTAAGCAATTCCTTTAAAACTTTAAAAATTTCAACTTTTTTTGATTTAACATCTTCAATAACTTACATAAATGCATCCTCTTATATTTAATATTTAATTTAAGTATTGATTTTAATGTCAAGTATAGTTTTCAAAAGTGAATGTGGATTTGATTAAATAACTGATTTACAAATTGTCATGAATTTTTCTACATGTTCTTATGCATCTCTTTGAGCATAAATTAAATAATGTAAAGCATTATAAGTATTTATTCTCTTTGATTCTTAATTTTAAACAAATTATTCAATGTAATCTTTCATATTAACTCCACTTAAATACAAATAATTAAGGATTTTAACATTTGTTTCTCCACTTTCTTTTAAAGCTGTTGTTAATTCATCAAATTTTTTATATGACAAAACACTATTACTTAATTAACCTAATAGTGATGTTTCTATTTCCTTCTTCACTATTCTCTATGTCAATTCTCCAATAATTTTCTTCATTAAATCTTAAGGGAATTTTTAATTATTATTATTAGTAATTCTTTCAACTAAAAGTATTAAGAATTTTGATGATAAATTATTTGGATTCTATTCAATAGTTGTTACTATCATGTCTCTTAATTCTTTTATAAGATCTTAATCAAAATATCTTGGTAAACTTTAATACGCCTTAAATATATTAAGTACAGAGTCTTCCTATAATAATTCTATCTTTTATAATAATAATTCCTTAACTTATTTTACTAAATTAGGAAGTGAATATTTTGGTCCAATATTTTAAAATTGTATTTCAGCTAGACTTTTGAAAAGTAAAGATTTCTAAATAAATATTATATATTACTTATTCAATATCTAATTCTTCTAAAAGACCTTCAACTGCTTTAACTGCATTGTTAAGTATTTAAATATCATTCTTTGACAGTGCACAATTATTTACTCTAACTACAAGGGAACTGAATAATTAAATGACTAAAAATGGTGAAAGCTACTTTGTAGTAAGAAGTTATTCAGCAATTGATTTTGCTAATTAGTCATTTGAATGATTAAGGAGTGATAAATCAAAATAAACATTACACATATTTCTAAATGAGAACATTTAACTCTCTGACATCTATTATATTCTTTAAAATAGTTTTATTTAAGCTGATTATTGGAAATTGGTAGGTATTTTATTTTATCTAAATTTTCTCAACCAAAATAATACATCAATTACATCTTAATATATCATATACAATATATACCATATTCTGTTAATTAATCTACAATGTCATTCAACTTTCCAGTTAATTCTGAATAGTTGTTATCATGACCCAATTATCTACTATATCTACCTAACATTCTTAATGATAACACCACATGCTCTTGCTTAAATAAATCTTTATTTTGTTAGAATATTTGTAAGATAGATGAAGGACTATCAGCACTGCTTAATTTCTATATTAATGACTCATAAGTAGCAAATCCAAATCTAATAACTCTATTCATCCAGAATTAAAAAATTAATTTTTTTTAATCAAATATCAAAATTGGATTATAATAAATAACTCATATTCTTTTTATATAATCTAAGGTTTCTATTCTTTTAATGGAATATTAGATAATTCACATTTCTAAAAGAATGTAAATAAATTATTATTTATTTCTCCATATCCTTTAATTTCTAATACCTTATTATTCCATTTATATTATAATTACAAATTATCTATTTTTTAATACCAACTTAAACGAATCATTTCTTATCTTATATTTTAAGATATATTTGTTTTACACTTAAACTATCTTATTTCATTCTTACTTCTATATCAAAAATTTATCTATTTTATTTCAACTAATCTAATTACTTTAGTAATTTTTGATTAGTCACTTGTACTTCTATTAAATTATTCTTCAAATCAGATTAGTCTATTGAAAAAATTCTTTAATTTTCAAGTATTTTTCTATTACAAAATTAAAAATTTTAATAACTACCTTAAAGTATGAGATTCTTAATCTTTTTGATATAGTTATTATTTTAAAATAGAGACTTATTTATCAAGCTCCTCATTTTTATATTGAAGTTCCTTATTCTTTTCTATAGCCTAATCAAATTATTCCTATAATGTTGGCATCTCTTCCTGCAAAATGTTATTTTCAGCTTATAATTTATTTTTATATAGAGGTATAGAATCTTAGAATGGAAAATAACAGTTGTATTGATTATTCATTTTATTTATTAATTATAAATGGAAGATAATACATTTAATAAACTAGTGGAAGTAATACAATATAAGATATTAGTAAGTTTAATCTCAATTGACTGAATTACATGATAATATTGATCAATTTGATTAAGATAATAAAGACGTCTCAAATTCAAGTGTTGGTTAAGATATCGTTGATTTACAAGATTAGATATAAAATCTTTTTAAATAAATCTAAAACAATATCCAAAGACTTGATAATAATACTGGACATCTAACAGGTCGATAACAAAGGTATTAACCAAATAAAGCTATTAAAGAATGAAATAAATTAAGTAATTCTATAAAAAAGAAATCGAAAAATTTACTCAGATTTGTAAATTATTAGAACAAAAATTACAAGAAAAACGAAAGACATTAGCAACAAATTAATTAGGTAGATGGAATGACCCTAAACCAAAACCTATAGATGAATTGTAAGAGTAATTAATGCATAATTAATATGATATTGAAAATTAAGTAATAAGAGAAAGATAGGAAGATATTCAAAAAATTGTATTCATTATTTTTATTTTAAAAGGATCATGAAGCTTAAATGTTAAATAAATTAGTTGGAGAATTGGCATTAGAAGTTCATAAAGCAGATGAAGTTCTTGATCTAATTGATACAAATCAATAAACTACAAGCTAAAACTTAGTTAAAGTTAAGGTAGAATTAGTTGAAGCCCAAGACTCTTAAAAGTCGGCAAATAAGAAATGGTTAATAATAGGACTTTTGACAATTATACTTGTAGGAGTATTAGTCACAATTTTAGTTTTAAAATTGAAGTGATATTTATAACAAACACATCAATTACGATATCTAATAGTTTGTACATACTTAATTTTAGTATATGGTTTATTAGTGTTGATTTTCATCGCTGGCTTATTAGGCAATTAAATTTATAATTATTTCTATTCCTCTGTAATCCTTCTATCTTTTTATCTAGAAGATTCTTGTATTATCTAAAATGCTTCTTCAATAGTTTTCAAGTTTTTTTTATCTTTACTAGGAATTGGTATTTCAAATTTATTTTTTGGTTATATTGGATTTATATTGACTTCCAATTCATTCATTATAGATTCTCTTTTTAATGTATGTCCTCTAGGTCTGTTCTAAATTTCTTATATTGGATGAATATATTCAACAGTTTCTTCTTCCTAATGTTGTTATTAAATAAAGGATGCTTATTAATTTTAGTTATCTAAATTTTCTTAATCTTCAATAGGCTATTAAATTTATTCAATTGACAATTCATTACTATTCTATTCATCATTTAAAAAGAATCGATGATTTTTTATCTACCCTATATTGATTCTTTAATCATCTTTAGCTAGAATTTTGCTAATAAGATCTCTGGCATCTTCATGTAATGAATTAGGAATAGTATATTAACATAATTTAATCTTCTCATATAAATCCTTAAATATAATGTCTAAAATATTACTTATGTATTTTCTTCATCAAAAGGCAAATAACCACATAGCATAGCATAAAGAATTACACCACAACTCCAAATGTCAGTTTTTGTACCATCATAATTTTTGCCTTCTAACATTTCAGGAGCAGCATAACAAGGACTTCCACAAGCTGTTACTAATAACTATCCTGTTGTGACTTCCATTGAAAGACCAAAATCTATTAAACAAATATCTCCATTATCTCTCATTAGAATATTTTCTGGCTTAAGGTCCCTATGAATGATGCCTAAACTATGCAAATATTCAATTGCATTTATCAATTATCTAATTATATGTCTAGCCTCCCCATTTGTAAGTCTACAATATTATTATTGTATTTACCTCTGTTATTCTACAATATAATCAAACAATTCTCCTCCAGAAACATACTCAGTTATCAAATATATCTACTCTTCATCCTCCACAATCTATACTCTAAGCATAATTACATTACTTCCTTCATCTTAACAATGTTGGGATGATTGACCTTATTTAGTAATTCAATCTCCTTATTCACTCTAAATTTGTCTCGATCAGTCTTTAGAGACTCCTTCTGAAGTACTTTAATGGCCACCTTAAGCTATATTGTTATTAATATACTTATTCATTATTGCAAGCCCCAATATAGACCTATGCAAAAGTGCCTTCTCCAATTTTCTAACCAAATTGATATTTTAACATGCTATCAAGAATCAGGCCTTAATACTATTAATGTTCAGTTCTGAGTACCCTTACAGCTCGTAAACTGCTATATTAAGCAACAGCCCCTAGCATACCAATATCAGGGAGTGTCTATTGTGGATTTGACCCTACAGCACACTCATTGCATTTGGGCAACTTTGTTTCTATCCTCAATTTGGCCAGGCTTGCTTAAATAGGCTTCAAACCAATAGCAATTGTAGGAGGAGCAACTGTATAATTGGGGGACCCAAGTTTTAAGATGGAAGAACGAAAAGAGCCAGATTTGGTTGTGATCTAAGAGAATTTATAGAAAATAAGGAATTAATTAGAAAGTGTGTATGGGAATATTGCAAATCATGGAAAGATAGGGCAACCCCTATAAATACTAGATAATATGGATTTTTATAGAGAGACAAAGTTAATTGATTTTGTTTCTAAAGTAGGAAGATAATTTAGAATGAATAGTCTATTAAATAAAGATCATATTAATAAGAGATTAAATAGTGGTGATGATGGTTTATCTTTGACTGAGTTCTTTTATACAATTTTATAAAGTTATGACTTTGCATATTTGAATGAGAAATATAATTGTACCTTGCAAATAGGAGGTAGTGATTAATGGGGTAATATTACAAATGGTTGTGATTTCGTAAAGAAACAATATAAGAAATAAGTGTATGGGATAACTACTCCTTTATTAATTGATAAGAATGGTTAGAAATTTGGGAAGAGTGAAGGAAATGCATTATTTTTGGATGTGAGTTCTAAACACAATATGAAATAATATTTGTTGAATTTAGCAGACGATTCAATAAAAGATTTCTTATTAATGTTGACATTCTTAAAAGAGGATTAAATTAATAGTATTATGGAATAACATAAGTAGAATCCCGAGAAGAGGATTGCTTAGAAATGTTTAAACGATGAATTAATGAAGATGATCTATGGAGAAGAGAATTCTGCTGAAAAAAATTAAATACTTTATGGATTAAAAAGAGATAGATTGTTGAATATGAGTGCAGCAGAATTTGAGAAGTTAGCTGAGGAAATAGATAAGGATGTAGTAATAAGAGTATCAAAGTAGACAGCATTAATAGAAGTGTTATTGAAAATAAGATCATCGAAGTCAGAGATTAGAAGATTATTACAATAAGGAGGAATATTAATTAATGATTAAAAAGTGGATTAGTTAGATTAGGCTTAATTGTTGCATGATAAATATATGTTATTACGAATTGGTAAAAGAGATGTGAGATTATTAATATTTATTTGAGTTATATATAATATAGGATATTTGATAATTGATATAAATATTTTGAAGTTTAAAATATTCAAAAAGTTTTATTTTTCTTTTGTAATTTTTGAATTTGAATCAATTAAGTCGAATTTCAACTTTTCTAAAGATTTTTAATTTTAATTTTTGAGTTTAAGAATTAAGCTTTGCACTATATCCTATTTAATGAAGAAAACATAGTTAGTAAGTATATGCTTCTATACACATCAAACAACAGTTGAACATTTTTTGTATTTTGTCTAAATCTAATTTTTCAGTTTCATAAATAAATATTTTAATCATCTATAATTTTACTTTAATGCTCTTTCAGTTAGTTTTTAAGAGTTGCAATTTAAATCATATTAAATTTTTGTTAACTAAGTCATTAGAAACTTCTCAATAAATTTCATCTGTTATGTTCAGATGAAGACTTAAAGGTTCTTTAAAGGATTTCTTTAGTTATCTATCTTGGTTTATAGAATTATCACATGATGCTAAATAGTTCCTTCTTGATCTATTATTACTATCTCTAAATATTTGTAACTTAAAACAATAGGTAGAATTTGCACCTAATTTTATGTTTAATTGGTATGATGCCACTTTATTACCTTTTACTCCCAAATTCCACGAAACAGTTATTTTATTTTTATCATGAAGCGAAAATCTTAGTTTTTTATTTTGTTATTAATACCCTATCATCAGCATATCCTAAAAAATCAACCGAATTTCTAATTTCTACAATTAGATCTTTCAGAAATAAATCAAGATAAATTTAAAATAAGACTGTTGATATTTTGTTTTCTAATTTTCTTTTCATATCTTGTTTAGCTATTTCCAAATATGAAATAAATTTATGACTCCATCTTCTTTTTCCTCATAATAGCTTTTTTATTTAGTTCTGCTATTAACAATGAACAATTATTTTGAAAGGATATGTATAAAATATCCAAGATACAATAATAATAGTTTGAGCAATCTGGTAATGTATTTCTACTTTGAACCATAAATAAAATGGAATATATAAAATAAAATAATTTAAACCTTTAAATATTGAGACTTCATAAATTTTAAATACTTTGTAAATTAATTAATTTAATTAATGAGTGCAAAAAATGATGATTATCGAAGTGATTAAGATGACAAAAGTTAGTCATCTATAGATTCAATTGAAGACATCCAAGATTCTTCAGAATCAAATCAATTCAAAAAATCAAAGAATAAGAAATTGCTTAAAAAATAAAAGAATTAAAAGAAGAAGAGATTGAATAAACAAAAATTTATTGACACAGAAGCCTCAGAAACATCTGAAAATGAATCAGATGATGATGTTAAAGGAGAAATTAGCAAAGGATAATAGGAAAAGTATTATAAACATGATGAACTAAAACGAAAACATCATAAAGATATTGTTAGAGATATAGAAGAGAGATATGAAAATGGAGATGTTTTAAATGTAGAAGAGATAGAAAAATCAGAAGATGAAATTGAGAAACCAGGTCTAAGAGATCCTAAAGTATTTAATAATTAATATAATAGTTCTGGCGTGTTTCATGTAATAAGGGTAAAGAGTAGGAAGCTGTGACTTCAATAATGTTTAAACATAATCACTTAATGGATACTAATCCACTTGAAATAGTTTCAGTCTTTTCACTCAAGAAATTCCCAGCAGCAATATTCATTGAAGCCTATTTTGAATAACATGTTATGAGAGCAATCGAAGGTCTAGTTATTGTAAGATAATCCCCACCTGAATTGGTTGAATCTGAACAATGTCCAAATATGTTCCAGCCTCCTGAAGTTGAATAAATAGATATTGAAGAAGGACAATGGGTAAGAGTTAGATAACACAATATTTACTCTGGAGATTTAGCTAGAGTTATGTAAGTAGATTAAGAAAGAAAACTAATCAAACTCAAAGTTGTACCTAGATAAAAATTATTAATGAAATCTCTAGAAGAAGATGAAGAAAATAAAAAAAAAAATTCTAAAAAGAATAATTCTAATGCAGATTAATCCCGCTTCCAAATGAAAGAAGAAGAAGGTGAACCACCAATTGAAGACAATGAACCATTTTAAAGAGGAAGCAAATTTAAGTTTTTAAAAAGAGTCAAATATCTTTAAGAATAAAAAAAATTTATTCGTGGACCTAAAATTCCTATTTAAATGAGTAAGAAATCAAATCATGATGATAATGATGAACCTACATCATAATTCTTTTATATTTCTATTAGAGATGAATGGACTTCTGCAAAAAAAGATGGATTTGAAATTATTACTCTACCTGTTCATCAAGTTCTTACTGGAAATATTAAACCTACTATTGAAGATTTATAATACTTTTATCCAGATGTCTAAGATTATCGATTGATATTGTAGAAATTACACTCTAGTTTAAAATAAATAGTAGAATAAAAGTCTAAAATCTAAGTTGGAGATTATGTTACTCTTAATTAAAATTAAGATTAAACTAAAGCTTCAAAATATAAGGTTGTATAAATATTATAAGATGAAAATAAACTAATTGTCACGAAATCTATTAAAAATAAAACTGCTTTTGAAACAAAGTATACTGAATATAGACTATCAATTAATGATGCTAAATTAACATTTAAACTTTATTAATAAGTCTCTATTGTTTCAGGACCCAATATTGGATTAAGTGGTACTATTATTAAAATGGATAATTTGACTGCCTAAATATCAACTGAAGCTGGTAGAATAGTTGATGCCTTGATCTCAGATCTTTAATCTTAAAAAAATTTCATTAAAAAAATGGATATTGAAGAGAATCCTGAAAATGGAGCAGAATAATCGAAAACAGGATTCAGAAGAAATGATTTAGTAAAGTTTGGATTGATTGATAATGATATTGGATGCATACTCAATATTTCCAATAATGAAGTCAGTATACTGGATTTAACTAATCAAATCAAAGCTATCAATAAATTAGCTATTAGAAATTCTATCAACACTAGAAATAATGTAGTCAAAAATATGTATGGTAATGATATCAGATAATAAGATTTAATTGTCATACTTGATGGTTTCTATAAAAGTATTTTATTTTATAAATATTCATTTAGATAATAAAGCAACTGTTTTACATGTATATAGAGATTATTTATTCTTATTTAATGGTAAATTCGACAATACTTAAGGTGTAATCATAGAAAAAGCCAATAATTGCGGTTTAGTGTCTTCATCTAAAAAGCCAGAACCTGTTGTAGTAAATACTTAATCCCAAATACCAAATGAAGATTGGAAAAATCTAAGAGGATAGATGGTTACCATTCGTAAAGGATAATGGTAATCTTATAGAGGAATGGTATAAGAAGTTACTAGTAGAGTTGCAACAATCTAATTATCAGCTAAAAATTTAGTTGTTAAAGTTCCATTAGAATGTATAAAATCTGAATCTTCTAATTCACATCTTCAAGTTGGAAAAACACCATAGCATCATCCAGGTATGTCAACTAGAGTTTGGGACGATCTTGAAGGAGTCTAATAATCAGTCATGCGAGGATATCAATCTCCTTATATCACTTATCAAACCCCTATGCGTAATGATTGATAATATATATAATAATATCATATTATAAAATCTTTAATTTTATTATTGTTGATACTATCTCATCTAAAATGATTATTCCTAAATTTATTCTAAGTATTAGAAAAAAATACATCTAAATGTGAAATAGAAATTCATAACATTTTATAATATTTATTTAAAAAATGCAAGTTTAATAAAAATACAAAATATGCCCCATTTGTGGCAGATTAGGAATATCTCAATGCTAACATTGTGCATTATTGTGTATGATATGGTTAATGTTTGCTATTTCAGATATAGTATCAACAATAGTATGGGAATTAGGAATTTATGGAATTATAGGAGCTGTATTTTGGTTTCTAATTATGATTGTATACTTTTGTGGATCATAGAATTTAAGAGAATTACCTTAAGGAATTGAATAAATAGAAATTATCAGATGAGAATGGTGCAATTTTAGTGAATTTTGTTTTAGATATTTATAATACAAAAATTTCTATAAAAATTCTATAACTCAAATTAGTTGAAATTTAATATTATAAAAATATATGCTATTTAGTTAATTATTAAAAATTCATTTTTTTAAATAAAATACCCATAATTATTATAGATAATTCAATTAAAAAGGAAATCTATATAAAATAATTGTTAATTTTATAATTATATAATTAATAATCTTTAGGAAATATTAAGAAATATAAATGAATATCGATATTAAGGTTATTGGTGATTATGAAGTGAATTTCGGTGCATTTATTGGAAAAGGAAGTTATGGGAAAGTATATGAAGGAAGAATAGTAAGTTAAAATAGAAAAATATGTGTTAAGGTTTTAATAATGATAAAAATAGGTTTTATAATTGACAGAAGAAAAAAGACCAATGTTTCAAAGAGAAGTAGATATCTTAGAGGAAATAAAGAAAATTACACATCCTAATATTCTCAAAATTTATCATATAGTAGAGTAGAATTAAATTATATATATTTTCATGGAGTAATGTAAAGAAAACCTTGAACAAAAATTATAAAAGATGAAAAAGGAAAATAAAATATTTTCAATAGATTAGGTGCTCCATATCTCAAAATAAGTTTGCAAAGGATATAAAGAAATTATGAAGAAAAACATAATTCACAGAGATATAAAACCTGAAAATATCTTAATAGGAGAGGATGGATATTATAAAGTATTTTATTATTAAATTTAGATTAGTGATTATGGTTTAAGTAAAACTTAAACTGATGTTGAATCTTTATTAAAACAAACATAATTAGGAACACCTTTATTTGTATCACCATAAGTATTTTAAGGAAAATATTCTAATAAAGCAGATCTATTTAGTGTAATTTTAAAATCTAAATTAGTTTGGATTAACAATTTATTATATTACATTTTAATAGCCTATCTTTTAAATAAAATCAATAGGGGATTTAGAAAAAGAATTCAATAGGATTAAAAATGGAATTAAATTACCTATAATCAAAAATGAAGGTGATCAAAATTCAAAAAACAATTTAGAATATTTATTAAAAATGACAATCTAATATGAAGAAGATGATAGAATGAGTTGGGATTAGTTATATACGTATTTAGATGAAATAAATATAAATTCATAAATACATACCATACCTAAACTAGAAGATGATAAAAAAAAGTAATTTGTTTATTATATTAAAGGGCTAAAAATGATCTAGAAATTAACTAATATGGAGAGTCTGTGCATTTTTATTTAGAAAAAATAAAATAAATAGATATTAATACTTTTACTATTAAACCTGTCGAGTAGGTTACAGATCAAACTCAAAAATAATCAAAATTATAAGATTAAACATCTATTGAAAATAATAATTAGGCTTATCAAAATAATAATTAGGCTTATCAAAATAATAATTAGGCTTATTAAAATACTAATTAGGCTTATCAAAATAGTAATTCGGTTTATCAAAATACGAATTAGGCTTATCAAAATAATCATTCGGGTAATCAAAATAATAATTCAGGTTATCAAAATAATAATTAGGTTTATTAAAATAATAATTAGGCTTATAAAAATAGTAATTCGGTTTATGAAAATAATAATTCAATATTATAATGGAATCATTAAATTAATAACAATTAAGGTTAAAATAACAATTAAATCCCAAATAGTTAAAAAAAAATATAAAAATAATAATTAGATTCTTAAGAAAATTATTAACAAATTCCAAAAGATTTTATTAATTAAAACAATTTTGATTCTAAGTTTGTTTAATCTTAATAGGAGGATTATTAAAATCCAACTATGAATCCTAATATTATCAAACAAAATACAAATAGTTCATAGTCGGGTTATTAAATATAATTTCATAATGATTTTCAAGAAGAATAAGATTCTAAAGTTTATAATCAAATTCATGAAGATAAAAAATTAAATTTAGATAATAATAATAAATAGGATTAAAAAGTAGTTGAAGTAAAATAATAAAATCTGTTAATAAGTCCAAATTAATAAAGAAATAATACACCTCAATAATTTCAATAAGAGAATTAAGTGAGTTATTAGAATTTTTTTGCAAATAATTAACCAAATGCTGATGAATCTATGGTCGATTTTAACAAGTCAAATTTAAATTAAGATTCATAATTAATTATTAATAAGAATCAATAAATTGAACATCAATTTGGGTCATAAAATTAAAATCCAATTGAAAATCATAAAGATAATCAAATATTTATTCCCCGTCATAATTAATCAACTTCGATTAGATAATAATAAATAAATTAAATAATTCCTAATGATAAAGTTTCCACTTAATCATTAAATGAAATAGATGCTTAAAGTGAAATACTATCTAATGATACTTTTAAATTATCATTTTCAACTTAAAAGGAAGATTTCAATTAGCAAGGCGTTTAAAATAGCTTTAAATAAACTTCAAAGTAATCTTAAGATTTAGATTAAGTTAATTTTGATTAAGTTTAAAACATCATGCCAAGTTCTATAAAATCTCAAACCTAATAAAAAAATTAAATCAATTAATTAAAGGATTCTAATAAAAATAAGATAATAACTATATCAGAGATAATACCTTAAAACAAAGATAATAATCAAATAAATAATTAATAATAATAAACTTAATAAACATAAAAAAAATAATATGCATATAAAGCATAATAATAAATATAAGAACCATATTAAGCATAATAACCATAATAAGATGTAATAAATAAAAAATAATAAATTCAGTCTTAAGATGTATAAAAATAAAGTTTCATTGAAAAATAAATTCTATAATCAAATGAATATGTAAATAATAATTCAAATTAATACTAATAATAGAAAGTACAATAAGTTTAGAATTAAAATTAATATAAAAAAATGGAAAATACAGACAGCGATTAAGAATTTGGTGGTTCTAATGATAAATAACCAAATAACTAATAATTAATTTAGTAATAGGTTTATTCTAATTAGAATAACAATATTTAAAATAGTGTAGCATAGGATACTTAATAATAAGGATAAATTACTACAAAACTAAAAGGAAGACTTATAAAAAAAGCAGATGCTAATCAGCCAGCATAATCATTAAAATAAGTTTTTTAGATTATTTTGTAAAAGATTAAATTGGCTGAAAATGTATTTAATTCTTATCAAAAATTAAAGTATTAAATAATTATCATAACATAGAACACATTAGAAATTATAAAATTTTATCAAATAGTTTGAAATTTTTAATTACCTTTTATATTATTATTAATATTCATTAATTACTAATGTAAAGTTGTTTTGCAAAAATGATAGAAATATAGATTAATGTTATTTAAAAAAAGATTTGGATTAATTTATTGATGAAAATACAATTTTAGATTATTAAAAATATCATTAATAGTAAATAAATGAAATAACCCAAATCTATGAATAAAAACTTGCAATTTCAACAGTAATTAATTATTTAAATTATTAGAGAGCATCAAAAGATTTACAAGATTTTCTCGATAGTAGAAATAACAATGGTGATATGTTGGATTTAATTAGATTTTTAGAATAGGGGAATTTCTATAAATATAATAGTTATATAGAATTATATGAAAAGTATTTTAAATAGATCTTTGGTTAACTAAATTGCAATTTGAATTCTAAAGAATTATTAATGTAAATAAAATGATTTAAAATTAGATTTTTTGGATATTCGATTAAATTTATAAAGATTGAAAAAGAATTTCCATTAAAAAATTATAAGATTATTAATTCTAATTAGATTGATTATTTAAGTGATGATGAAGAATGTTTAAAAGAGTTTATTATAGGTTATATGAATATAAAATGAGAATTTAATGATTAATTTATATAATTTATATAATTCTTAATATTTTTGTGTCTTCATATATAAGACTAGTTGACATTGAAGAATATAATGAAATTAATTAAAGAAATAAAGAATTATATAAATATATATCGAATGAAGTAAAATTTGAGATTGAGATAATATTCGTTTTTCTGTTTTTTGTAAATAGTTTATTAATATTATATGAAATCAGCTTTGTTGGTTGTTGTTTTGATTGCCTGCATTTAGGCAACAACAGTATCTGAATTAAAAGAAAGACTTTCAGGATATGGAGATCATCCTTTTGGTTCATCTATGATTAACTTAGTGAGTGTTAATATGAAAACAGGAGGATCATTGAATGAATTAAAATAGCTCTTATAATAAATAAAGGATGAATTGATTGCCTTAACATAATTGTAAGATTAAGAAAATGCAACATTCACTAGAAGAAGTTAAGTTGATTTGGCAAAACTCTAAGCTACACTTGAATAAGGTTAATAAGATCTTGACAATTAAAGATAAGAATAATAAAGTTTAAGTAATGAATTGAGTACATTATAAACAAGAGTAAAAGAAGGTAATATTTATAGAATATAATTGTATAGATTAGGCTGCATTAGATAGAAATAGTAGAGGAAGTGGAGATGCTTAAAGTAGATTAGATGCTGAAAATACAGATTTTACAGCTAAATTTTAAGATTATAGTGATGCAATTCTTGCTTGTAAAGAAGCTTAAAGATTATTATTAAATTTAAGAGGTGAAGGAGCATCATTAATTCAATTAACGTATTAGATTTATTTAAATATTTAGATAAGACACAAAGAGTAATTTGATTTAAACAAAAGAGAACTTTTAAAAGATTAAAGAAATCTTAGAAGCCCATACTAAAAAAAGTTCTTTAACTTTATTCTAACCAATAATTGAAGGATTAGCTGAAATGACAACAAAAGTCAATCCAGAAACATTAAATAATGTTTTGAGTTTAGTTGCTAGATTAATTACTGCATTATAAGAAGGTTAAGATTAATTAGAATCAAATCACAAAACTTAAGTTGAGAATTTAACAAGATTAGGTGATGATTTGAGAAATGAAAAATAAACCTTATAAGTTTCATTGGCAACTGCTAATAATAGACTTAAAGAAATCTAATCAAGATTAAATGAATTAGATGGATTAATAAATATATCTAATGCTATTGTTGAAGTCACTTAATTAAATATTTAAGATGCCACTAGAATTAATGAATTAGAAGATTAAGAATACAGTAATTAAAAAGTTAGTAGGTAATTAATATCATTTAATTTAGATAAACTGAAATAGATATCGTTGATAGATTAATTGAATACATCAATCAAAAGTTGTCAGAATGAAATCATCATATTCATATAAAAATATTCATATTTATCTAGAATCTGTTTCAATCATTCTATGAAATTGATCAAAATTTAAATTCCAAGATTCTGCAATTTTTGCTACTTCCAAAATACGTGTATCATTAGTTGATTCTGCAGATTTCACTCTTACATTCATTGCTATTGTATCCTATATAATTATATAAATTATTACTATTGCATAGGCTAAGAAGATATCTTTTATAGAAATTCCTCCAATATCATGAGTGTTCAGATTAATCTTAACTAAATTATATACATTTTCCCAATCAGGATGATCTAAGATTAATATATCATAATACGATCAATTTATTCTGAAAAAATAGCCACTTAATTCATAAAAGAAAAGGCTTCCTTAAAATTATTGAACTTAATTTCTCTATATAATTTTTATGGAGTCTATTATAATTCAATAATTTACTATCTTCCATGTTGAATTTAATGAATGCATCTTACATAATGTTTATATATCTGAGTCAGAAATAAGTGTTGGATTTCTTTCCTTTATTGTTTGAAAATCTAACACTTTAAATGAAAGTTTAGGGAAATTTGTTTAAATTGTGCCAAAGGGAAATTTGAAAATTGAAAATATCATAAATTTTAATAATATTGGTAATGATGATTAAGTATTTAGAATTTATCTTAATAATTATTACAATATAAACTTATATTTAATGTATTCTATACTAAGATTATATTCAATAATTTAAATTTATTATTATTATAACTATTTATAATAAATGATTATTTAAATAAAACTCATTTATATAGAACATTATTTATCTATTCGTTTGATAATAAATAATATAATTAGATAATTAAATGATTTCAATTTTAAAGATTTATAATATGAATCAATTTTCATCATTAAAAATCTCTGATTTTGAATTTAACAAACTTTTAACAAACGAAAAAGCAATCAATTAAATTTAATTGCTTAAATAATAATTAAGATCTTCCTTATTTATATTTTATTATTTATCTTTCAAATTCAAACAAAATTAATGTAGAAACTTTATTTTATTTCTCATATTAGAATTTTATTAATTTCTATTCAAAGAATAATCATCAAATTGAGTATTAAAGTTTTATAATTTTATTGATTTTTAATTTATTTATAACATTTATTATACTCTATTTTTAAAATATTCTTTTTTAGGAAATTTAAATTTTTGCATAAAGAAACAAGAAACATTGTTTTATTTTGTTTTTTAAAAATTAAAATTATTTAAATAATAGACAGCATCTTATAAATTTCTTAAAGCAGGACTAATGTAAAATTTCTTTTTTATTTTAAATCTCCATCTAAGTAAATCTTCATATTTTTCCTTCAAAGTTTTTGGTCTCTTAACTTTTATACATTAAATTATCTCTTACAATGGAGATATAATAAGTTTTGAAATCATATAATAAGCACAAAAAAACAAAGAAAAATAGGCTGTGAATAAAAGTATTATTGTTTAATGTAATGCATCATCGATTTTAGTTTATAATATACTTTTACATTCAGTTAGATAATTTTAATATCTAGCATTATCAATAATACTAATCTAATTTAATGTTAATAATTACAATAAGAAATATAATTATTATTTAGTGAGATAAAATTTAATAACACTTTATTAAGAATTAGTTCTCTAATTCATAAATTTAAAGTATTTTTCGTCATTTCTCTACAATTAATCCCAATCATTTTTATTGAATCCAGTAATGTTTTCATCATAAAAATATGCTTAATCGTTTTCTGGTTAATTTATTAGAATGCCATCCTTTGTTAATATCATTATGTAAACATCTTTGAATTTATCTAACATCTTTTAAGTTTTTTGAATTAAATAATCTGAAAAAATATCTAAACACCAAGCACCTTTGAATTGAAAAAACTTATCAATCAAAGGTAAAGTTAATGTTATTCCTACCTTTTAATCCTAATTGACTAAATAATTATATTCAATTAATTACATAAATATGGATCAGATATACTGTAGAGATACTCTTTTTTAATTATGCTTTGTTATGAGATATTTTAGGCTAAAAGATACCATGGTCTAGTTTCAGGTTAATAATGTTTAATTTCCTATCCTATAGCATAACATGGGTAGGAAAACAAAGGTTTAGGTTATTCAATAACATAGCCATATAAAAAAGCTTAATTACTATCAAAATGTGGATGTATTATTTATCCAATAGAACTTATAAAATCACCAAAACTGACTTATTATATTTGATTTCGTTTAGCATAATTAAATTCATCTTTAAAAGTGTAACAAAATACAGAGTCAGAAAATTTGGAATTATTTTTGTTTGCAATTATGGATGGATAAGATTCTATACCACCAAAATTATTTTAATTCAAAGAGCTATTCCAATATATTTTTGTTAAATAAACTAAATACAGTTAGTTCAATGTGATTAGTGGATTAGCATCTAATTTAAATGATATAAAATAACTTATTTAAAAGTAAGAATTCAAATATTTGTAATAATGAGTAGCATAACTAAATTTATTTGCATTATCTCTCTCATATATTATATTTGATTAAACCAAAAATTCATCAATAATTACTCTTCCTCCAAAATATCCTGTGATATATGAAAGTGATGAAAATAAAGCTGAAAATATAGCAGAGTATGTTAGTAATAGTGTTTTCATTGAATAATTCTGAAAAAATGACATAAAATTAATATTTAAATTGAAATAAATCCTTTAATCAATATAATTATTGGTATCACTAAATTTATTCAAAGTAATTTTAAAGCATCTTACTTATTAGGATAACAATACTTATTTATGTAAAATATACTTATTAAAAACAATATTTTACTATTAGTATTAATTTAAAAATAATACTGAAAAAATAATATAAACAGTGAAGAACGAGAAGACTTTAATCATAAATGGATGAGAAACATTTTCGTAGAATAAAAATTATTTTCAAAATTATATCATTATTAAAGAAAGATACTTTAAAAAAGAATTATAAAATTTTTATAAGTTTATGATAATATTTCTAATATAAGTTAATATAATAATAAATAATAAACTTTATAAAAAATAAAAATAAATTAATTATTATACAAACTACATATTTCTAAATAAAGATGAACATCTTAATTCAAATAAATAGTTTAATTTTGTTCATTAATTAATAGATGTTTGGAATATTGTTAACTTATAGAGACAGATTTACGAATAAGAGTGATAATCTGTTCAATGTCATATCTATCAATGTATTTGAGTATGAGTATATTTAAATTGATGATTTATTTACATATTATTCTTGTGTCTAAATATCGATTACATTTGACTTGTTTTTTATTTTAAGAAATAATTTTGATTGTATAGATTCTTTGAAGTTCATTAGAATAACTTAAAAACACTTTCTTTAAACTATTTACAAAATAAAAACTTATTATAAATAATCTTAATAATATTTTGTATGGAAATTTATAGAGACAGTTATAAGAAGGAACTAACTTAAATTTTTATTCAGCTTTCAATTAAAACTGAATTAAATATGATGATTTCTTTTATTATCGTATTATTTAATAGGAATTTTGATAATTTTTCTTATTTCTTTTAAAAAAATACTTAACCCATTTTATTTTATATATTATTTTTTTGGAGTGAAAAAGAGACTAAAAATTGAGTAACATTTTTAATTCCCTATAAATGGATTCTGAACTCAATTTCAAGTTCATTAATTATGTCAAGTTAAAAAGAAATAGAAGAATCTTTTGATTATCCAGATACTCCATATCGTTAGAATCTGTATTAATAGGTTACTCCAAATGGAATATACAGTCCATCTTAATTCATTCAGTTTAGTATAAAATCAAAATCAATTTTTCCTTAAAAACATCAGAATAACTCTACGAAAAAAGCAAAAATAAATAAAAGTTATATCCATGATTTTGATGAATAGATTCAAATTAATTAGTATAGTTTCAACAACAGTAATAAAATCAAACCAATTCATACATCTTTATGTTCATTATTTAGAGAAGTATGTTTTTAATTTGATTGAAATAGAATAATATTGAAGTTAAATAAGAAGAACTTAAATAAGAGCACTCATTGATAAAATATTTAGAGACCATTTAATACTAAATGTAGTAATTAGAATCTAGTGTAGTAGCCTTAGAAAGGAAAATATATGTGAATAATTAGAAAATAAATAAACCTATCAAAGAAACAAATGATCATTAGTTAGTTTATATAAATTAGAATGTTTAAGGATTAGTTGGAAGATTATAGGATATTTTAATGGAAAAGAATTTATTAACTGTTTAAACATAAGCAAATCATGATGAAGATGAGAAATAGACAATTTATACATTCAATAAGAATTTAAATAAATTCTCGAAAGGATATAAGTGTCGTTACTGTAATTGCAAATTTGTTAAAGCATGTTCTTTAGGGTATTAATTTATATATATATTTAAAGAGGTCATATCTCTAGAACTCATAAAGAGGAATCCAAATAATTAAAATAAAGTATTCCTATAAAGAAAAATAAACATATAAAAAAAGAGAAAATTAATTAAGCAAAAATGAAATGATTAAACTTAATGATTGTTAATTTATATATAATTTAAATTTTAAATTTAATGGATTATCAGAAATTATTTAGTGTCATTCCTAAAGAACCAAGAAGATGGACTTAATGTGATGTTGAATGCTGGTTGGAATTTATAGGATTATAAGATTTATCTAATGTTTTTTGTATAGATTGATAATTCAATTTTATAGAAAGAAATGCTATTGATGGAGCTTGTTTAGAAGTATTAAATGATGATGATTTGAATGAATTAGGCATAAATTCTAATGTTAAAAAGAAGAAGATTTTATAGTGGATTCAAAATGGATTCATAGAATATAAATAATTTGTAAGAAACAATATTGGTTAAAGTGAATGGTCTATTGCAAGCAAATAAATTATAAATAAAGAAAATCTTGATTATACTCCTATATAAAGATTGAATGATTTTAAACCAAAAAAAGAAGATAACTTTTAAGATTATCATAAAGTTGAATTAGTGGAATCTATGAAAGTAGTTGATGCACCTCAAATCTTAAGATAACCAAAATAAAATTTAGAAGCCACTAAAATTCCATCATATCCAAATTCAATTAAATAGATGGAATCTATAAATACTATTGAAATAATTTGCATAGGTGATAATTAGAAAATTAGTGTTACAGAAAAAGGACTAAGTATAGGGAGAAATCCTGAGAATACTTTAATATTAAGTGAAGATTATGTAAGTAGAAATCATTGTGTAATTGAATTTGATTAGAAAACAAAGAATTATTATTTAAAAGATACTGGAAGTACTTCTGGGACTTTTGTATTATTAATGCAACCATCATTAATGAGAATAGGTTTGATTTTACATATGGGAAGCATGTAATATAAAATAGAATAGATGAATTGTAATAATTAATAATGTGATGTGGTATTGAGAGTAGTAGAAGGATTATAAAAGAATTAAAAGTTTTAATTTTAATTAGTTAAGAATTAGAATTGTCTTAAATTTGGTAGATAATTAGAGTAATTTAAAATGGATACAGTAATATAATATATTTATATAGTTAGCATTTATCTGGTATTCATTCCCAATTTAGTTATACAGATGATGGATTGATATTAGAAGATATGGGTAGTAGAAATGGAGTTTGGGTTAGATTAAGTGAATAAGGATAATGTAGTGAGAGAGTAAAGTTAACTTAGGATAGATAATTTAGACTTGGTTATGAAAAAATATATTTGTGTAATATAAATAATATTAAATGAATAATAATTAAACCAATTAAGCAATTTCTATTAAATTAGTGATTGTTGGTGATGGTAGTGTTGGAAAAACATGTATTTTGATTAGGTAAATATAATAACATTAATAATAGATATACATAAGATAAATTTCCAACAGATTATGTACCAACTGTATTTGAGAATTATTGTACATAAATTGCGTATGAGAACAAAATGGTAAATCTTAATTTATGGTATTTAAAAATCATTATTACTAAAAAAGGGATACAGCTGGATAAGAAGAATATAAATAATTGAGATGTATTAGTTATCCATAAAGTGATGTCTTTGTAATTACATTTTCTGTAGATGAACCAAGTTCATTTTAAAATGCAGTTAAAAAAGTAATCTAATTATAAATAATAACATAGTGGTATCCTGAATTATAAGCTGATTAACCAAATGTTCCTATTATTTTTGTTGGAAATAAAATTGATATTAGACCTATGGAAAATGCTGATGAGAATAAATTTGTTACTTTCAATATAGCATAAAAGGTTGTATCAGATTTAGGATGTAAATATATTGAATGCAGTGCACTTAATGGAACTAATTTAAAATAAATTTTCTAAGAAGGAATTAAATAAGCCATAAAAAAGAAATTCCCACCTTAATAATCTCAAACTTCAGTACCAGTAAAGAATTAAACTGGAACTCAAAGAAAGAATAATTCTAATGAAAATGATGATGCAAGTGGTAAATGCTCAATTCAATGATTTAATCAAATAATACATAATATATAAATATAAATTATTTTATTTTATTTATTTTTTAATATATAATTCAATCTATCTTTATTTTCTTAGATATTAAGTCTACTTCTTCATCTTAATCTATTTATTTCTTTAATTATTTAACAATATGAGTATTATTACTATGTCCTTAAACTGATTTAAATAAATCCATTTCATCATCTACTACATTGTATCTAGATTACATTTGGCTCTAAGATTATGTTTAAGAACTGAATTATTATTTCATACAATTATTTTTTAGATTCTTAAAAATATCATGAATTCTTTGATAATTTGTTTAATTTTCTCTTTTTTTCAATTCATCTTCCTATTATTTATTAATTAATGCTTACTAATGATTAAATTAATTTTTAATTTATTCCTTCATAAATAATTTTTATTATTTCTAATTATTAAGAAAATATTAAATTCTCTCTTAATCCTTTATAAGATAAAATAACATTTATTAAATTAGGAATTATCATAATAATTTCATTATTAATATCATCATCTCTTGATAAACATATTAACTTTATTATTTATAAACATTTAGTTTACAATAACTTTTAATTTTCTTATAAAATAAATCCTATTTTCAATATAACTTAATTTATAATAATAGCTTCTTTCACTTAAGGTTTCATAGCTCTAAACAAACCTAAAGATATCTCTAAAAATTGTTATTTGTATTCTTTTGTTGATAAATGTGAAATTTAATTTGTAATTTTTGGATAGAATTATATTAAGAATAAATCCATAGTTTCATTCTATTCTTCTTAATTATTATCAATTAATAATTTTAATGTTTCCATATATAATTCATTTTAAAAAGCATTTTCAACAATTATATTGAATAATGGATATTTCAATACTTATTGATGTTCACTAATAACATATTATCTGAAATTAATAGGACAATGTTATAAACATACAATTAATAATTCTAATATCATATTTGGTATCTTAATAAATATATCATCCTTTAATTAATATTATAAATATATATTACAGATATCTTTAATTTAAGTTTCTTTAATTTAGCTTTATATTTCTCAAATCCTTTAAGTGAATCATTTATATAATCTTCTATTATCTCATATAATCCATACTCACTTAATTTCTAATATATTACTACTTTATTCAACTAATAATAATAATTATATTATTATACATCTGGAAATTCTTTAAAAACAGAACATATCTCACTTAAAAATCTTAAAGCTAAAAAATTGAAATTTCTTAATTGGTCAATCACTTCTATCAAAAAATCCTTCGAATTTTCTATGTACTTAAAGAGGTCAACATAACAACTCTTTATAATCTATCATGATTTTGATTACGTTAAAACTATCTTTATGAACATCAACTGGCACTCGTCGATGTAGTAGGCCAAACCACAATCGCGCAAGTACTGCAGCCGATATATGAAATGAATGGTTTTAAGTCTCTCTTTACTCTTTATTTGGACTACTTGTAAGAATTATGCATGTTTCTCTAAATACTAACGGTGGGGTACAAAATTCTTCTTGTTCATCTCATAATCATCTAAAATAATATTAATACTACTATATACATTCTAATGCACCAAATATAAATAAATAATTTTAATCGTTCAATATCATTTAAAATAATTCATGTTCTGCCACTGTTACTATCTAATCATTTATTAATATATATATATATTTATACATTCTTTACAATCTAACACATTGTTTATAATAAATTAATATTATTGTCCTTTTCCAATTATTAAAATAATTTAATAAGCTTATCAAAATAGTCCTTATCAAATTCAATATTATCTTACTTTCTTATTTATAAGATAATTCTATAACATCTATTTAGATTAAGAACCATATGCTATCATATTATTCATTGTTTCCAAAATTGATTCCAAATTACTTTCAGATACTGGTGTCAATGATATAGAATCTTAATCTTCAGCCTCATTTTCCACTAAAATATTTTGAATACGAGCCCAAACTCCCAATGCTCCTTCTCTACTCTAAAAACTTAATGCATATTCCTTATTAAAATGGAATTAAATTGCTTCCTCTAATATTATATAAATTATATCATTTACCCTAATCAAACCAAAACTCATTCTCTTACTTTATTGGTACAACTATCACTTCCTAACTTGTGTCTTTCTATAGTAAAATCAATTCATTCTATTTATTTTATTTCTAAACTCATTACCTTCGAATTGATATGTGTATATCCAATATCTACATAATTCCATTTATCTCCTGCTAGCTAATACATTTAACATAAAAGAATCTCAGAATTAGGTTTCATTTTAATATTTTAAATATTAAATCTTATTTTTATGCAAAATAAAGGAATGAATATTTATTTGCACTATTTATTATTATTTTTATTATTCTAAGAATTAAATACTTTAATATTTACTTCCTTTTTATTATTTTATATCTATGTTTTATATAAATATTTATATAGATATTTATATATCAAAAATCAATCATTTTTTCTATTGCATGACATTGTACTACTAACAATGCCATCAAATCATTATGTTAATTGGATTATTATTGAAATCTAATTGGTATTACATCATTTTCCAAATTTTCTAATAAATCTATATCAGAATTTGTTTTTATTGAACTATTATGTGAAATACATTATTTTATTTTCATATTATTTCCAAATTACTATAAAATTTTCATCTTCTATTGGATTGTTGCTTTTTTATTATTTAAGTCTTTTTATAATATTTTTATTGAAATAGGTATATCACCCTATTATTTCTATAATAAATCATTAGTATATAAGGTCATTTATCCTAAATACAATGCTTCATCTGTGATTAAACTCTAATTTATTATAAATTATAATTACAATAATTTTATTTTATTCTTATTATTATTATAATAATTCATTAATTTATTATTATAAAAATTTGGAATCATTTTAATCTTATAAAGAAGCTTATAATACTTCACACTTTTCCTATAATTTTAAAATTTATTATTAATATCCTTTACATTCTGCTTCATATTATTATTAAATTTTCTTAGACTAACAATTATCATTTATAATAGAATTTAGTTATTAACATTACTTATTATTATCTTAAAGCAAATCAAAGTATTTTTATTCTATTTATTTCATTTAATCAATTTTACTTTTTAGTGTTTCATTTTCTTAAAGTAATAAGGAATTTTATTAAATTACATTGTCTAAATTTTTACTTATTTCTAAAATTCTTTAATTCAATTCAGAATAATATTCTTAATTCTTTAAATTCTTTTAAAGTTCATTAATTTATTTATTTTTTTCATTTAATTAATCTTAAAATTCTTATATTGCATAGTTTTATTAATCTGAAGATTATAATTCTAATATTTTCTCCATTAATTACTTATTAATAATTGTTTATTCTTCCAATAATCTCAGATTATTTTATGAATCATAATCTATCTAGGTTTTTCTAATATTTCTACAATAAGGAGACTTTGATTTAGAACTCATTTAAGTCATGAATCTATCTTCATTTGTCTTATAATTAGATTAATTAATAATTGAACTATTATTTTCATTTGTTTCATAATTAGATAAATTAACACCAAAAGAACTTTTTAAAAATTGTTATTAATTCATATTATCTTTTAATGTTTTTATTTACTTATTCAACAAATCAACTTAATTTGTTAATACATTTTAATTATTTTAAGATTGTAATTGTTTGATTATTTCTTATACTAGATTTTATGTGTTATATACCATTTTTTATAACTAAATTTAACCTTTAAAAGTCATTTAATCAATATTTTAATTATCCAATTAGGATTTCAAATATTCAATTTATTATTCATAATGTTAATTATCATTAGCTCTAAATGTATCTGAATTATTATTTAATTCTTATAAAAGTAAATAAATAAAATATTTTAGTGTAATTAAATCTGTACATCTATAGAAATCGAAACATTCATTTGAGAATTCTTAACAAAAACATTTAATTTTTGCTAAAGATGGAGCACATTCATCTTAATTTTGATCTTTAACTAATTTAAATTATCTCAATCTTTTAGTTAATGTTTATATTTTCTAAATACAATTATAATTTAATCTTGTTTAATGATTAACAACACTATGAACAGAATATTTATCTTAATTAATAGATTATTCTGTTTTGATTGGTGATTATTCAATTTTACTAATATTTTCTAATCTTTTATTGATAATTGTTTCATAATAACTTTGAGTGTCAATTTATTTATTAGATCCATATTTATTATATTATTTATGAGTATTAAAAGGAGATAGATTTGATGTAGTTTTAGAAGCTGTAGTTGATCTGTTATCACTTGCATGATGACTATTAAGATTTTTCACTCTCATTTCTAATCCTTGTACTTTACTTTATAAATAATTGGCACATTATTAAAATTCTGGACAATTACTAATAATTGCAAATGGTTATCTATTAACTTTAGCACTACCCTTTCTTGAATGACATGAATTTGGTGTTTAAAAAGGTTTCATAGATTTTTGATTTTAAATTATTTGTTTTTTATTTTAACAGAATATAATTGAGAAAATTAAATTAAAATTATTGTATTTTAAAAAAAACCCAAAAATAATTAGATAATTCATTTATTATAAATAATCCATTAGTCGTAAACAAAGTTAAACCAAAAATTATATATTATCAACATTATATTGAAGTATAATATATATATATTATAATTATAATAAGAATATTATTGTTTTAGTAATAGTAATTTTAAGAATTATATAATTACCATATATAGTATTAAAATAAAGGAATATATATTTGTATAATAGTATTCTTAATAGAGTTAATTCATTTCTAAATATGATATCAAGTATTATAGAATATTGAGATATTAATACCTTACCTTTTGTATATTTAACAATAAAGAAATTAAAAGTTTATATATAGATAAATTCTATGATGATGTAAAGTTAGCTGATCAATCTTCTAAAATAAATTGAATAATTACAAATAAAATGATAATCTCTTTGATCTTAAAAATAAAGAGTATACCTAAATTGTGTTAATTAATAGGCGGTAAATCGATGCGCCACTAATTTATAAATTGTTATTTTTTATAATTCTTCTTAATAATTAAAATAAATGAATAATTGTTTGTCAACACCAAAAACAAAACAATAGAAATGCCCTTAAGCTCCTAAAAAATAGTTAAACTTAACAAGAATTGATGATTAATCAATTAGATCTGTTTGCAGAATACTTTTTGTAGAAGAAACAAAACCAGAAATAACTCTAACCTAAACTGCTTGATTTTTGTATTTTTGTGTATATTTACATTATTATAATACATTTAAAATTAAGATCTCTATTAATCATATTAAATTTAGTAATAAAAATTAACAATAAAATTGTATTAATGGATTTAAGAAATAGAAACACAAGAATAGTACTTATTTAGATGTTAGAAAAATAATTGAAATCTATTATGACTGAAAATATTACAAAAGTTAAATATTAGGAATAATTAACAAGATTTTAAATCTCTGAAGATTAAAAAAAAGCAAGAAAAAAATAACATAGTCCATCACCTTAATTAATGAGAACACATAGTTAATCAGATCATATTTAATTTTATGAGAGACAATAATCATAATTAAAAATAAAAAATGAAAGATTATATCAATCAAAAGAAAAGTCTATATTAAAAAAGTTATAAGAAGAAATTCAAGAAGCTACATTTAATCCAAAAATCCTTAATTTTAAAGGTTAAAATACTTAAAAAAATAACTTATATTAAAAAGGAATTAAATGGATGTAATAAAAAGTATTATATTATTAATAGACAAGGCTGAATATATTGATAAATTAAAGGAGTCTTCTATGGTTTAAATAAGTTAAGAGAATTTATTTAAGCCAATGGTTAATAAAGTATCAGAAAAAATAATCAAAACAACTAATTAAACAGATTTCTTTTAGAGAATGAATAAAAATGAGGATAAGAAAAAAGAGAAAATCAAGAGACTTAAAACTGATGCTACTCCATCTTTTAAACCAAAAATTAATGGTATTTAAATATATTATATAGATCGTTCTAAAAGAGTATAAAGTAGTCTTAATAAAGATATTTTATCAGTTTCTTATAATACAGAATTAATGGAGAAGATTAGAAATTATAATTAAAGAGAATTAAATCAATCTTGTCATGAATATTCTAAATAAAGAAATTGTTCATCTGTATTATCATAATCAATTGAAATTGATAAATAGACAAATGATTATCCAAGTTTTAGAAATTCAACTACAATTAAGAAATAACCAAAATTATAAATTGATTGTAATACTCCCTCTTAGAATAAAACAGAAATGTTATATGAATCATTAGGTAATTAAACTTATAATTATTTTTGAATTTAATACTTTCATATATATATATTTAAATATATTAATATATAAATGCCTAAAATTAAAACTATACGAACAAAAAAAGCACCTGAGGGTTGGGAATTAATTGAACCAACAATAACAGAAATTGGAAATTAAATAAGAGATGTAGAGAATCAAACATATAGTGATAAAAAGAAACCAGAATAATTTTGGGAAATATATAAATTACATCATTAAAGGTATAAACAATATTATATAAATATATAGATCTCGTTATATTTATGAAATGTACTATTATAAAAAAGAGATAACAAGAGAATTATATGAATTTTGTTTATAAGAATAATATGGAGATGCATCATTAATTGCAAAATGGAAAAAGACTGGATATGAAAAGTTGTGTTGTTTACATTGTATATCTAAATCACAACATAATTTTGGAGGAACATGTATTTGTAGAGTTCCTAAAGCTAAATTAGAAGAAGGTAAATTAGTATAATGTAAATAATGTGGATGTAGAGGTTGTGCTAGTGGAGATTGATATAGTTATCTATAAAATAATACCATAAGTTTTAATCATTCATATTTTAACATATAATCTAAATGTTTAAATAACATTCATTCTCTAAGATAATCCCATTCCTTGATAAAACACGTCATAAAGGTTAAAATGGTAAGATAGCAAGTATAGGTGGATCATTTGAATATACAGGAGCTCCATATTATGCAGCCATATCCTCATTGAAAGGAGGAGGAGATTTAGCATATATCTTTTGTACTAAATCAGCTGCAATCCCTATAAAGAGTTATAGTCCTGAATGCATAGTCTATCCTTATCTATTAGAGGAAGGAGAAGAATAATAATTAGAGACTGCCATTAACAAATTATTGTCTTCTACTTCGATAATGCATTCATTAGTCATTGGTCCTGGATTAGGTAGGGAACAAATAACCAGCATAGTTTTAGAAGAACTATTCAAATAAAATAATAGTATCAAAATATTGGATGCTGATGCATTATGGCATATCTCTTAGAAACAGAATAAATTAATTAATATTATCAAAGATAAGAGTGATTAATTTATATTAACTCCAAATGCAATGGAAATAAAGAGATTGCTAGAATATTTTGAGATTGAATATATAAAACCTGATTATAATTCCATTAATGTTTAGAATGATTAGGATATAAATTATTAATAAATTGGTATTGAGAATGGATATCCAAGATTAATGGCTGAATTGAGTAGGAAATTAAATAATGTAATAATTGTATCTAAGGGATAAAATGATATTATAACAAATGGAAAAGTTGGATATGCAATTCATATAGAAGGTTCTAAAAAGAGATGTGGAGGTTAAGGTGATATTTTAAGTGGTTTAATTGGACTCTATTCTTATTGGTCTTAAGATTATAAAATAGACAAGATTCAGGGATGTATTTTAGGAAGTGTAGTAACAAGAAGAGCAGCCTAAATAGCATCAATTAAAGAGCATTATTCATTGACAACTCCTAAGATTATTGATCATATTGGAGATGCTCTTTATTCAATTTTTTAAGACTAATGATTAATAATGTGTTTGATTATATTATTTACAAAAAATGTAGAATTTTTTATGATAAATTATTGATATAGAATTATAGGTTAATTTGTAATTATGGATGTTCATTAAAATATATATCAATAAATTTATTAGAATATCACTTAAACAAATATATCTAAAATATTTTGAAAAGCTGATATAAAGTGTATTAAAGACCTGGATTAGAGATTTGATAGGTCAGAAATATTGGTTAAATTATTTGAGAGTAATTTAACTAAATTAAAATTACTTACAAAACTATTTTAACTACTAGTGGTTTGAAATATCTTATTATTAAATGTATTTTTTTTAAAACTGTTGTATATAGTTGGAATCATAAAGGTGAATTAGGATTAGAAGATTAGTAATTTATTTTAAAGATAATTTAATTGATACATTAGACATAATTAATTTATTATAGCAGTTATTTCATGTTGATTTGCTATTAAAATAAATTAACTCTTTATTTTATTATCAATTAGAGATGAAAATACTGAAATTCAATTCATACAAATGGCCAAGAAATTGTGAATTTAATTATAATTAAAAGGATCAATAATTAAAAAAAATTGAATCCAGTATAATCTTATTCTAAAGTTTTTTAACAACATTAATCTATTATTTATGTTTAATAGATTATTCAATTAATTAGAGTATCTTGATGGATTCTTTGATAATTTTCTGATCAAAAAGAGGTATAATTGACTTAAATATAATAAATCTAAATGATTTATAATTGTCAATAATTATTTTATATATGATAATATAAAATAGGTCAGTCTTTAATAATTCTTAATTTTTGAATAAATGATTATAAAGTATCTTTATGTATATTTAATATTCTTGAGATTATTGAAAATCATTTATTTTTTTCTTTTAAAGTAATTCTAAAATCTTCTGAATTGATGTTGACAAATTTTTGTTATCCTTTAGGTAAATTTTGATTTTATTAGATTGAATAATCACTTTACAATTTGTACAATTCTTATATACAATATCTAATTCTTTAGAACTTACATTATCAACCCATAATGACAAATTCAACTAATTCAATAAAAATAGAGGAAAGTTTAGAGTTAAAAATACATACAAATGATAGGGAATAATAAATAGAATCTAAATCAACGATTGAGTCTGTAAAATAGCTCACTGATGATTTAAAGTATTAGATTAAGATCAAGAAAAGAAGACGTAAGAATATAAGAAAGACATATAATAATGGTATATAGATAATCATATAGAAAAGGTCACTGGACCCAAAAGGAACATAATTTATATTTAAAATTTATAGAAACAAACAAGGCTATAATGATTTAATCAGATTTAAAGAAACAAGAGAAGATCTTTAAGTAAATGTCTCTTGTGATTAAAACACGATAACCATCGTAATGTAGATCTCATCATCAAAAGTTTAATCCTTTCTGAAAATATCATTTATTATTCATTAATCATTATAAATAGTTGCGATGGAAAGAAATGATTCAAATTATTTTCTACTATAATCTGAATCTTTAGAACTTGATCTAAATTTCATCATAGGCAAAGCTTATTATTATTACATCATTTTTTTAAGTCTCAATATCATAATTGCATTGTAACTATATGCAATAGAATTACACAACCCAAGACAATCTGCCATAATAAATCTGATTCCTCTCAAAATTTAGATTTCTTGATCACATAATTTAGCTATTGCATATATAGTCATTCCACTATAGCATATTAACATTATTATAGGATATAATAACATATTTTAAGTTATTCTTTAAGATAGTTAAAGTTCATATTCTTATTGTGTAAATAATTACATTTCTTATTAATCAGAATTTCTTGATCTTTAATTTTAATATGATTAAGATCTTAATTGTGTCATAAATAGACTTACTCTGATAATAAATGTCATTCCAACAATATTAAAAAACCATAAAGGTAAATAGAATAAAGAAATTGATTCAATTTATACAAAGAGAGCCTAATTATTTTTATACAAATCATTATCATCATTTGCTATTCCACATACATATATTTGTGTATTATATGAATTTGTTATTATAGGTATTAATGCAAATAAGATTGGACTACAAAAACCTATTAATTAAAATGTCATTTAATGTTCACTTAAATTAACTCTATTTTTAATTACTGTCCAAAAAATGCATAAACATAATAAGAAGCAAAAAAGGAAACATGCTATAGAAGAATATTAAATTAAGAACCCTTAAATTATACAAAGAATTTTATACTATGGTTTAGGTCCTATTAGTATATTACATTTACCTGGATAAATGTACATCAAATTTGACAAAGAAAATATAATATCACTTATTGTCAAACACATTATTAATTTGAGTGCAAAGTTTCTTCTCATTCCCATTTTAAAATATACTACAATTATAAAGAGAGATCCTAATGTGGATAATGAACATGTAGAAATTTTAAGTATTTTAATTGTTTAATCTTAATTATTCATTATTAATAATTATATATTTAATTTCAAAATATATTGCAAGAAACATAATCACTATCTAATAAATCTACTTATTCATCATCTTCTCTTTCAGGTCTTCTGTAAATATCACTAATTTAACAATCTTCCTTTATTTATTCATAATCTACTTCATATACCTATTATTTGGCTTCAATATTTAAATTAAATTACTTTAAATAGTATTATAATTTAATGTCATCTATTTCTCTTATGAATAATCCTACTCCTCAACATATCTACTATTTCTGCCTTCAAAAACTGTCTCCTTCTATTGTAATTATTCATATTATTGTTATGGAATAGCTGAATACTTTACTTCTGTTGTTTATAATTAAGATGTTGTTGTTCCTTTATAAATTATATATTTATTACCTCTGCCTCTCCTGTATTTATCCATAACTTCCTTCACACTTTATCTATTAACTTCAAAATGACTATTCTAATTATTCCCTTAATATTTCTCCACTACTCTTTAAGATGATCTTGAAGCTTCTAAGTCATAATTACTATTTCTTCCCTCATTTTCCATTTAAACATATTTAGAAGTAATTACTGTAGTTTATTGATTATTTTATGTTTATCTAGGTCTAGAGGATCTACGTAATTCATATCTTTAAACAGCATCCTAGAATTCTCCATTACTTGTCCTTTAAACATTCTAACTTGTTGTAACAGTCCTAACTTAATAAGTTTGCCCTTCTGCTGAAAAGCTATTATTCATTAAAACGATATTTTATTATAATATAAAATATACAATATCTTCAAATTGATACCCTTAGAAAAATTATATAAATAACTATCTTATTCCTCTTTATATAGATATTATAAACAATATATTAGATAATATTAGTTAATTTACTTAAATGAAATATTTATAATTTTTAGATATTAGAATCAAATATGATATTTTTTATATATTTTATGAATCATATTAAGTTTATATATATATGATATATTTGTTAATATAATTACTATAATATGGAAAATAATAAGAAATATATATGTTTTTAATAATATACTGAATCAATAAGTATTCTATAATAACTATTATTTGTATTGTCTCATTATTGAAGATTAAATTCTTTTTTTTTAAATACAGAATTTTAAAGATTATCGGCATTGAGAACTAAAAAGTATTTTATTAAATTTAAGTATATTCATATAATTGATTGATTTATGCAATAATCCATTTTTGATTTTGGTAAAAAATCTTCTACTTTTTGGCATCTCTGCGATAAATGTTTACTTGATGTATTACATGTTATAGCATATGAAGGAATAATATAATCTAATAGAGTAAGAGTTTCTAGTCGGCTCTAAATAAAGAATTAAAAAAAAACTTCTTTTGATGAGTGATAGTATGTTATTCAAAGTGTCTGTAATGTAACTAAAAAGAGCTCCCCTTTTAACAATGCATGTTTAATTTATAGATTCCTCTTCTGATCATTTTGTCTAACTAAATTCAGATGAGACTTTATATGGCTTTAGACTTTCTTACTAAGGGAAAAGTCTTGAAATCTTCACTTCAGATATAGTGAATTATGAGGTTTGGAAGTCTCACTTTCGATTGAATTGTATTATGAACAATTTTCATGATGCTTTTTCAGTATCAAAGATGATTGGAAAAGGCAGTTTTGCAAAAGTGTATTCAGCAATAAAAAAAGAAAATAATAATTAATATGCTATTAAGGCATTCAGTAAAAGCTATATGTCTCAGTAATCAAAAGGGATTGAAAGTCTATTAAATGAGATAAAAGTAATGAGAAGATTAAATCATCCAAATATTGTAAAATTACATGAAGTACATGAAACAACTAATTCAATTTACTTTGTTTTAGATATGATTTAAGGAGGTGAACTATTATAAAGAGTACGTGAAACAGGTATTATTTATATAATTTACTTTAATAAGGATTCCTACCTGCTGAGACAATGTAAAAACTTGCTTTCAATTTGATAAGTGCACTTAGACATATGCATATAAATAATTTAATTCATAGAGATTTGAAACCAGAAAATTTATTATTAAAATCAACAGAAAATAATTATGAAATAGTTTTAGCTGATTTTGGTTTAGCCACTAGTCTTAATGAAGAACCTTTATTTAAAAGATGTGGTACACCAGGATTTGTTGCACCTGAAATACTTGAATATGTAGATGGAATGGATTTCTATTCTGATAAATGTGATGTTTTTAGTGCAGGTGTAATATTGTATCTTTTAATTGTATTCTTATATTATTTAAATAGACTGGTAATGCTCCATTTACAGGTGTAGATTAGAAATCAATACTTAAAAGTAATAAATAATGTGAAGTTGATTTTAAAGATTAATAATTTAAATTGGCTCCAATCTAAATGTAAGATTTAATCTAATCAATGCTTATTAAGAAATCTTCGTTTAGATTAAGCTCAGAAGAAGTATTATATATAAATATATTATATTAAGTGTTTAAAACATCCTTATTTTAAAGAATTAGCTAAAGAATACAATAGACAAATAGACAAATTTTAAAATAATCTATAAGGATATACTGAATTAAAAAATGCTATTAAAATAGGAACTTAAGAGATTGAATAAAGATCTCCATTAAATTTTAATTCATCTGAATCAATATCTTCAAATATCTCACTAACAAGATAAGACTAAAGAAAATCCTCAATAGTTGTTGGTGCTTCCAAATTTAGTTAATATAGTGCAAAACTATCAAAATAAAACTCAAGAGAGATCACTGGTAAATTATCATTTTATTTAGATATACCATAAAAACAAGAACCAAAAAAATAATAAGATTTGCATAGACTTGCTCTTACTAATAGTTAAATGAAACATATGGCTAATTGCAAATAAGATAATTATGATGATCCAACTGCTGAAAATTGTAATATTGGGGCTATGGTGAGATAATACAACTCTACTAGACAAATAAGAATTCCTGATTGTACATTAAAAATAAAAGAATGCAATACTCCTACATTGTAGAAGCAATGAGTTAATTAAATTCTTTATATATAATTACATTTTATTCTGTATTCTAATATATATTGAAATCTTTAACTTTAAAGCAAATAAATAATTAATTCAGAATAAATTTAGTAATCTATCTAGATTATTCTTTTTTTAAATTCTATTTAAGAATATTGGTAATGATTTTAATCTAAAATAAGTTTATAATAAAAACTTATTATTCATGATTTAAGACTTGTTTTCCTGATTTTTTTAATTTTAATATTTGGTATGCTCTAAAAAACATTATTCAGATTATCATTAACATTCAATATTCTAATGAATTATTAAATAAAAAAGAAGCAAATAAAATTATATATATATTCAATAGTAAAGCAATTAAATCATTTTCTCACTAAAGAAGGAAATTAAATGGAAATTTAAGGAACGGTTGTTTTAATCTATTGAACTTCTGATGGTTTATTTAATTATTTAATCGATATTTTATTTGTTTACTTTACATTTCTTATTTGTTAATGTTATTTAACTGCTTTTACTGGTATTTCTATTTATTTATATTTAACATCTAATGTATTTTTGGTTTCCTTATTTTTTTAAGGTTTATTCATGATTGGCTAATTTTTATAACAAATTATACTTATATTTTCTTATTTACATTTTATCTTTTTTATTCATATTCTTTTTCGTATTCATATTCATATTCTTCCTCTTCATCATCTTCTTCTTCACTTTAATAATTTACAAAAATTAGATAAATATATTACAATCTTGGAGATTATTTTATAAAAATATCATGAATCTCTTAATACTTTATTCATTAGGGTTCTTATTCAAAATTTGTGATCCTATTTTATAAGCTTTGTTATACTATTTTTCTTAAATAGCTTATAAGAATATAATATTATTTTCTTTATTTAACATCTAATTTATTAATTAACTAAAAATAAATTATAGAAATTTAAATCTTGCTCTTTTTAAAGATAAAGATTTATAAATATAGATTAAATACATTGTTTTTTTATTTCTTATCAATCTGAAGGCAAGTTAAAATTTATTATAATTAAAAAAATAAGTATTTTATAGAAAATTATATTAGAATTAGATAATAAGTATTTAATAATATCATTAAAATATTCTTGTTTAGTAATCAATATTTAATTAGATAAATTTAATTATTTATTATATTCCTTATCCTAGAACTTAAATTCAAAAGAATATTATAATAATTTATAATTTTCTTTTTATAATGAATGCCATTAAAGAAACAATCTCAATTTTATAAAATAAAAAGTTTATTGATCATTATTAACAATAAAACTTAAATATAATTTTATTTAAAATTTAATCATATAAAATGAATATATATATAATTATATAAATATTAATATCTGAATTTTATCATAAATTAGCTGCAATACTTAATTTATTGCAGGTATCCTCTAATAAACTTAAAAGATGCTCTTCTGATTATTCTCTAATTTGATTTATATATAATTATTATACCTAGTCTTTTTTTCTTAATCTAATTCTACTTTTACTCTATTAACAATATCTTTAAGCATTTCAAATATGGATTGTTCACTTTCATCTCTATTTCTCTTTTCTACATTAATGAGATTGCTGAGTTTAACAAGTTCGTCCGTAATTGATTTCATAACCTGAAGATAAATAAAGAGAATACATTTTAATCAGATTCATCTCTCTCATTGGCTTCAGTTCTAATAGCTTCTTAAATTTTAGGTAGATCATTTTATAGTCCTTAATGAATTCCTTCTATAGAATCTACTCTTGCAGCTGTTTCCTTTTAAATTTCAGTTCTTAACAAAGCAGTTTTATCTTCTAGAAGTCGAAGTACTTTAGATTCTCCTTCTTTTCTAACTTGAGTTTCATTTTAAATAGCATTTTCAAATTTCTTTTCTAAACCTAAAACTTCCCTATTCTTAGTTTCATTTGCCTATTCTTTAGCTAATTTATCTTCTTCCACTTATTTTTATAATTTTCCTAACTATAACGATAATGTATAAATAATTACTTAATCTCTAAGTCCATTAAGTTTAGTGAATATTTATTCTTAAAATTCATTAAAAGCATCTTCTGCTTATTGAATTCTTTATTCAGCTTATTCTAGTTTTTGAAATCTTTCATTTTCTACTCCAATTTAAATGGTTGATAATTTTTCAGAGATTTTTTATATACGTCCACTACTTGGTGATACTTATTAATCTAAAGGTATTATAAATAGTACTTACATAAAGATTTTGAATTATACATTGTGAATAAATTTTATTTATGATTAAACTAAATAAATTTGTAGAAATAAAAATAATCAATCAAATAAAAATTTTTAATTTCTTTTGATTAAAGATTGACCAAAATCTAATTATGAGATATCTGCAAAATCAGAATGCGAACTATCAACAAATTCATTTTGTGTTTCATCTTTAGTAATTCTACTATTTCTACTTGATATTTGATTGATGTTTTTATAAATATGTTCAACATCAATCCCTCTAGATTTAACTGCTTTTACTAATTGTATTAATTTCTTTTCTTTTTCTGATAAACTTTGTATTTTTTATTACATAAGTTTTATTTGATTTTTCAATTCAATTTTTTAAGGAGAATTGCATTAAGGTTTATATACTTCATCATTTTATTTTTTTTACTTTTTGATTTCTTCTAATTTCTCTTAATATTATTTAATTTTCTGATTAGCTTCATAATCTTTAATTTTCATTTCTAAAATAATATCTATTTATTATTATTACCGAATTGCCATTAAGTTTATTTGGCTTATAATTCTAATTCATGAATTCTTTTAATTAGTAATGCTTTATCATTTTCATTTTCAATTTCTTTTTAAAATTAATAATGATTAGTAATTTCTCTTATGATTTGAATTAATTAAATAATATAATTTGATACTTCTTATTAATTAATACATGTTCTCAATCCTATTATTAATTTAGAAAGTTATTCATTTAATTCTTTAATATTACTATTCTTTTCAAGACTATCAATTACTAATTTAATAAGTCTAATAATTTCTTTTTTAGAAGCTTCTTCTTTAAGATGAGCTTATTCATATAAATAACTTTAAACGGACATCATTTCACCACTTAACTTCATAGTAGACTGTGTATTTTATCTACTCTTATATAACTTGAGATCATACCTTATTTAGTTTTTTGTCAGGTGTAGTAAAGCTAGTATTGTTATGATTGTATTTTGAAGCAGATAATGATTTCATTTACAAATTTTAATTTTTATATTAATTTTTATTTAACAGATGAAATAGACATACAATCCAAATAGAGAATACCTATCAATTTATAAATAAATTTGTTAAGAACAACATGTACATTTAAGCAAAACAATAAGTATATTTTTGGATAATATTATATAGCATAGGGTTTAAAGGATCAATCATTAAGATTGAATGCTATTTTAATAAGAATAGAAGATATAATTCCATTATAATTATTATTAAGTTTGTGTCATTTTGATTCAATTATTGTATATGGTAGATTAAGAAAGAAAATGAATAAAAGTATAAATAAGCTTAAATTTTATAATAGATGATTTAGTAAGTTTAGAGGAATTACAATAGATAATAAATGGAATATTAACAGCTATTAATTTAAATTTGACATAAAGTTAATTCAATTTAATGCAAATACATATTACTGATTTGATTTTGAGTCCAAAAGATTGTGAATCTATATCATTTGGATTAAAGAGTACAAAAACATTAAAAGAACTTAAGATTACAAATTGTAGTTTAACAAGTTAACATTTATAAATATTATCTGAACCAATTTAATAATGTGTTTCATTAAATTTATTAGATTTATCCAATAATTTATTAAAAGAAAATGCTGGAATGATAATTGGTAAAATAATAAGTTCACATGCAGGAAGAAGAGATGAAATGAAATGGGCAGAAGAAATAAGAGGAGATGGTAATATAATAAATAATAAAATATTAGAACCTCCATAATAATTGGCATTATAAGGATTATGTGAAATATTTTTACATTAGAATATGTTTGATGATAGATGTGTAAAAGATTTGTGTAATTTTTTAATGTATGATTCATGGACAAAGAATATTGGTTTAAGAGAAAATCAAATAGGAGAAGAAGGTGTTAAATTATTTAGTTAGATTTTGGATACAAANCTTATTAATTAATACATGTTCTCAATCCTATTATTAATTTAGAAAGTTATTCATTTAATTCTTTAATATTACTATTCTTTTCAAGACTATCAATTACTAATTTAATAAGTCTAATAATTTCTTTTTTAGAAGCTTCTTCTTTAAGATGAGCTTATTCATATAAATAACTTTAAACGGACATCATTTCACCACTTAACTTCATAGTAGACTGTGTATTTTATCTACTCTTATATAACTTGAGATCATACCTTATTTAGTTTTTTGTCAGGTGTAGTAAAGCTAGTATTGTTATGATTGTATTTTGAAGCAGATAATGATTTCATTTACAAATTTTAATTTTTATATTAATTTTTATTTAACAGATGAAATAGACATACAATCCAAATAGAGAATACCTATCAATTTATAAATAAATTTGTTAAGAACAACATGTACATTTAAGCAAAACAATAAGTATATTTTTGGATAATATTATATAGCATAGGGTTTAAAGGATCAATCATTAAGATTGAATGCTATTTTAATAAGAATAGAAGATATAATTCCATTATAATTATTATTAAGTTTGTGTCATTTTGATTCAATTATTGTATATGGTAGATTAAGAAAGAAAATGAATAAAAGTATAAATAAGCTTAAATTTTATAATAGATGATTTAGTAAGTTTAGAGGAATTACAATAGATAATAAATGGAATATTAACAGCTATTAATTTAAATTTGACATAAAGTTAATTCAATTTAATGCAAATACATATTACTGATTTGATTTTGAGTCCAAAAGATTGTGAATCTATATCATTTGGATTAAAGAGTACAAAAACATTAAAAGAACTTAAGATTACAAATTGTAGTTTAACAAGTTAACATTTATAAATATTATCTGAACCAATTTAATAATGTGTTTCATTAAATTTATTAGATTTATCCAATAATTTATTAAAAGAAAATGCTGGAATGATAATTGGTAAAATAATAAGTTCACATGCAGGAAGAAGAGATGAAATGAAATGGGCAGAAGAAATAAGAGGAGATGGTAATATAATAAATAATAAAATATTAGAACCTCCATAATAATTGGCATTATAAGGATTATGTGAAATATTTTTACATTAGAATATGTTTGATGATAGATGTGTAAAAGATTTGTGTAATTTTTTAATGTATGATTCATGGACAAAGAATATTGGTTTAAGAGAAAATCAAATAGGAGAAGAAGGTGTTAAATTATTTAGTTAGATTTTGGATACAAATGAATCCTTAATCTCATTAGATCTTAGAGAAAATCCAGGATTTGTTGAACCATATTCTAAAGATATATTTGATAAGTTGGTTCGAAATATCAAAATATTTAAAGAATAAAAGAATTATTATGAAGATGTAGAAGAAAATTAATAAGATGAATATCCTATCATTTAAGAATAATAATAAGAGGAATCTGAAGAATTAGGTTAGTAATTTATTTTAATTAGAATGTCCAAATTGTAAAAATTTATTGAGATAAAATAAACAATTATAAAGAAGAATTTAATAATTACAATAGAGACCAAGATATGATTCATAATTAATGAACTCTGATATTAATAAGGAAGAATAATAATCTGGGGATCTATTAATTTAGATTGAGAATAAGATGAATGAATTGACTACTTTAATGGATATGTTAGAATAATAAAAATAATATTAATAATAATAGTAATCTGGAAACAAAGGAAAAAAAAAGAAAAAGAAGATACTTAAGTAACCTATTTGATATTTAATTTATTTTATTATTATGATATTAAAATAGAGCATTATATAGATTATAATATTTATTAATATAATTTAATTTGTGAGAAATGAAGTTAATAAATAATATTTAAATAATTTAAATATCCAATTAGGATGGCATCAGAAATCTATGACTAATTAGTAACAGTATTTACAAATACAGATAATAAAATCAGAAATGAAACAGAAAAACAATTAGTGACTAATATGATAGATAATATTTAGATTTTTTAATAAATAGCTTAAGTTGCTATATAATAAGACATAAGTTTAATATTATTTTATTTCTATAGTGTAAGAATAAGCAGCCAGTTTATTGAATTCAGTTATATTAAAGATGCTTACAAATAGCAGTATTTTTATATCTTACTAAATAAGTTTAATTATCAATTCATCATGCAAATTCCATTCTAGCAGTTCTTATGTCTTAATATACACCTTTAAAATGTAAATAATCATTAGTAAAATGTATGAGTTTAATAGTTAGAAAAGATAAAAGTATTAATAAAATTTAATTTAGGTGTCAAGACTGAAATTGAAAATAAAATGAAAGAATTTTTACGTCAAGATCAACATTGGCAATTTTAAACAGGAATTATATTTTTTAAGATTTTATAAGACTCTTTGGAATTATAAACTTATAGTTCAATAGTATAAACTGGTTATGAATGGATAAGTGAATTTTTCAATTAAACTGCATATATCATGACTAAATTAACAGAATAACCTAAAGATCTATCAGATGATTTCATAACAACTATAAGAATATATACATAAGTTGTATCAGATCTATGTGAAAAAGTGTTTGATAAAAATAATAGTTAAAAAGAACAAACATAACCAATACAAAACATTTTGTTCTAATTAAATTCATTCTCAGGAGTTCTAATGATTTTATTATCTTATTCTCCATAAATAGGAAAATAAATATAAAATTGTTCTATTATTAATACAGGAAATGATCACTTTGATACTCAATTAAATGAAATTAAATGTTAAGTTTTTAAAATCTATTTTTTATCTCTATAAGTATTATTGAATAGTCGTAATAAAAATGAAGTAAAAAAAGGAGCTTTTGGACCTTATTTAACAACTATAACATAATTGTTAATCTATAGTTTACTAGCTTATACTAACAGTGAATCTATTCATTAAATATACAAGTATTAATTCAATTTATTAAAATTAAAGTAAACCATATTAGGCAAATATTATGACTTATATAATGAAAATATTAGCTAATTTAGGTTCTTAAACAGAATAATATTAAATATTTTCTGATTCTAAAATAGCCTTAATAACAGATGTAATATACCCATTTTTAATAACATCTTAAAAAGAATATTCATAAATGAAAGAATAACCAGAAGAATTTGTTAATTTAGCTTTAGATTCAGTAGATAAATAAGAATCAGATGTTCCAAAAACTGCAGCAGCATCTTTATTAGAGACTTTATGTGATCATATTGATGGATCTACTACATTTTTGGCAAATTTGGCTGTTATAATATCATAACATTCTATCAATATGATATCTAATAACCCAGTTTAATTAAAAGAATAATAATTAACTTTTGTATAGGCATTACAAGATAAGTAAAAAATAGAATTCATATTAGGAAATTATTCAAAGAATATAGTCCAGTAGATAGAATAGAAAGTAGTTTAGTAATATTAACAGTTATGAGTTATTTAATATAAAAAAGATAAGATATAGTATTATTGATGGAATAATTATTGACTGATAATTTATTATTCTTTTAGAATGTTTAAGAATAAATAATTAAATTAAGACTTTCTTTATTTTTTGGATATTATTGTGACAATTTATTTAAAAAAGAGACTTAATCTTAAAATATGAATGCTTATTTATAAATAATGATTAGTTTTGTTTAACCATAAGAACCTGTAGTATTATATTAATCAATTGATGCATTAAAAGATATATTTGAAGATGATGATCTCAAAGTTAAAACAAAAGATTTAGTAATAATATTATTTCCATAATTATGTAATGGACTTTAATATAGTACATATGAGAGACACTTTGAAACAATAACAAATTTATTAAAAAGATATCCATAATAATTCTTGTAAAATGATAATCTATTAGTTGGTTTGATGTAAGTATTAACTCAAAGAATTATAATTGAACAGTAGAAAATTAATTCTGGTGATCAATAACGACAAATATATTTAAATAGATGTTGGAATGTTCTTAGATAATTAGCCGAATAAGATGAATATAGTTCTATCTTAAGCAAATTAGAATAACATTTAACATAATTATATTCAATGTTAGCTAATTGTGATAAAATAGATTTTGATGAAGATTTAGTCTTATTTATATCTGGATGTATATCTAAATTATCAATTGTAACAGAATTATAGATGTAAATCTTACCATATTTTTCAAATATCATCAAAAAGTAATAAGGAAGATTATGTAATCTTTTTGAAACACTTAATTAATATATACATTTTGGAAAAAGCTATTTTATCAATGAAGCATAATAATCTATATACTTTTAATTAGCATTTTAGAATCTATAAAATGAAGATAATTATGGTGATATTGAATTAGGAGAAGGAGCTTTGTTAATTTAATTAGGAATATAAGAACTACATGTAGATCTTAAGATTAATATACTATCTCAAATCCTTTCCTAAACTATTTCAATCTTATAAAAACAAGATATTAATGAACACTTAAAATCTAGAATTAATGGTATTATTTTGAGTTCTCTATATAAAATACCTGAAAAAACTTATGAAGTTTTATCTGAGGTATTCCCAGCTGTTTACAATAGTATCATAGAAACTCATTATTCTCCAGGTTATGATATAAAATTATTTATAATTACTATGTCATCTTTGATTATGAAATAACCTAATCTTTTAACACCAAATTTACTAACTATAATGGTCAATAATTTAATTGCTTAAGAGAAATATGAAAAAGATTAAAAATATAAATAAAATGAGTAATTTATAATTCTTAAATTATAGTTATATGGATGATGAATTAGATGATGATGATGACAGTGATTTTAATGATGAAGAAGAAATTTAACAAGTTTAATAATAAACTGAATAATTCTTAAGTTCTATTGTCAAATTGGATGAATATTCTATATTCAAATAGACCCTCCTTAACTTCAAAAATTAGTATATTTATTATAATATTTCATTAGATTCCCAATGGCTATTGATTAATTGAAAAATGGGTTGGAATAATAGATTATAAACAAAATAAATGAATAATTATAATATGTAAGAATAGAAACATTAGATGGAGAAGAGCTTAGAAAATTTCGAAATCTTAAAAATTGCAATCGCAAAAAGTAATTTAATAATTGATTTGTTAATATAATAATATTTTATAGACATTTACAATATCATTTTCAAAGTATTTTTTCTTAATAATTGATTTATAGATTTATCAAATTCTCTTGGCTATCCTAAATTATTTAATATTTTTATTTTCTATATAAAAATAATTCATTCCAATTAAACAATTTTTAATGTTATTTATCTCATTTGCTAATTCATATCAATAAAATTCTTTTTTTTATTTTACATTCGAAAAACATTTAATTTTTAATATTCATTATTCTACTATTATTCAATACTTTAACATTAAACTAAGACATATAAATATTCATATTGTATTTTTCTTTTAATTCTATATTTCTCATTTTCAAAAAGGAAACTCAAAAATGATTTAGACTATTATTTAAAGATCATTATTGGTTATATATTTTAGAAAAAATTGAAGTGAATTCTGTTAAACGCGAAATTTATGTGAAATTTTGTTATTTCATATTAAATAATAATAATTAAATTTGAATTCAAAAATGAACTCAAAATAGTTAAAATTTGAAGAGGAATATGAAAACCCTAATAAAGAGAATGAAGGCCCTTAGGAGATTATCCAACATAACCTCTTACATTCAAACAGACCTCCGTTAACAGATATTACGGAAGTTTTATATCCTAAAAAAAAAACAAAAAAACCATAATAGCAATAACAATAATAAAATGTATTTATGTCTACAGTCTCTTTAAGATGATATTATAACATATCCTAAATTTATATATATATATACAAATAATTTTCTAACAACACATCATTTAAACATTCCTTCATAATTATCATTGTCATATAAAACATAACAGTAGTTGAACATCTTTTCAATCTATAGATCTATTATCTCTATTAAGAATTTAAATGGTATTTAAGAATAATACAATAATAAAATGTGAATGTTAAGATTTAAATTATTAACTTCCAAAAGAATTAAAAAATGAATTGATAAGATTGTTTTTCCCTACTTTTTGATGATTATAATCATTTAGAGTAGTTTAAGTATATTTTAAGTTATTATACATATTAAAATTGATGAAATTATCATTCATTCAAACTTATAGAAACTGCTAAAATAAATTTTATCTTTACTATATGTATCTGTTCAATTTATATATTAATCTTGTTTATGAATTAAAAAATAGAACTTAACTTTATTTCCTAGTTTTAGATACTATTTGATTCTTAAGGATAATGAATTTATAACATCTATTGATCCAATCTGTATTTTAACTTTTAAAAATTTTAAACAATCTAATCCCTTGTTGATAATAATCAATGTATCTCTAAAATCATTTTAAAAAAAGTAATTCCATTTATTTTAGCAAGAATAATGTTACAATTTAGTTATATCTAAGTCATTAAATTTCATTTTTTTATTATTTAAATATCTAAAAGAATCAACATTTAAGAGATTTTGAGCTTTCAAAAACGTTAATTATTTTTGTTTCTAAAACAAGTCATCTTAATTTTAATCAATAAAATTTTTATAATTTCTATTTCAATTAATAAATTATATTTTATGAATATTGAATTACTAAAGCAACTATTATTATGTAGATATTATAAATTCTGATGCTCATAATCTACAATTAAGGAGTTATGAATTCAAATTTTAGTTATGAATCAATGATATCTTTTCTTTTTATCAATTATAAAAATTAGGCATAGAATAATAAAAAATATTACATCTATGTTGATTACAATTGTAGGTTGCTGTTCTTCAATGTGCTAATATGATATGTTGCTGTTTTTCAATGTGCTACTTAATCAAAATTAAATAAAAAAGAAGACTAGGAACTATATCTTCATAAGTATTGTTCATTTCATCTATTTGTAGAAATAATTTACTGAAAAACTTAAGTATAAATTCAATGAGATAACAATCTAGTAACCAATCAGTTTGAATTTTAATTAAGCAATATTTATTTTTATAATTATTGATTTTATTCATTTAGTAACATCAAATAAGAGAGATCTTATAAAATTCAAATTTAATCTTATTTCTAATATGGAACAAGATTATTCTAATTTGAAATCAATATAGAATTCAAAAATATGAATATAAACAAAATTCTTTTAAAAAAGTAAAATCATAAATTTTATAGAATTTATATGGATATTCTGGTTAGTAAATCAAAACTAATAAAAATCGGTGGAATGTTGCTCGTTGCAGTCTTTATCATCATCTGTTATGAATTAGATGTTGGAGCTTCAAAAGCAAATACAGATATGCTATCATTATATTTTACATACAGCGGCAAATTAAGAATCGAATTTTTAGGAAACAAAGAGACAGGTAAAATAGAAGATTGTAATGGCATATATTTTTGCAAGGTTGTTAAATAAGCTCCAGTTTATGGAGGAATAGATTTAGCATTAGCAATAATAATAATAGTGATTGAGATAATTGAAAAACCATTTTTAAAAGATAAAATTAAACCAGACCTATTAAAAAACATTGTTTTTTTAACACTCCTTTTAGGATTATTATTTGCTTTATTAACAATGTTATAATTTTGGTTTGCAGCTGGAAGTGATGAGTGGAAACTCTGTGCAGGTAGTCAAATTTTAATTGTGCTCTACAATCTAATTTTTGGAATAAGCTGCTTTGTTTAATTCAAAGTTAGATCATCAAAAGGACAAGAAACTTTATTAAGTTGATTAAAAATATCATAATTCACATTAAATAATAAAATTTTATTTTTCTCAAATTTGTTTTAGATCAGAATTTCATAATATAAAGTATTTTATTTAAGTTCATAATCAATAATTAAAATTAAATATAAACTAATTATGGTACTATTATGATGAATTTTCATGCACCCCTCTTATTAGGATGATGATATCATTAAATATACCCATTTCTGATTATCCATAATTTATTATTAATAAAATTGAAAAATAACAAGATTAATTTTCAATTTGCTAGAGTTTTAGGTATTTTATTCCAAAAATACTAGTATTTTAATTATTAGTATTTTGCCAATAAATCAGGATTATAGATTTTACTACTTTTTAAGTACGAATCACTTTCTGTAACCAATGTCTCCATTGTTTTAGGCATATAAGAATTTAACTATTCGTTCTGAGCTTCATATTTTTTCTAAATTATAATTACTCTATCATACATGAATATCATCAACTATCCGTTACATCTATTTGATTTGTAGATTATGTTTCACTGCCAATCTTCCTAATCTTATTGCATAAGTTTCTCTTTATTCATCAGAAAATTTAAGATTAAAAAAGTTTTTTTTGAGTTTATTGTTGACATAAGGATTATCTTGCAATATATCTTTATATTAATATTTAAAGCTAGCAAGTTCTTCATTCAATTTTTTTTATTTTTCTTTCATTTTTTCTTTCATTGACTGTTTCACATAATAATCCAATTCTTTAGTTAAAGAAATTTATCTGCTTCTTTAAGGTATTTTTATAGCCTATAAATTGATTTTAGGATTATCTTAAGATAATTATCTTGGTTTCAATTATTTTTTTTGTTTTAATTCTTGTAAAATAATGGCTGATTCAGGTGTGAAGTAAATCTTGTTATCTTGCATATAAAGGAAAATATGACAATATATATATATTTGATATAATAAATTTGTATTTAACAAATAACCTATTCAATCATTTTGAGTTCTAAGCTTTGGCTTTGCTAATCTCTATATTAATGATTTCTGTTTATCAGATTGAATAGATAATTAAGCCTACTTTAAAGGAGGTAATTTATAAGGGTATTGAGGACTCAAAACCTGTGAATCATATTTTCTTAATTGAAATGAAAAATCAGGAGAAAAAAATGCTTTATCTTTAACATTTCTAATGACATATGTATCTCTTCCAGTTCCATCACTAATATAAAATTATCTTTTTTCAGGTTTAAAATGAGTTTTTTAAGGAGAGTAGGTACCATAAGCCCCTTATAATTTTAGAATAACATTTACAGTTTTAATGTTATGGCGTTTTTTATAATTTGAAATTACCTGGATAAAAGCCTCCATTATCATAAAAGATGTAAGAATCTCTTCCTGTTCCATCTTGAGAATATAATTTAGCCATAGATTGATTCATAATGACTAATTTTATTGAACTTTATAAAATAATTAATAAATATTGATTTCTTTAATATTTTTCATACTCTAACTTATTAAGCTACTATAGTATAGGCTTGAGTTATGATTTTAACTTCATTTTCTCTTTTTGCAGATCTAAGATTATAATTGGATTAAACAATTTCTCTTTCGTTTCTATATTATTAAAGTAAATCTTAAGCAATAGGTAAGTCTTTTTATATTTAATTTCTAGATTTTGTTGAAAGAGCCTAAAAATAAATAAATAATAATAATACATTTTCTTCATTTCTTCTTTTAAGAGTTACTAAAGTTCTTGAATAATCAGCACTTAATCTTTCTCTTACTTCTGTGACTTCTTTTAGAGTGACTTAATAAGCTTAAGTAACTTTTGCTTCGTATTCATCAGCTCCAGCATTTTCCTAGATTCTCTAATCTCTAATATTTTCAAGAAGTTAAATAATTCTAGTCACAGTGGGTACATCGAATCTATATAAAATATTAATATTACTTTGTAGTTACAGCCACTAAAGCAGTTAATGGATGATTTGGTCCTAAAGAGTTTCTGAGATCATCAACATATTATTTTGCATGTTATTATGAAAGTATAGTTGTTTTATTTTACTCTGCAAATACTGCTTATTGTAATTTTGCAATCATTTCATTTAATCCATCAATTGATTTGATATTATTTGTAGTTCTTTGCTAATTATAGATAAATAAATTACTTTAAGACTTTCTATTTCACTCTTGTATTAATTTCTAATATCCTCTTCCTTAGAGTTTAATGTGCTTAATTATTTCTCTTAAGATTATTAAGTACCAATAAGTTTGCTAATATCTTCATTTAATTCTCCTATTTATTAGTTTAGTCTTTGTAATTCTTTTGCAAGCTTTTCAGTTTGTATTTCTAGGATTTCAATTTCTACATTCAATTGTCCAATTTTCTTATTTATAATTACAATATGGTTTTACTTTTGCATATTCTTAATCTTCAACGCTTTAATCAGCAATTAATTAGTCTCTTATAACTTTTATTTCTTTGAGCACTTCTTCAACATAAGAACTTTATAACATTTTGAGCTCAATAAGACCTGCTAATTGCTTTGAAAAATCATTTTTTAATGCCATTTTATCCATTTATGCCATAACTGAATCTACTTTAGTTTACAATTATGTTTAGATGGTTAAAGTAATTAGGATGAATATGAAGGTGACTTATTTCATTAAAAACGGTATAATAAAAATATTAATATTTTATAATCATGGACACTTTGGATGAACCATTGGATGTACTTAAATTTTCAATAGCATAATAAATTTATATCAAAATGAGAAATAATATTGAACTAAAAGGAACTCTAGTCAGTTATGACAATCATTTGAATATGATAATTAGTAAAGCTGAAGAAACATCAATTTAAGAAGGAATCAAAACTAAAAGAAAATTAGATGCACTCTATCTTAGAGGGGATGGAATCATTTTAATTAGTCCTTTAAAAAAAGGAATCACTTCATTATGATCAATCACATCTGTTCAATATATATATTGTCAAAAAAGTATTTCAATTACAAATTACTATTAAAATCTTTCTTTTTGTTTCAATATACTTGAAATTGAACAATTAAGATAGTAAGCCATAAAATTATTGAATATTATTTGCAATCTTCTGTATTAGCATAATTTACAATTTTATTTTATGGTCTCTATATTAAAAAGTATTAAAAAAAAGAGTAACTAATTTGATTAATTACAATTCTATTCTAGTGCTATATTAATTATTTTGATAACATGAATAATTTTCTATTTATAGATTAATTTTACATCCACATCGTCTTTCTAATTCTAAATTGGTATTTTAATAATATATTAAATTCATTTCTTTTCTGTTTTTAGTGATTTAAATATACTTTTCATAAATTTTTTTGAATGTTAAAATTTTAAATGATAAAAAGTTTAAATTCATAAGCAAAAATAGTAATTTAAATACCCGAAAAAGCAATTTTTAATATATAAGTATTTCTAGATTCATTAATTACTTTAAGAAATATACTTCTATTATAATAATTTTTATTAGAGATTTAATAATTAATTTTTAGAAAAATATCAATCTACTTAATTATATTTGACTTTTGGCAAATATTTCAATAAGTAATCGGTAAAATTGAAATTGATTAATTTAGCTACAATTTATTATTCCTTAAATAAACTAGAAAACTATAAAATGAAAGTAGCAATTATTGGAATAATGAAGATAAGAAATTTTGCTAATCATTAGATTAAATAAATATCAAATAAAAAAATTAGAATTTATAATTTATCTTTAATGAGTATGCTGTATTCTTAAATTGATTTTATTTATTATTAGAAATTTTGGAGCTTTTATCAAAACATTTTCAATTAAATTGCTGTAATATGTTGAAATTTAAATGATGGACTAGAACATCAATAATATTACTATGCTTGATTAAAAGAAAAGTGAATTAAAAATCCATCTAAAGTAAATCAATGTCCTTCTAAGAATTTACAAGCTTTAAAAAGATAAATACATTCAATTTTAACTTATATTACTGTAAGAAGCAATAATAATTCCAATTTAACATCCCTATTAAAGTTAAATATATAAAATTTCTCTTAAACTATTTTTAAATTATTATTTAATAATTATTAATAAGAACAATCAAATTTAGTTATGATAAATACTAATCTAATTATTAAATAAATAAAGCTTCATCAAAATTGACAATAAATAATATAAAATTCATTTATTCACTTTGATCAATTAAATAAACAGTTAAATAATTAAAAATGTATTTACAATAATGAAATTAAACATGTAAGTATCTATTTAATCAAATTAAGTTAAATTAATGAATTTGATTTGATTTTGGATTATGTTTAATGGTAATCTTTCATATATAATCTAAAATATTTTTATATTAAAATAAAAGAAGAAAAATTTTATCAACAGTTTATAATAAGAATTTTAATAAATTCTTGAAAATTCTTATGAATAAAAAATAATTTTAATGTTTATAATTAACTATATATCATATGAATTCCTTTATAATATCAAAAAATAACAATTCATTATTAAACTTCATATATATATCTAAAAAATCTATGTAATATTAATCTTATTTTTAACATTTACTATTGATAGGATGAATATTTTTAAAATTTAAACAATAATTATAAGTATTTGCAATTTGAATATAAAAAAGAACAAATGAGTAAGGAAAATAAAATGATATTCCTATAAAAACATTGAATGAAATTTTATGTTACCAATAAAATTTGATTCTTGATGATTAAAGGGCTTTTAGGTTGAAAATCTAAAAAAGAAATAACGAAATTGATTGTATAATCATAGAAATTAGAAGGATTGATATATTATAAATTTATTTATTAAATGCAAATTTCTAAAGAGAAAAGAATGGGAGCAATGCTAATAATTTTGTCTGTTGTAGATTTTGGATATTGTTTTGATAATATTACATATATCACTCTAATACTTTCTTGCTTACTTATTTTATGTAGTATTGGTACTTATATTATTCAATATTAGTCAGTGTGTTATTCGCTAATAAAAAAATTTTATCACTAATAATAATCACTATGTATTATGGAAAGGAATTAACATTATATGGACCAACTCTGACATGGCCAGTATTATATCTTTTTAAACTTATTGGATCTCAAAAATGCATTTTTTTATTATTATTTTCTAACCAAATAGTATTCAATTATCTCGATTCGTTATGGGTTTATAATATCAAAAGGAAGGATCATTATTGCATATAATTAACATTCATATTATTATTTGAAGGTTATTCCCAATATGTTAAATAGAAAACTTATTACTAATGCATACGTCTATTGATAAAGTAATTTAAACAAGAATTCGTTCTTTAAATTTTTGATTTAAATTAAAGGAATATCACTGAAAATGCTCATTGTTTACCAATTACAAATAGGCTATAAACGGAAAACACTTTAATCGGAAGTCCTAGAGGGGATAAAATTAATTTAATTTAAGATGATAAGGACATTCATTATAAATTATTCTTAAATAATGACTTAGGTTTTTCAATAGAGTTAAACTAATAACCAATTTAATAATAAGTAACTTTTAGGTCAACTAAAGAATTATTATAATTCTTATAAAAAAATAACAATTATTTTATACTAGCAATTTAAAATGATCCACTCCTAAATGCCAAATTTTAATATTAAGTTAGATACTTTTAATTTAAAAATTAGCAAATTTTGGCATTTTCAAAAATAGATAATTGTTTATTTGCTAGATAAAATTAAAAGATATTAAAATACAAACAAAACCTTATTAACATTTTTAATCATAAATTAAAAACTCCTCTTAATAGTGCTATAGGACATCTAATTACTGCATAAGAAGATAATTAAATTATTGACTAAATTAAAAAATTATACTTGTAACCAGCCCTTTTGAATTGCAGATTACAATTATACTTAGTTTAAGATATTTTAGATTATTTATCTATTGAAATTGAATAATTACCTTTGATGAACAACAAAACTAATTTGAAAACTTTATTATTAGAAGTTTATGATCTAATAGAATTTTAGTGTAAATTGAAAAACATAAATATATTATTTAAGATAAATAATGAAAACTTTAAAAAAATAGAGACTAAATCATTATTTATTTATACTGATTCGAATAAATTGATCAGAGTATTGTTGAATATTTTAAATAACTCTTATAGATTTACAGACGAAGGAGGTTGTATCGTTTTGGAAATCAGATTGGATTAGATGAATAAGATTACTTATTTTTCAATAACCGATAATGGATAAGGTATGGATGAAGAATAAATTAAGAAATTAAATTTTTAATTGAAATCTTTTGACAGCACAACCTTTAACAAATTATATAAACAATAAGACAATAATCGCACAATAAAATTAGGATTAAGTCTATTTCTAGCTAATAAATTAATAAAATTATTGAGTGGAGATAGCAGTTGCTTGTAATTAAGGGTAAATAATAATTAATTACTCTTTACATTTTCAATTAGTGATATTCATGAAATCTAATCAGCTAGTTCCCTTGGAAAATCTAAACACAATAGTTTTGTAAAATAGAAATCCTTAAGAGGGTTAAATAATATTCAATTTAATAGTTAATCTAGCCCTAGAATTTCGAAGTTTAAGTAATGTTCATAAAGATAAATTGAACTTAAGAATTATAATTCTTTACGATTAATTTATTAGTCTGATATTCATAATGAACCATAACCTTAGATTCCTAATAGGATTGCAATTCATCAAAACAATCCAAAATTTCATCATCAAAGATAAAGAATGAGAACAAAAAAAAGATCTTTGGATTATTAATTTAGATCTAGGGCAACAAGTTTCAGAACTCATCAAATTGAATAAATTATTCGGCCAGAATAAATTCAGTAATAATAACATTTAATTTAAAATGAAGAATTTATTTTGATAGTTGATGATGAACCTTTTAATCATGAAACTTTATGTATGATGCTAAAAAATATGGGATTTAAAAATTTTTTAAAAGCTTTTAATGGTTAACAGTGTCTTGATATTGTACTAGAGAATCATAATAAAATATATATGATTATGATGGATATTGATATGCCAATAATGAATGGGATTGATGCAACAAAACAATTAGAAGGTTTAATAAGTAATAATACGATATGTTACATTCCAATAATAGGATGCACAGCTCATGAAGATTATGAATCTCATTTATAATGTTTTGATGCTGGAATGATACATGTAGTTGTTAAACCTGTATTTATAAAATCAATTAAAGAGGCTATTAATAAAATCTCTGAACTAAAATCAAATGAAACTATTAAAGAAGACACATCATCTGATGTTATCAATAGAATACAATCTTAATCTTTTTGCTCTCAATGAATATTATATATATAATAAATTAAAGTAAAATATAGAATTTTACAAATTTCTATGTTATATATATCCCAAATATGTTAAAGTGGTTATTAAAAACTTGATTATTAGTTTAATGAGGAAATTTGCTTTTTATATTTAATTAATTTATATTTCTATTATAAACTCTTTTCTTAATGATGAATGAATTGACTATTAATGATTATTAAATCAATCTTGATAGCATTTTAGGAAGAGGAAGTTAGGGTTCAATTTTTACCTGTTTGAAAAAAAGCACAAATGAATAAATTGTAGCTAAACTAACTAAGGTAAATTATATAAATGCAAATACAATTGACAGAGAAATTGCTATAGTTAACTAAATTAAAAATAAATAAAATGTGTAGAACTTAGTGAAAATGTATGATATTGCAATTACTGAATATAATGGTGAAAAAATTCTTGCGGAATTTATGGAGAAATGTGATTCTGATTTAGGGAAATTAATTAAAGAATATAATTCAAAAAAACAATCCTTCACTTTTGATTAAGTTGTAGATTTTGCAGGCTAAATAATAAGAGGATATAGTCATCTAAATGCATTAAATATTATTC